GACAACATTGTAAGTGACACAGATTTCAAAGTAAGACAACAGGAGATCAACAGTGGCTACCATAATGTCTCTTGTTTTCTTCTAAATAATTGTCTATATCTTCACATACAATGAATTCATACAAAACAAAATAATATAAAACTGTTCAAAACAGAATAATGAGGGCATTACAGGCCTTCAAAACCAGACAATAGGAAAAACCACAGCGGATACCGTAATGTCTCTTGTTCTCTTCAAAGTAGCTGTCCCTACCTTCAGGTATGTTGAAATTAAATAATACAAACAGACTAAAGCCACTCTGGTGGGGCACGGGGCACCGAACCGGTGACCTCCTGCTCGCCATGCTGGTGTGCAGACCACTGAGCCAGAAGCCCACCTAAAACAACTCTGAACAAAGAATAAAATCATTACTGGATTTCACAGCATGACAATAGGAAATCAGCAATGGATACCATAATGTCTCTTTTTCTTCAAAGTAGCTGTTCATATTATCATGCATAATACAATTGATTCTTGTATAGTTTAGGAGAAGTTCTAGGCATGTATAAGTCTGTACATAGACATTTATCCTTTCTGCATTAGAGGGAAAAACAAAGCAAAAGAAAACAAATTACTAGAAAAACAAGAAACAAAAAAGACATAAATAACAATAGCAATCAGCCCCAAACAAATGATGATATAGGCCTTCAAAACAAGGTGATTGGAAGGTAACTAAGATTGTTATTTTACATAGTGATCTTCAAAAGCGTTCCTCAGATCACCAGACACAAACATGCAAAATTGATCCAACCCTGTGAATGTTAACTACTTTATTCCAAGAACTAATAGAATTTGTAGCACAATCATCTTAGCTGTCTTAAGTGTGTTTATAAACATTTATATATTTTTCTTTTTCCTTTCTTTTTTCCCTCCTTTTCTCTGAGATATTTTCCCCTCTTTGAGCAGATTCTTACCCTTTCACAGTATTTATTGAAGATTTTGTATCTTATGTGCTCTTACCATTTCTTATACTAGACAGACAATATGGTATTTACACATGTGAGTTTGATTTATTTCACTTATGAGTATGGTCTCAAGTTGCATCCAATTACATATAAAAATCTCAATGTGACCATTATTTATATTTGAGTAGTACTCCACTGTATAAAAGTACCACATCTTTTTTATCCATTCCTCAGTTGATGGGAATTTATGTTGTTTCCAAGATCTGGCTATTATGAATTGTACTGCTATAAACTGGGTGTGCATATATCATTGTGATATAAAGTCCATGTCGGGTTGACTTCCCCTGCAATTCACCATCTGCAACCTCATCTCCACAACTACACAACTACCATGGCAGGAGAGCTGAGTGGCTAAGAGGCAGGCATTCCAGCCACACTACCAGGGTTCAAACCCGAGCACTGTCACCTCCTCAGGTGTGTCCTCAGGTGAGTGACTGCCTAAACTCTCCGTGCCTTGATTCTTCCTCTCCGTACAATGGGTGGAAGACGCTGTGCCTACCTCACAGGGTCTCTCATGGATTAAGTGAGAAAAATAACATCTAAAACTCTCAGAACGATCCCTGCCACCTCATCAGTGCCCAAAGCTGTTGGTGTTGTTATGCTGTGTGTGGACAGAACACGAGCCACCAGCAGCCTCATACAACAAAGAGACACATCACACTATTGGGGGGGCACTGTTCAAATGTGTTCCTCACGTGCGGGGAGACAAGATGTCTGAGACACGCACAGGTGACGAGAAGTCTCCCAGAGTGGGAGGCGCGGGCAGCATTTGGCCTCTGTTACTGCTTTCCTTCCTGCTCAGGAGAAAGCCAGTGGTAATGCTGAACTTCAGGAACAGAAGTAGGCGGACTCAGAAAGGCTCCAGATCTCAAGGGAATAAAGGACTCTCTCCCTCTCCTGCCACCAAAACCCCCCAGGGAATCCAGTTATGCCAGCAATATAAAGGAACACAACACTTCTCTCTGGGGCTTGTGTGCTTTGACTTCTCCGTAGACATTTGGGGCAGCCCAATGTTGTGAAAGTAACACTGGACCCGGCAGCATCTCTGCTCCCTTTCAAAGCTACTGCGATTGTTCCTGAGGAAGAGGGAAGAGGACACTGCAGGTTCTTTCCCTATTCTGCCCGCCTGTGTATTTTTGGATCATTTGAGCATTTATGAACCCTTTGGGGACATAATAATACTATGTGAAGAACTAATATTTGCTAAGAACGTGTTTTGTGGTCAGTATTATGAACTGAGTACTGTAAATATTCTGTTTTTAATGCTTAGAGTGTTGCATTCAAGAAAAAATAGAGACTTGGGAAGTCCTACCAAGCCCTCTGGCTGCTGTGGGCTAGGAAAAGTTTCGTGTGTCCAGTTGTTGCAAATGCCAGAAAGCAATATGTTCTGACATGCAGTTGTAGCATCTCAAACTAGTAGAAATGCATTGAAATAACTTTTCAGTTTAATTTTCAAGTGGTGAGGCAAGAAGGAGCTTGTAAACTGGGCACGGTGGTGCGTGTGTATAATTCCAGCTGCTCAGGGGCCGAGGGAGCGAGATTCCGTGTTTAAGCCCAGCCTGGGGAATTTAGCAAGACTGTTTCAAAATGAAGCTTAAAAAGAGCGAGGGATGTAGGTTAGTGATAGAGTGCTTACCTAGTATCCATGAGCTCCAGCACTGAAAGGCTAGCAAAGAGTTGAGAGAGAACAGTAAGAATTCCAACCCAGACCTGATGTGAAATTCATTCACTCACTATTCATTCAGTCATTCATGTCATTTCTGGTGAGTATTTGTTATGTACCAAGCACTATCCTTGCTCTATGAATTCAGCAATGAACAAAACATTCTATGGGTGTTCATAGAGGTTCACTAAAAAAAAAAAAAAGAAGCAAACAAAAAAAATATGTGATATAGGGTAGTGTGATAAGTGCCAGGCCACAAGCAAAGGGAATAGTGATAGAATCTTGTTTTACAAATCGTGGTCTCTGAAGAGATGACATTTAAACCAGATGTGCTGGAGAACGTAGAAAGGAGAATACCATGTGGTTACATAGCAGACAGTGCTCAGCAGTGACCGCAGCAAGTGCAAAAGCCCTGAGGTAAAATGGCAGTTGGTCATTGAGCAGGAATAGAATGAGCGAAGCAGTGAGGAAGGAAAGAAGGAAAAGAAATCAGGAAGGGGGCAGGGATCCTGTGATATAGTCTTGCAGGGCAACACCAATGGTTCCAGTCACTGAGCTTCTACTAGCTGTGGGCTATTGCCACATTTTAATCTTCATAGAACTCCAGAGGTAGGTCCAGGGCTCCTTTTTAACATTGCTTGAAGCCACCTCACTGAGTAGAGATCTCAAAGAGCTAGGGCACCTGAGTTCATCAACAGCTTGCTATTGACCAGCATCTCTCTCAAGTGGTGCATATTCGTACACAAAAAAATCTATTTTTAAGAACAAGGAGATATTTTTAAAATAGCCCTTAACCTTGCCTTATTCTTGGGTTAAAAAAATGGGTATTTTCAGCACCTACGCCTTAACATGCATCCAGTGATCTACTTTCTTTTTCAAATGTGATAAAAATAACTGAAAGCACGGCTGTACTAACAGGGAAAAATGAAAAGCAATAGATCAATATCCTGTGACCATTTTTAAAAGAGAAGACTGTCTTTATTTAGTCTATAACACTGAATTCTATTTCTGTGAAAACATGAAGGTGTTAGATTAGCTACTGAAGAATCCAGGGATTATTTCCCAGATGAAATGAAATCAGAAATAATTTTAAAGATTTAATAAACAGAACTACAGTAGTGAAAAGTAAGCAGCCTCTTATGGCCCATATAAGAAGGAAAATATACATTGAACTTAATTTCCTACGTTTTCATTATCTGCATCCAAAAGTGAGATAGAATATGTTTTCTCTGGAGCGACAGAGGGACCTAAAAATAGGACACAGTAACATCATTTTAAGAAGAGAGTGACTCAGTCTATCCAAAACAGCCAAGGAGGGCATGCTCAGACTTCCTGCTGGATCTCATCCTGCATAGAAAGGAGTGCAAGTTCATTTTAAAACCTGACGCTGGCCACCTCGTCTGCTTCCCATTAGAAAGCTCCTGCTGGACTGGCTGGACTGTAGCTCAGTGCTAATGCACTTACCCAGAGTGTAGGAGGCCCGGGTTCAGTCCCAGCACCATGAAAACAAACAAATAACACAAACAAAGCAAGCAAACAAAAATCAAAGAAAGCCACTGCTTAGTTTATTTAACCCTAAATTATCATTTAATTGTCAGTTATTATAATTGAGAGTGAGTCTGATCAGTGCCAATTCTGTTCCCTATTAGTTGTACTAGTCTTCAAGGGCTGCCACCATGGCAAAATATTCCATCCTGAGTGGTCTGAACAACAAAAATGTACAGTCTCACAGTTTTGAAATTAGAAATCTGAGGTCCAGGTGTCCACCTGCTTGGCTCCTTCTGGGAGAACCTGATTCGTGGGGCTCTCCCACGAATTTGTGGGAGTACTCTCTCCAGTACTTTGCTGTTATCTTCTACACTCTGGCTTGTAGATACACCAACCCGATCTCCGCCTTCATCTTCCCATGGCGTCTCCCCTGTGCAGGTCTGTCTCTGTGCCCCCTTTTACAAGGACATCAGTGTTGGCTCCAGTGTCACCCTGGTGACCTATCATAAAATGATCGTCACCTGCAAAGATCCTTTTTCAAATAAGGCCCCATTCACAGAGACTGAAGGTCAGGGCATCTTTTCAACCTGTCACATTAGTGTGAAAGAAGGTTTCATAAACTATTCTCCTTTATAGAATCTTAGTCTCAAAGGTTTGCCTAAGGACAAGTAGCTCCTTATAGTAAATTCTCTCTCTCTCTCTCTCTCTCTCTCTCTCTCTCTCTCTCTCTTTCTCTCTCTCTCTCCCCCCCCTCTCCCTGTGTGTGTGCACACGCACCTGCGTTTGCTGATTTTTGACCAGCACATCCTATACATCCTATTTAACAATCAGTCTTTTGCTAACAGGGCAAACCTGGAAATCAGCTATGCTAAAGGACTTCAGAAACTGGCCACCAAGTTGAACAAAGTGTTGCAGACCACCAGGAAAAAGTAAGTGTCATGGCAGAGGTAAGGTGAAATTGTTCTCAAAATTAGTAAAAACTCACACGTGGGCCTTCCCATCCTCCTCTTAGAAATGCGGCAAATATGTGGGACCAAGCAGAGCTTCCAGGCACTTACTGTGTGCCCGGTGCCTTGCGTATCATGCTTTGCAGATTCTTTGCTTTCAGTCCTCACAAGGACTCTTGAGAGGTGTGATCATTATCCTTCTTTACAGAAAGGGACTGAGGTTTGAAGAATAAAAAGCACTCCCAATCATGTAAGCAATGAGTTACAGAGCTGGGTTCATCCTGGGCCCTTCTCACCCCTAAGCCCTCTTTCATAATTGGCTTCATGATGACATTTAATTTGGAAAGTGATCGTGTTAAGTCAGAAGGTCTTAGAGCCAGGAAGTCTGAATTCTGTGTTATCTCTCTATTCTGTGACATTTGACAAGTAATTTGGCCTCTCTGCTTGATTTCATCCTCTATTAGATGGAATAATGAAATGTGCTCCATTGTGTGTGTGAGAGAGAGAGAGAGAAAATGAATGAATGAATGAATGAATGAATGAATGAATGAATGAACGAGGGGTACATATTAAATGAGGCAACGTGTGCAAATTACTTAGCAAATTGGGTACAAAAAACATTGGTTCATATTCTCAGTATTTAGCAGCAATAAGAATGGAGTAGATTCCTTCCTTGCAGGAGAAAAGACACGTAGGTTTCTAAAAGCATCTGTCGGTGATAATTTACGAGAGAGGTTCTGGACCAGTGCATGCTGATGCGGCCCCAAAGCAGCAGTGCTCTGAACGAGGCCTGTGATGATGTTGGGGGAGGGGGAGTTCTGGAGCCCAGATCTCAACTCCTGCTTAGATCTCATCTGTAACAGCCAATGCTGGCTTTAAAACTTCTTTGACTTTTAGCTCTGTTTTTATTTTTAGGCCAGCATTTTGGTGGACTACAAAGCAGGCAGTGCAGCACATGGTTGAGTTTAGACTTCCCAGGTTTAAACTCTAGGTTTACCACTTACTGGATGTGTGACATGGGACAAATGATCTTTCCTTTCAATGTCTCTTTAAAATGGGAGAGAAGCCTGTCTCCTGAGATCACAGGCAGGATTAAGAGAGAGAAAAATAAGCGTCCTTGGTGGTCTAGCCTTGAATGTCCCTCCTGACTTTTATTTGATTCCTGATTTCCTCTTACAGCATCAGAGGCACCGGGGGAGTGGTGTGCATCTCTCTGCTTCATGACCCCAGCACCCAGCACAGCTCTACTGAAGGGCTTCCAGGTCTGGGCCGTTCTGTTAGGCAGTGTTAACCAGTGTTTAATAAAGAACACTCACTCAGTGCTTTTCCATACCAAAATCTTTGTTAGAGACTGGCACAGATATCCCAATGCATTTTTAGTTTAAAAGATCAGTTAAGTGAAGTTGAAGAAGTTGAGTGATTCTTCAAGGTCACCCAGGAAAAACAGGAGGCCCCAGGCCCTTCGGAGGCCTGTGTGCTGCATTTCCAGCCCTGCCACCAAACTGCGCTGAGAAGCGCATGGACGATGCTCTTCCCGTAATGTGCTGACTACCCTTTTTATAGGGCAAGTTTATTCACATCTGACAATAAGCACCCGTGTAAAACATGTGGCTTGGTCAGTATTTGACAACCCGTAGCCCAGGTAACCACCACCAAAGTCCAAACATTTTCATCATGCCTGAAGATTCCTTGTCCTGTTTCCATTTCTTCCCTGATGTGGGAGATGATATCGCCCCTCCTGATCCTCTCTCTTTCCCTCCAGGTCAGTGGGGTACCCTCTGTGATCACGGGGTACCTGGCACAGCACTAGATGTTCTCAGGTGCTGTCCTAAAAACCAGGAGAGAGCAGGATGAGTCCCAACTCCAAGGGCAGCAAGCAGCATGCAACCTGGGATTTGAGTCCTGCGTCATTTAACTTCTTCAGGACTCAGTGTATTCATCTCTGAATTAAGGAATTGGAAAAGTCTGTGTTGAGGGCCTTCTCACCCACTATCCTAGCACACACCTGTTTGTATTTCCTATAAATGTGAAATGGGAAATGAAAATCTAAATAGAGATGACTGGGGAAGAAAGGCAGCACATATAATGGCTAGGGTGCAAATAGATACATTGGCACGACGTCATCTCATGAAGAAATTGAAATTCAGTTAGAGAACTGAGTACAACGGCTGCGTGAATGCACCAAACATGAGACTTAGTTTCTCAGTGTTGGCTGCAAAATGACACCACCTTTGTCTCCCACTATTCTTGCCTCTAGCTGTCTCAGCAGCGCCTGGACATGGGCCTCGGAGGGCATGAAATCCACCGCGGAGCTGCATCAGTGAGTGTCCCCAGCTCTCGCTCTGACCCAGCTCCAACCCCACAGGAAGTCAGAAATATCCAAAGTGGGTGGGGAACAAATACACTCTTCCAACTTTCGCTGAATAGATAAGCTGTAACATACCATTTCATCTCCCCAGAAAGTAATTTGGATATAAAATCCTAAGACAATGACTGTATGTCTGTGTTCTATTTCCAGAAAACTTGGCAAAACAATTGAGTTGGAAGCAATAAAACCAACTCATCAAGTCCTGAATATGCAGGAGAAAAAGAGAAAATCAGTGAGTCAAAGCTTTTCTTTCCTTCCCTCTTAACAGCAAGATTTCTGTCTGCAGCCCTTGGAGGAAAAGATGATTTAAAAATGATGTTAGGTCTCAGGAATTTATCATTCAAATAAACAAAACACACATCCATGATTTATGTACAAGGATGTTTATTAGATCATTGTTTACAATAGTGAAAGATTGGCAACTACGTCATCATTTGAAAATAAGGGTGATAGCTGGGCATAGCAGAGCATGCCTGTCAACCAACACTGTGGGAAGCTGAAGCAGGAGGATCACAGCCCAAGCTGAGTAACTTAGGGACTTAGCAAGATCCTATATTAAGATTTTTTTTAAAAAAAATCACAAAAGGACTGAGGTGATAGCTCAGTGTGAAGTCCCCAGGTTCAATTTCTAGTACTACAAAACAGACAAACAAAAACAAGGTCAAGCCATAGAATATTATGCAACCATTAAAAGTCTTATTAGAAAACACCTGGAGATAGAGCTCAGTGGTACAGCCCTGGGGTCGCGATGGCCAAACCTGACTCAGTACCATGAAAACAAAAAATCTTTTCATAGAAGAGTTTTATCACATACGGATTTTTTCCACAATACAGTTAAATAAGTAGGATAAAAAATATTATAAGCAACATAATCTCAATTTTTAAGAAATAAATATATGTATATATGTAGAGAAAAAAACCTGCAAGATCTTTCCCAAAATGTTAATAAGAGTTATTGTGAGGTAATAAAAATGAGGTTATTTTTATTTTTGTACTTTTTAATAATTTAATAATCAATTTTAATTATTCCATTTGTGAATAGAAAAATGACGGTTGCTTTGTCAAAGATGTTTTTCTAGGCTTATCAGTTTGGGCTTACATAGCTATGTAAATGACTCCCGGTCCTTTAGGAAGCATCCTTAGCCTCCTGCAAGCCTCTCCTTTCCGAAAAGGTTCTCTTGAGCTCCTTTCCCTCTTTCTTCGTGCCTCACACAGTTGCTAGGCTCAGACGGTATTCTGGCTGTCACTGGGAGCTGCTTGGCTCTGGGTCAGGATCACTGTCCATGCTGCGCCAGCCCCAGGAGGTGGTCCTCCAGACAGGCCGGGGGAGTTTCAGATGACGCAGGTCCTGAGGACCAGTTTAGGTCAGGAGGACAGGGAGATTTGAGAAAGCTCTGATGGATGAGAAATGATAGAGGCATTCAAAAATTCAAGTTCATTCCACTGAGTCGTGAAGTAGAGGTGGTATCAGATGGAGGGTCTGCCTAAGCCTGGGATGACAGGTAGAAACAGAAATTGCTAGAAAGCAATATAATTATCTGCCATTGCTGGTTAGCTTAATAAAACCAGACACTAATCTCTATTTCATTAGCTACAAAATATTTTTCATACCATGTAATAATATGACAATTACTACCGTAAAGTAGGTACAATGAGATGGCAATTTATCAGAGTGCCTTAGACAGTTGATGTCAGGGCCCCCCTAAACTGCTGTTCCAGTTTATAAGCTTTTAGCACTGCCCTTGACACATTGTAATGCACCTCACCTCCCTGCACCAATCTCACAGTAGATAAAAGACTGACTTTTATTTTTAAAAGTGAACTTGCTCTAGATTCCGTGCACATATGTTGGGTTAAAAATGGCATAGTGTATACAACTATTCTCATTGCACTGGTTACAATAAACTACATGCTGTACATATAACCAATGGGGGAAACAAAATTATCTTGTTTGCTAAATCCCAGGAAAGCTGAATAATGGCCGATCTACTGAATCTGTGCAACAAGGAAAAAGGTTCTCCTCTAACTCATGTCTAGATGGTTCCTAGATCCACATTTATCATTAGTGTCCCTTTAAAAGAGAGTTAGTTATGATTAAGAATGCTATCTCTCTGAAAAGTAAAACAACAGTCACATTGTGAGCAAAGGGATATGTGGTAAAATGAGCACTTCAAAGCCTGCTTACCGGTTCTCCTGGTGTGGATGTTTTCTGCCCCATGAATTGATGCTGATGTGGATGCTATGGAACCAGCAGTGACCCGGCCTATACAAGTGTCCTCCACAAGGCTGTATCCATGGGTGTGCATTTCACAGTCTGCAGATGAGAAAGCGTTGTTTTGGCAAATGCTGTCAAGAGACACTTGACACAGAGATAAGATAGCTTGGCTACTTTCCTCATTGAACGCCTAATGTAGGACTTTCCAACTGCAGTGGTTAGTGAGAGTGATTATACCAGAACTGAAAAACCAATGCACGCCTATTGTAGTCAGTTTAGGTGACTATAATAAAATAGCAGTTGGGTAACTTAGAAATAACACAAATTGATTTCTCACTGTTATGTTGGCTGAGAAGTCCAAGATCCAGACACCAGCAGATGCAGTGTCTGGTGAGGGCTCTCTTCCCACCATCTTCCTGTCAGTCTTCCCATGGGAGAGGGGCAAGGGGGATCACAAGGCCTCTTTTGTGAGGCACGAATGGGCATGAGGGCTCCAGGCCCATGATCTAACCACTGGCTAAGTCTCCAAATGCCATCACCTTGAGGGAATATGTATCCTTCACTGAATTTTGGGGGCAAACAAATATTTAGCCTATAGTAATTACTAAACAAAAAGAATGACAGCTTTTCTATTTTTCTCTTTGATAGCTTGATAATGAACTTGAGAAGACAGCAAATCTTGTTATTAGCAACTGGAATCAGCAAATTAAGGCAAGTATTTACAAATACTATTAGAATAAACTCAGTTTATAAGATTGAAACTTTTTGAGTTTTGCACAGATATGATCATTTGCTTTAATGTTAAGACTCCCCGGTGTTAATTGAAGAGAAAAATGTTTCCACATCTGAATTATTACATAGATACATCTTTTAACTATTCCAAAGAAAAGTGTAGTTGAAAACGTGACTAATATTTGTGGCTAAGACATGGCATGTATTATGTGCCCATATATTTATATACTGAATCATTACAAGAACCCAATGTGATGTGTGATCTTGCATTGTCTCGTTTTGTAGAGGGGGAAACTGAGATGCAGTGTAAACAATTTTCCCGAGAGGATAGAGCCAGTTAGTGTTTCAAGCAATGGTCCTTAAAATTCTCAGACTCCAGAGTCATTGCTCTTTCCCATTACACTGCACTGTCTCTTTGCATAATTTGAAATTACAGCCAGTGACAAGCAGACCTGAGCTGTGGTTTTCTGTAGAAGAGCCTCAGTGATGCTCACCTCACTCACTAGTGAGAGCAGCGTGTGTGTGTGTGTGTGTGTGTGTGTGAGAGAGTGTTGGGGGTGGGGTATGGGGGGGTGACAGGTCCAGAGGAGGTCATAAGTTGATTTCAAAAGTGTGTATGGTCCACCTCCTGTGCACAACACTGTGTTAAGACATGATCCTTGTCTTCAACTAGCTTAAAATTTAGCTGGTGATATAATATATGTGTAAGAAACAGTGAATAAATTACAAGGAGAGGAATTAAGTTCTGGAGTGAAATGCTGGAGAATACTTTTATAAGTTCTTAAGTGGCAAAAATAGCAGATGGAACCCATATGTATGGGAGATTATTCTAGAATAATCTGGTATTAGAGGAATTCATTTCAAGTAAGAAGGATAAGAGGCTAGGAAATCTGCTCTAAAACCTAAGCGATTCCCTTGAACAGGACTTGCATCCCAAGAGTTGGAATTTTCCTTTTTCATCTCCAAAGTTTTGGTGCCTAAAGAGAACCTTTGCAAATAAGTAGCCACTGTGCCAAATAACCAGAGATGCCCTCAGACATATCTCCAGGTGACTCAGACACTTCTGATGAAACTGAAGACTACATAGGCCAAGGTCATAACAAGAGATGTCTGAGACTGTGAGCTTCTGCACCCAGTAGTTGTGCTAGAAAAGGAATTTCATGAGAATCACTTTTATAATAAATACTTCTTATCTGAATATTTATATTTAAAATCCCCAGATAAATGTCCAGTCCTTTTTATTTTACCTTTGCTCTTGATTTTCTGAGCTTTCTTAAAAACAATTGTTTAAAAAAATTCATTTTCTTTCAAGATTCAGCATTCACAGGAAATTCAATACAGTGAACCAAAAGCCAGAAACAATATTCAGAAGCTACAATTGCTTCCAAGAACAAAATTTTATATATATATAATTTCCCAGTTTCTACCAAGACATTTTTCTAAATAAAGTGGTTCTGTTTTTTATGAAGAGTGACAGAGAAATTAGAGAACATAAAATTCTTGAGCTATATAATGCTCTCCCCAGTTGCAATCCAAGCACTTGAGCGTGCTGATCATGAAATGCAGTCTATTTTGGAGGCACAAAGGCAAAACCTTAAAGGACCAAGTACCCTCGCCTCACTCGCTAATTTACCAGCAGGTATGTGACTGACTGAAGGTGGAGGAAAAGGACTATGGAATGTTTGATCATAGAGTCTTCAGGTATTCTGAGTGAGACGGGAGCCTTTGCTTCTGGTTCCTCAGAGAGACCTTTTCCTTTTTTGCTGTCCAGTCTCACAGTCCTTGCAATCCTGAAAAGCCAGCCTCAATCAACCGTGTTTCTGAGCAGGCTGAATCCAACTCAACTTAGATATTTCTGCATACTTTACCTCTGTGGCATCAGCTTTCAGCCAAATTCAAGTGTGTGGAATAAGACACGATCCTCTGGAATGCTTTGAGGCATCCACGGGGTGGCCAGAGGGAGAGCTTCCTCCTTCCCCGCCTCTTCCCTCACAGCCCATGCCCCGACAAGCACAGGGCCTTTTCTAAGATGCCAGGCAAGCCCAGCTCTCAAGTTGTGTGCCAGAGAGGGAGGTCTCTGCACTTGCTGAACTTTTAAGGGAATATTTTAAAACAACTTCAACTGTAGCCAGTTTGATTTAAAAGAGTGGTACAGGCAGGCTTCCATGTTTGTTGTGGTACAGCCATTAGTCCCTGTGAGACAATGCCGTGGAGGCCTGCAGGCCTTCAGTGATTTAGCAAAGTGTATAACCCCTTGAGAGTACCCAATACAATAACAAAATCACACAGTGGTCCTTATGCAAAGCGTTCACTGCTGCGGTGTTATAAGCAGATTTTGAGTTGAGAGCAGGAACGAAGAGCTAAAACAATACAATCATCCAAGCTAGCGTGGAAGCATGCCTTGTTCCAGAACACAAGGGTTTGTCTCTTGGGAATCAGTTTCTGCTCCTATTATTTCCCCCTTGTTTGTATGGTTCTGACTCTAGGCTAAGAAAAAGTTAATGGTGAGTACCAAGAAGCATGAAGCCCTTTTCCATCTTATAGAAAGCTCCAAGCAATCTGTGACTGAGAAGGAGAAGCAGAAGGTAAGCTGCCCTGCCGCCTGGGACGTGTGGTTGGGAGACAGGTGCACTTCCTGCCCTTACTTGGGGGCCCCAGAACTGGCCATTCCTCACTTGGGGTGGGTTCTCTGCAGAGCTATAGGCTGACCAAGAATGAGGGGGGGTCCCAGCTCATTCCTGATCTACAGAAAGTTTTAGAAAGTATTATTGACAGAGGTCACCATGTCCAATTTATTTTTCTTTGTTACAGAATTCTATTAATAGAAAAAACTCAGTCCAAATAAACAACAATTATGTGTACTTACATATGCTATTATATATAGAAATTTATATGTTATGCTAATATGTTGTGAACATTGTAAAACAAAGTAGAAATGCTTGCAGGATGAGGCAAAGATGAAACAGTAAATGATTAGCTGATAGGGCTGCTTTTATACAATCACTGGGGAATAATCATTAAGCAAATGTATCTGCAAAATAAACACTTGGGGAAAGGCTTCGCCTTTACCACAGTAAATATAAATTCATGTTTCTAACAGTCCTTTTGATCATTTTAAATTTTAAAGCAATTAAAATGTCTTCATTAACATCTTGTCATGTTCCACTAGGTCATCCTGTTACTGCTTTCTCACATGGGTGGTGTTTGCTTATCACCAGGAGCTGGAGAAAGTATCAGCTCTGATGTTTAGTTTACGTTTATATTATTATTAGCAAAATCAGTCCAATGGTTCACGGCAGAAATATATCTAAGATGCATGCATCTGTGTATATTAGCTCAATTAAAGCTAAATAATACCTCTGTAAATCCATGATCCAGGCACACGTCAAAAACTACATGTACTACATGAGAAATAAAGACCTTTATGGGGGCTATGGCAGCTTCTCATGATACCAAATCCCCCACTTGTCCCAAGCCACCTCAGAATCCACAGCTGTCCACATGTGGACATCAGTGTCCTCTTGTCTATTAAATAAGAGCAAGTTCAAAACTATTCTTAGGCAAACATGAAAACCCATAATATTGGGGTACAGGAGGAAAATTGAATATTTTCTATCGGTACGCCAAATAGGCTGTCTCATTTACTTCTTGTGATTTGTGTTCCGTACCAGAAACTATGAAACACTCACCTTCTCCAAAAGATGGAAGGGAAGGCAGCCAGCACCACTGTGGCCCCTAACATTATTAAAAAGAAAATGGTCAATGCAAGAGGGTGCGTCATTTCATCTGAAGAAGCCAGTAGTTGAATAACTTAAATTCACTGTTAGCAAGATTTTACCAGCTTCCTAATTCTAAACTTCAGTCTTCACAGTTTGAAAGGCTCATAGCAAGTGCTAAATAATGATCTGCCCCTCAGATGTGCCAAAGGCACCAGGACCTGTTCTAGGCATTCTGAGCCCTCATTAGAAGCTGGTCTTTATTACTGCCAAGCAATCACGAAAGGAAAGCTTGCCCCACTGAGGGGTGATTTCCTCTTCCTTCCTTATTAAAAGATCGCCTGAGAGGTCCAAGTCCACAGGCCTCTGCTCTCCTGCAGTGTCCTCCAACCATGACTTCTGCCTGGCTTTGTGTCACGCATCACCCTCATCTCCACTGCTGCGAAGCTGCTGTAATACTTACGAAGCTGAAAACCTGAGACAGTATTCATTTCTCATCCACACAGAAGCACCGTGTTCACAGCATCGCCACCCCTCTGTGCTGCTAGCCATTCTTTCCACGCTCCTGCTCAGCCGTCCTGGTGCAAACCAGAAGCTGATCTAAGCCTTTGTGTTCTTCTTCTCCATCCTTATCCCCCTCTCTAGCACACTACCCTGCTTCCTGCATCACAGAGCAAACAGAAGTCAGCAGGCCACCTGCCCCCAAGGGGAGCCCCACCCTGCCGCCTCTTCGGGACCCTCTGTGGGATGTCCCCACTTTTGGATCTTGGAAACATTCCCTCCACTGGTTCATTCCCATCAGTCTTCTCACATCTCCCATCTTAACCTGCTTGGGCTGCCTTAGCTAATACCACAGTCTGGGCATCTGAGACAGCAGACAAATTACCCCTCGTGTATCTGTAGACTGGAAGGCCAAGCGCAGGATCCCAGTAATGCTTGGGTTCCGGAGAAGGCCGTCTCCCAGGCTGCAGACTGCAATCCTTTGGTTATATCATCTCATTACAGAAGGAGGACAAGAGAGACCTCTGGGATTCTTTCACAAGGGCACTAATCCTATTCATGAGAGCTTTACTGGCAACAGCCAATCACCTCCCAAAAGCCCCATCACCCATCACCTTGGGTGTTCAAATTTTAGCCCATGACTCATAGAACACACAGACATTCAGACTACTGCACCCAATTCTTTTCTTTTCTTTTCTTTTCTTTTCTTTTTTTTTTGTCTTTTTCCTTTTTATCGGTACCGGGGATCGAACTCACGACTGCCTGCTTCCAAGGCAGGCGCTTATGCCGCTGAGCTAAACCTCCAGTCCCTGCACCCAGATCACGAAAACTGAAAAAGTCGGGGCCATCTTGTCATGGCCCTCCTCCTGTTCCTCCCTCACCCTCTCTCTTTCTATTTACAATAAGATTTTTTGACAGGATTGATTGCTGTCTCCACTTTCAAAGCTCCTGTTCATGCCTCCACACTGACTGCCTTAACCAAGCTTTCCCTACCTCAGCTTGTTCTTGGCAGCCACAACAATGTCCTGGTTGTGAAAGTCAGTGGGTATTTTCCAGTTCTTAAAGAACTTCTTAGAAGCTTTGCTCTGTGAGGTGAGAAGCAATGTTTCAAACATTGTTCGTTTCCCCCTCTCAGGAATATTCTCCTCTTTTTAATGGTAGCAGTAAGTCTCTCTTTGGTTTTCCTCCTACTTCTCTGGAAATTTTAACTTAGATTCCTTTTTCTCACTGACATTTTATATTACTTTTCTTAAGGACTTCTCTTTGGCCGTCTCTGTTTAATTCATCCCCGGATTTCCACATCCAGTATAATATTCTCGACTTCAAGTGGTCAATAAATTTACTCTTAAGAATCCGACTACCATATCTATGAGAACAATAGCCAGTACCAATCTCCAGCCCATACCTGTCTCCAAACCGCCTCCGGCACCTCCCAAATCAGACTCACCACTTCTCTCTACCAAAAATATTTGCTCTTCCTGGTTCCTAGATCCTTGAATATTACCACCCGCTATACCCTCTCAGTTCTAATCCCTAAAGCCAACACTTTTTGAACTTCTCTGTTTCTACCTGTCTCCCTGCAGTGCTGTCTCTGATGACAGTTTCTGGATTACTGCAACAAACAAATCGGTCTCTGTGCCTCCTGTGTTCCTCTTCCTGTCTAATCCCAAATACAAGTGAATCCGAACTTATCATTTTCCCATTAAAAGCCATTAAAGGCTCTCCAGTGACCTCAGAGTCCAGGACACCCTCTCCTATGTGACACTTAAGACGCTCCTTGCTTTGACTTGAGCCTAGAACTTGAGCATCATTTCTCCTCTCTTCTCCTCCTCTCTCTTTCCCTCTCCTTCTTTCTCTGTTTTGCTCTCCATTTGTCTCTCTTTCTGAATTCCAACCTCACCAATGTTTTGTGTCATGTCTTGATATTCTGTCATGCCAATTCTTACTTTCATTTTAGGTTTACTTATGCAAGGATCTGGGTTTTTTTCACCACCAAGTCCATGCAAAGTGACAGTTTAAATGTCATTTTCTTTCTAAGACTAGTTTAATTGCCTCTTTAGTGACAGCTAAGTACATCTATTATCCAGGATCCCTGGGACCCATCACAACATAGCAATGGCCTATATGCTTCCTTAACTAGAGAAGGAACCTATTTTGTTCTCTTTTATTTTCCCAAAACTTTGCCTATGACATACTGCAGTCACTCAGTAAATGTCTGATGAGTAAGATGTTCCTTCCAAAAGAAAGAAAAAAGAAAAAAACCAATGTCTACAAATTTTAGTCAAGAAAGTTTTAAAAATAAAACATAGGAGTCTAGATTCTTCTATATGTCCACTGAGGGCTATTTCCAGTACGTTCACCACATAGAAACATATAGTCAGTAGTGCTGTGGGGTAGGCTAGTGAATACAAGCAGTGATCTCAGAAGTGAGTCATTGCTCATGGCTGGGTGTCTACACATTCTCCTGAGAATCTGAGACGATGTTTAGTAAAGTATAGCATAGCGCTCTTTAGCCCTCGCACTGTGTGATTATCAAGGTAAAATTCACACAAGCTCATGTTTGTACAGACAGATTTGGTTCATCACATTTGAAATACAAAACTAATGTGCCCTGGTCATACATCTGAGTGGAGAGACAGTTAAATAGCCAGCCCATCATAGCAATAGATAAACTAGAGTGAATGGTATTAATATTCAGCACTTGGAATAAATGTTCTTCATTACTATGACATTGGTCAAAATTACCTTAAACATAAAGAGTATCATTCTCACAAGCCATTGTCTCTATCCTTGAAACTACTAAACTGCTAAAACAGGGATGTTACTGCTATTCCTTAAAGCGTGGATTAAGCATGATTTGCATGGCAAATGTTTAAAGAGGGAGTGAAAGTATCTCATGACAGAATTAATGAATCAGTATTGCTACTAGTGGAGTCCAGACTTGAAATTTTGCAAGTCCCTCAGGTCAGACCTAGGCACAGGAAAGCTTTAAAATCATTCTTGGAAAACTAACTTACCTCCGTTCTCAGAGATACGAAATTACATGTGTGGGCATTTTAATCATCGATTTTGGCTATTGCGGTCCGGGAACTTTTGTGTATCTTTGATTTCCCTAAGATTTGGAATGGCATACATATTTTGGTGACTAGCAAGAGGGATCACTGGTGAGAGGAGGTCGTCTGTCATTACTGCCCATGTGTCACACTGAACAATGGGCATGCGTCACAGGCTTTTCTCTAGTAATAACCATACTCATCAGTCTTTGGGTCCCTTTCAAGCTACCGGCCGAGTAAATAACATGTGTCTTAGCTGCATTACCTGTGTGAATCCTCAAAGCAGCACAGGGGAGTGGGAGCTGCTATGAGCCCCAACACGGAGATGAAGGAAACAGTGGCTTGTGAGATTTAAGTATCTTAGCAGCAGCCAGAACCAGGGCTCCTGATTTCAGAAGTCTGATTTCAAAGCTGTAATGTTTGCTCTAAAATGGTCAGAAAGGAAAGTGGCCTACTTTAAAAATTACATAATGTCACAAGTCTCTACCTGTCTCATAATAAATGCAAGAACCTGAAGTATTGCCCCATGAGACTGCAGAATGTAATGGTAGCAGCAGTTTTAGATTGCAGATCCTTGACCTGTGCTTTTGGTTCTCAAATTTCCTGTTGTTTTGCCTTCTTGATTTGATTTTGCCTCCTGGGCAAATTATTCCATATGCAAGTCCTCAATTTCTTCATATATAATATTGAAAGGACTTTAAGTCCTTTATGGTTCTGTCATCCTTCTTTTCTGAAAAGGAAAAAGTCTTTTGGTTTTGTTGATTATAGAGTTTTGTATTATTGGACCACATATACTGCTTTCTGTGGAATTGCAAGGGGTTTTTATAAATATGTAAATAAATATGACAGTGACAGTGATGTTTTTACTTTAGCTCTTCAATAAACTGAAAAAATCGACTGAGAAGTTGGAAAAGGAAGATGAAAATTACTACCAAAAAAACATAGCAGGCTATTCAACCAGACTGAAATGGGAAAACACACTAGAAAACTGTTACCAGGTAAATTTGTGTTCATATTTGTTTCTTTTGTGGAGCTTTACCTGACCTTGGATGAAGGTGAGATCCATAATTACAAAACCTAATTTCTATCCTAGTGATGATTCTCCATCTTATAGTGACTCTTGACAAGCCACATTTCCCCTCATAATTTCCGTTTTTCCATGAATACAGTTACCAACGAAAATTTATGGAGTAGCATTTGCCAGAGTGTCTGTTTCTAATTCCCAATGACCTAATAGCACTCAGCTAATTGTAAAAGTGCCTTCAGAGTAAAGTGTAACTTCAGGCTTAGATATTAGGTACCCAGATGTGAGTTTCAGCTGATGACTGGCTCACACAGTGGTCACTTACAGAGTTCCTTAGCGTGACAGGCATGGTGCTACCACTGGAGATTTATCACACTTTATTTTTTTTATTTTATGGAAAAAAGATAAAACAGAATTTCATAACAAAATGACAGGACAATAACAATAGTGACTACATTATATGTTGTTATTTTTAAAGTAATTGCTCAGGGTACAAGATAGGGCATAGAAATTTTCCACTCTATATTAGCACAAATCTTCCTTTTTAATGAACTAAGAGACACTAATAGTATAATGGACTTGTGTTTTTTCCCATTTCCCTACTGTCTTTTCTGAAGGCACCTATTTTAGTTATTTTTCCTTTTGAACATTTTCTTCCCATTTCACAATATCTATTGTACATTTTAGAACTAATTTACATTTTCAGTTTCTCATGCCAGAGAGACAATACAATGTTTTCACCTGTAAGGCTGACTTATTTCACTTATGGGTATCTTCACACTTTAAATGTGCACCTTAGAAATACAAACAAACTCATAAAAAATGAATTGTGACAAACTGTCCCACAAAAATAGTCAAAAACGTGAAAAAGAAAGTCACAAAAGGGAAATCAAAATCCCCTAAGCAAATGAAAAGTTGGCTCAATCATTTAGCAAAATTAGGAGGGAATAATATCAAGTATTGGCAAGGACATTAGAAGACAAGAGTTCTTGTGCCCCTCTGGTGGGAATAATCTAATGGTATCTAATAAAACTGAAATGCTCATGGACCCCCCACACCAGCAGTCCCCCTTTAGGGAGGAGCATCAACTCTTGTATTTCAGTAATGCTGGAAGAAGCTGGGCGTGGTGTGCGTGCCTGTTATCTCAGCTACGTGGGAGGCTGAGGCTTAAAGACTGCATGATCAAAACCAGCCTGGAGGCAACTTACAGAAACTTTGTCTCTAAATAAAAATTTCAAAAAGGTATGGGGATGTAGCTCAGTAGCAGAGCACATACTTAACATGCACAAGACTCTGGATTCAATCCCCAGTGCTACAGAAAAAGTTTATTATAGAAATGCTCATAATTGGATGGCGAAGAAAAATTATGCATAGTTTTCATATCCACTCTGCAGGAACCATTCAAAACTGTGAGCAAACTATGCAAGCTCGGCATCTCCTCCTTCCTCCATCCAACACTGCTTCTGTAGGGTGGCGCTCACGAGGAGCTGGCCTGTTGCGTGTGTTCAGCTTTGCTGAGGCTGTGGGCATTATGGTCTCTTTGCCATTTGTCCTTTTTTGTGTTAGTTTCCCTTTCTCAGGTTAGAATCCTCCTGCTCCTTTCCTCCCCTCTTTCATTATTTTTAATTTTTAGATTGTGGCATCACAGAAATTACCTTTCTTTCCTTACAAAACTGATCTGATGCTGACAAGGTGCACATTCGCTGACATTACAAAAGACCTCTTTTGAACTTCAGATTGTTTGTTACTCTCATTGTTTTATTAAAATGCAAGTCACAGGGAGTATCATTCAAACCCATTTCCTTGAGGGAAAGTAAGGTTTTTCCTTTATTCCTCTTGTATCACTGTGCTGGAGGGCAGCAGTGTCTCACCCCGCCTCTTGTTCAGCCCATGCAGCCCCTGGGACCCACCTTCCTGTAAGCTCCCGTCTGCCTCCTGAGTGCCTGGCCCAACTGGAGACAACCTCCGTCAGGTCATCCTTGCTGCACACTCAGCCCCAATAATGATACCCCTGCTTTCTGAGCCTAGGCGCTCTCAGTCTATACCCATAAATCTTTCCCTCATTTATTACTCTTTTCATTCTACATCTTCTGTAAATTTACATAAGTAGAAATACAGATTCACAAAGACATATACCAAAAGCAGACTGAATTCACTAAAAGAATTTCAGTGTAAGTAGAATGGGATAGCTAGGGCTTTTCAATTTCATTTTTGTTCATACTCTCACCACTCTTCTTTAAAAATTAAATATAAAAGTTCACTTTAGCCTAGCATATTGCTGCATGACACAATCCCAGCTGTTTAGGAGGTGGAGACAAGAGGATTCTAAGTGCAAGACCAGCCTAGGAGCTGAGCAAGGCATTGTCTCAAAATTAAAACAGGGAGTTGTGGAAATGTGGATCTTCAGTAACACACACAGAATTCATTTTAGAGTCCTATAAAGTATCTTCTCATCTCTTCTTACTCTGTAGGTTGCATTTACAAGTTTCTTCAGGGAACACTTACTACGCTCAAGACAGTTTCCTAGATATTGTGAGAAATACTATAAAGTCTGAAGTGTGGCTATTAAGTGATGAAACCAATTGCACAAATCACATGTTGAAATTATCCTTCTTACTTCATGGTCATATTATATTCCTGAAGAAGCAATTCAATTGATAGACATTTTCTATAATATACTTTAAAAAATAATGGCTGCACTATTAAGAATTTTGAAGAATCAAAGGCTTGGTACTGATAATGCTTACTCAAGGAATCATTTTACACAACAATTTGCAATATGTGCTGAAAGCATTTAAAATGCTCCTTTTCTCACTGGGTGTGGTGGTGCACCCCTGTGATTCTAGCACTTGGGAGGCTGAAGCAAGAGAGCCCCATGAGTTTGAGGCCAGCTTGGGCTACATAGTAAATTCAAGGCCAGCCTGAACTACATAGGGGAGACCATGCATGTCTCAAAAAAAAAAAAAAAAAGAAAAAGAAAAAGAAAAAGAAAAGAAAGAAAGAAAGAAAAAAAAAGAAAGTGCCTTTTCTCAACCAGTGCTCTTATCTGAACTAGAGAGCAAGGAAACGATCCGAGTGACCATTTTCTCAGCTCTAGCAGGGATGGTGCTTGGCCAGTATCACTTAGGAGCAGACAAGTGGAAACTTGTTACAGCTTGTGTCACTGAACAAGGAGACGACATTCTGAGAACTTATCAGAGGGCCATGTCATTATCTGAACATCCGTAGACACCTAGATGGTGTAGTGTAGGTCACTCAGTCAATGAGACTTGATGTAATCAAGTGATGAAGTAAACATCAGATGTATGAAGCTGTAGCTTGTTGAGTACAGCACACTGTTTTATGGTAATTTTTTTTACAAATAGAAGTTGTGCCCTCTAAGAGTGATAAAAAGTATGACATAATAAATACACAAACATAGTTATTTATTATCATATATTAAGCACATTACACAATTGTTCATGCTCTACTCTTACACCACTGGCAGTACAGTAGGTAGGTTGACACCAGCATCACCCCAAATGTGTAATTACTATATTGTGCTATGGTGTCATGATGGCCAAAGTTTCAGTAAATAATAGGAAATTTTCAGCCCCATTGTGATCTTATGGGACCACTGTATAGATGGTTGACATTGATTAGAAAATCTTCACGAAGCACATGAATATATGAAATGTGATTAAAATATACAGTTAATGTCTAAATAAAAGCTGAATTTTTGCAATAAAAGACACATTGCTATTAATTTTCCTCAAAATACTTCCCATCACTTCAATCACACTTATCCCATCATTGCAATTTTTTGAAGCAGTTCTGGAAATCTTTCATGATTTTTTTTTTTTTGTGTTTGCTTTAATGTCCTAAATTGATTCAAAACACCGACAACAATTTCTGTCAAATAACATTACAGTTTGTCGTATCCACCTTATTCCCTGGATTGGGTACCATGTGACTTGTGACTCATCTCCAAAATCAAAATGACCACAAGAGCAGAACATTTTAATCAATTCAGGACATTGAGTCAGCCATAGACAACAGGTCAACCCAAGACACACAAGAAAGAGGGCTTCCAGACCTGCTTTAGAAAATGACAACCATGATAGGATAAGGGGGTTGAAGTGAGGAGGTTTTAAGGGGAAACTAGTGGCAATGTTTCTTTTACTTTAGGCAATTTTTAAAATGAAAACATGTACTACATTTTTTAGCATACCTGGTATATGCATTAAATACCTTAGGACAGAGGTGGCGAACCTATGGCACGCATGCCGCAGGCAGCCATTTGTTATCATTTAAAATCCTAAAAGGTTCGCCATCAGTTCCTTAGGACATTAGTGTTTAATTCTCTCCTAGGTCTCACATTTTTAAAAAAAGTAATTTCCTTTCTACAAATCTGTTTTGAAGAAGTAACTGAAAATAGCACATGAATTTATGCTGAAAATACATTAAAGTTAAAAGGAAAGAAACAATTCAGAAAGGAATGGCTAAATGGCCTGCACAACTGACTACTATGAGACACTGAAATGATATTTTCAGAAACTACTGGCATGGAAAGTTGCTCAGGTGTGAGGTCAAGTGGAAAAAAACTAGAATTCCAAATTTGAGCAATTTGGTAGATAATAAGACAAAATCTCATACACTCAATAGTCAGAAACTCATCAGAATGTTTCTAGTGGTCATCTCTGGGCGGAAGAATGGTGACGATTTTAGAACGCATTTGTTTGCAGCCTTTGTGCCCCTCGGGTAATATTTCGAGGCACCTGGCATATTTGTTAAAGTGCAGATCTCTTCACACCTCCCCAGACCTGATGGATTGAAATCTCTGATTTTAGAAAAGGGTTCCAGGTGACTTCTAGATCTTCAAGAACCCCTGGCTTACGAAGAGCATGATACTTCTTTTATCAGTTTTCTGAAAGCAATTTAAATGAAAACACAGTTCCATCAAGTCTTTTTGTAGTGCATAGCCGAACCCTGGAACAGCGGGACCTGGATAAAGAATGAAGACTGGATTATCGTGATGCTGTGTTCCAGACGGGCTCTAAACCCACTGTCTCCTACGGCCTCAGTCTGACCACAGTCTTTTTCCTTTTTTTTTTTTTTTTTTTTTTTGTTCAGGCCATTGTGAAAACACAAGAGGACAATTTGAAGTCCTTCAGAGTCTTATCCCTGCATTGCTCATCTTACAGAAAAAGGAAGATAGTAGGAATAATTCAATAATGAGATATGGGTTTCCCCTTTGCACAGTGGAATTTATTTCCACCTCTTTTCATGAGCAAACATAGATCATTTTAATGGTTTCCCCACAGGGTAATTAAAATCTGTTAAACATTACTGTCTCTACCAAAGGACGCCGGTTGTTTTAGTCTCAGATTGATGTTCCTGGTATAGCACTTGTCAAAGTACAGAAACAGCTGCCCCCGGGGATCCAATGTGCTCTGAAACCTGGCTTTTTCTTTTTTCTTCCCTGTCTTTTGCTCCTAGTGATAAACTGGAACATCTGCTTTCTAGATCTTTTTCTGTAGGGTAAGGACTTTTTTTCTTTTATTGAAGAGTGTCCTGTTTCAGATCCAAACAAATGAGCAGAATTTGTTTCAGATATTTATTGTGAGGCCTTTGATTCTGCCCTCTGAAGAAGCAATATTTGAGAGGCTATACATCTGTGTCTCTTATACTTTATCTGGGAGACAGAAGGGCAAATGATCATATTCAAATGGCTGGTGCCTGTGATTTTGGAGACTCTGTAGACTGTCAGCAGAAACAAAGCATGTGTTTCCTGCTGACTTACAAAAATTGTGCAGCTTCTGCCGTATTTAAGAAGACGACTACAGGGCACAGCTCCACGTTTTCTGTCCACAGGTCAGGAGGCTGGGCTGAGCCTCTACATTTGCATGATTGGCATCGGTGTTCACAGTTACCACCTGGGCTTTTCACTGCTTGAATCTGAAAGGAGCATTGAAACAGTTTTACAGTTGACCAACAAAGCATAACATATGTAGTGGAATATTGTGCAACCTTAAAAGGGAAGAAAATTCTGATGTATACCACAGCACAGATGAATTTTGAAAACATGCTAGGTGAAATAATCCAGACATGAAAAAATATTTTATGATTTCTCTTATTTAAGATATGTATAGTAGTAGAATTCATTGATACAGAAAATACAATGATGATTTCCAGGGCTCAAGAGAGAATAGAAATGGCCAGTTATTATATCATGGGTGGGGTGTCAATTTTTTAAAAGATGAAAGTTCTGGATATGGGTGCTGCTGATGGCTGCACAACAATGCAAATCTATGTGGACACTGAATTACACACTTAAAGTGGGTAAAATGAAACCAGGCATAACACCTATAATTCCAGCACTCAGGAGGCTGAGGCAGGAGGATCACTAGGAGTTCAAGACCAGCCTGAACTACACAATAAGACTCTGTCTCAAAAATGGGGGGGGGGGTTAAAATGGTACACTTTGCATTATGTAAATTTTACATAGGCGATAGTGGGACATTGCACTAGGTCAGGCAGGTGGGCCTGCAGCTGTGATGCAGGATGCAGGCCAGGAGACCTCAGTGTGCTCCGTGGCTCTCCCCATCCCCACCTTTCTAGCAAACATCTTGAGACACAGCCATGCTTCTTCCTCCTTAAAGTCATATTACCACCAATTTTCCTGAAGCCTTCTTCATGCTAGACCATCGCTGAGTGCTTTTTACTTTGTGAGACAGAGAAGATAGGATGACAGCTGTAAAAGCACCCCACCTGGCTGCCTCTAGGCAAAAGGATAAATTGTCCTTTTAAAAACAGGGCAGAGAGAATTTTGTCTTGGACATCTTCCATCTTCATGAAGTCCAAAGTACTCTGGGCGCATCCCTGTTCCCAGCAGCCTCTCCTGCTCCCCTGTGGCCTGGGGATCTCCCCTGCACACCCACCAGATCTCACTGAACTCTGCCCTCCCTCTAAGCCACTAGTCAGCAGCTGGAGCAGCAGGTCTCTAATAACTGTTTCTGAAGTGTTAATTGCTAACCAGCCAGTGTGGTGCCCCTCACTTCCCTATTTACCTTCCTCCTCAAAGCCCTGAATGCCATGTGGAACTGCCATTCACATAGTCATCTCACTTCCCAAAGAGCAGGCCTTGGGGCTGGGGATGTAGCTCAGTGGTAGAGCACTTGCCTAGCACATACAAGGCCCTGGGTTCTGTCCCCAGTCTCATAATAACAAAACAAACAAAAAGTAGACCCTGATCCTTGACCCTAATTTTAGTCCAGGATTACAAATTGATCAGACTTTGGGATTCTTGCTGCCAAATAGCCTCCTTAGCCAGCAACATGCATTTCACCTCTGCCTGGCAGAGACCGACAGACTCATGCACTGAGAGACATAGGCAAACCTGCACTGTGATTCTGGATGTATCTGGTGTCTAAATGCATTTCCAACATGTGACTATGGGTTTCCTGAGCTTCCCTTTCCTTTTCCAGAAATCACAGATACATTTTAAATACACTCTTTTCTTTTTCTCTCTTTCTTTGTGAACATCTTATAGCCCACGGCATCAGTATAAAGCCTTTGGGGGCAAAAGACCCTGGAGAAACCTTTTGAGCTAAAGTCATCTTAAAGTAAGATAATGAACATGAAGTCTCCTTTCTCTCCTGGAAATCTCCCTCCCTGTGACACAGTAAGAAGACAGGTCCTGACAGTTAGCTCAAACTCCCTCCAGGTGTACTGGAGTTTGATGAATGACTTCAGTTTTGCAGAGCAAATGGTTGATCTTATCTCATTTTCATCTTCTTCAGAGCATCCTGGAGCTGGAGAAGGAAAGAATTCAACTTTTATGCGACAACTTAAACCAGTACAGCCAACACATTTCTCTTTTTGGCCAAACCCTGACCACAGTGAGTCATGAAGATTTCTCTAGTTCTGGTGTGCATGGTAAGGACTGGCAGAAAACAATTCTGCACCAACTTTGTACTGTTTTTCTTGCATTACAGTGCCACACACAGATTCACTGCGCCATCAGCAAGGTTGACATTGAAAAAGATGTCCAGACCCTCATGGAAGAAACTGCAGTGTTATCTGCAGAAAACAAATCTCAGTTCTTGTTAACTGATTACTTTGTAAGTAAGGAACGGCAGTACCTGAATGGGGTGGGGATGCTAGGTAGAGTGAGGAAAAACTGAAACTAACTGTCAAGTAAATATTGTTTTGTAAATGAAAATACTGATTTTTTACATAGTTCATATAAATAATTACATGGTATATGGTTTACAAACTGGAAAATGGCAATATGTCTTTCATATTCTTTGGAAGAAAGTCAAAAAGGGTTTTAGGTAGAATCTTCTTGTTCAGTCTGTGGCTTAGTCTGTTTTATGGTGCTGTAAAAGAACACAACAGACCAAGCAACTCATAAAGTACACCGGTTTATTTGGATCAAGGTTCTGGAGCCTGGGAAGTCCAAGACCCAGGGACCATGGCTGGTGAGGACTTTGTTCCGTCACACATGGCAAAAGGCACTGAGTGGGTGAGACAGCAAGAGAGGGCTGAACTTGATTTTATCACCAGCACACTGTCGTGTTGATAACATCAGTCCATTCAGGCTGAGCCCGCGTGACCCAGGCACCTCTTAAAAGCCTCACCTGCTAACTCCTTTGCATCAAGGCTCAAGTTTCCAACACGTGAATTTTGGAGGACATTTAAAAGAGTAAGAGTCATACCAAACAGATGTGTCTTGTGATCTGTAAATAACGCCTGTGTGTCACATTGTGCCTGGCCTGGCTGTCTACGCAAAATCACCACCAGACTTAATGATCTAAAACTGATGCTGATGAGCTCACAATTTACATGGGCCAGAAATCCAGGCACTGTTTTGTTGAGTCCCACGTAAGCCTTCAGTTATGGTGTCTGCCAGCACTGGAGACATGGTAAGGCTCTGCTCGGAGAGAATCCACATCCAAATTCATGCAGGTGGATCCATGGCCAAGCTCATTGGCCTCTAGTTTTAGCTGGATTTTGGGAGATCTGCTTCCTTGAGCACATGGGATTCTCTTTCTCCCTTCATGATGGCCTGTGTTCCCCAGAATGAGTGATACAGAAGAGACAGAGCCAGGGTGCCCACAAAAGGATCGGGTTCAGCAGTAAACTAAGCTCAGGAATGACAGCTCATCTAATTCTGTTTGTGAGAAGCAAGTCGGGAAGAGTGGCCTGCAGCTGGGGAGGGAACTGCACAAAGGTCTGGGTCCAAGGAGGTGGAAATCATTATCAGTACTTTAATAGGTCTTCTCTTGAAAACCTTGGCCCAAATTACCTGAGACTTACTTTGAAGGCATTTGGGTGATTCTACTTCATGACCTCTCTGGCTGAAAATTGATCATTGTCCCTAGAGCCCCCGATAACATTGTGTCTCTGCTATCTTGGGGTAAATCTCTGCCCAAAGATTTTAGACTCTGCTTCCCTGTTGTTAGGTTTAATTGTAGTGTTCTCCTTCCCCTCCTTTCCCTGCTCTTCTTCTCCCTTTCCTCTTCCTTGTTCTCCTCCTTCTCTTTGTCCTCATCCTTGTCCTCCTCTTCCCCTCCCTCTTTTTCCTCTTCTTCTTCCTTCTTCTACTTCTTTGTGAGACAGGGTCTCACTGTGTCCCACAGGCTGGCTTCAAATGCCTGGATTCAAATGATCCTCCAGCCTCAGCTCCCTGTGTAGCTGGAATTACAGTGTGCATCACCAGCCCCTAAGATTTGGGGGAGGGGAGTATAGAGGAGTGCTGGGTCAAACCCAGGGCTTTGTACATGCTAGGCAAGCACTCTACTACTGAGCTACACCACCAGCCTGTGGGAGCTGATCAATAGTTACCAAAATCTATGCAAAGAATTTCTATAGCTCTTACCTAGGTCCTCTGCTGTATTTTATTCAGACTTTCAAGTTCTGATGTGGCCTTGTCCCTCTCTGCTCCGTAGAACCAGCCCATTGGCCATGCCTTCCTTTTGGATTGCATGCATAGCTGAAGCCTGCAACACTGGACCCTTGCTCAGGCAGCAAGAGATGGGGGAGAAGGGAGGTGGAGCAAGCCTGGGTCCCGACAGCCCCCCACTCAGTCCCCACCCTCCGAACAGCAGCGTGGAGCCATTAATTTCCTGGAGTCTTTTTTCCTACCTTGGTAGCAATGTCTGCTCAAAGCAAAAACAAGGGTGAATGTAGGACTAGAAAGGGAGATTTGATCACAATGGGAAAATACCTTTCTCTTCTTGCAGATAGTGTGGGTGAGCGCTCAGGTAGAAAAATATACAGCAAAATAATATCTACAATTTTCTTATTAAGGATAGTAGAAATGCTCCTGTCACCTAACGTATCAATAAAATAAAGGTCATGCTTTTTGGAAATTTGACTAGGTTTTATCAAAATATAAGGAAGTAACTACAATGATTCATTTCACTGGCATGTTCTTGGGAATTTTTAATATCTATGAAACCACTGCATCAGAACTCACAATTTCATATCTAAGAGAAATGACAGTCTCAAAGTGAGTGAAGAGAAAGAATTGTTTTGATATCCTCAAAGCAAAGCACTGCAGTGTCTGACTTTAATCACTGGCGGTAAGCATGGACTGGTTTGGATCCAGTGCTGTGAAGCTTGCGTGGATCAGGATAGAAAGGAGAACAATCTGAACTGAGAAATGGGAGGCTGGTTACTGTACGTGTGGAAATATTCATGTGGTTACTGTAAATGCCATGTTCAGAAGATTGTGTCTGCAATTTTATGGGCCTCTTCTGGTATTAACAAGTGCTTGGGAAGAAGAACAAATTTAAGAAAGTTAAATGATGGTAACACACCCCATTCTCAGGTTGACCCAGAAGGCTCAATCTGTTCCTGGAAATGTGTGTTTAAGCAATCACTACTGCTCCTAAACACATGAGGTGAAGTCTTTGGTGTAGGAACCAGGTAGTGATAGCATTCCTCCAACAGGAAAGGACCTACTGCTGGCTTAGGTGTCCTTACAGCATGGGCAGAGCCACCCTGAGGGTATGGCATCCTTGAGGTGACTGTGGGCAGACATGTGACAGTGTAGTAAAGACTTGGGGGTCAAAGTATTGTAGTTGTTTTTTAGGGTAAATGCTTCTTACTGTTTCTGCCCGGGCCTTCCTGTATTTCTCTGTATGACGAAAAACTCAGGGATGGGGCTGGGGATTTAGCTCAACGGCATAAGTGCCTGCCTTGCAAGTAGGCCCTCATGAGTTCGATTCCTGGTACCAATAAAAAAAAAAAAATTTAGGGAAAATAAAAACCAACCTCATAGCAAAAAATTGCATGTAATAAAGACTATAGGGGAACTTTTATAAACATAGAAAGCACAATGTATAGATAAAATATTTTCATGACTCATTACATTTTTATAAAGGCTGATCCCTTTGCTCTACTCCCTCACTTTCCCCGATTTGGGATGAATTACCTAAAGCCAATCCTTCCAGCATACTTACAACCCTACTTTTTCTCCTTCCTTATCAGCGACACCTGCCTCCTCTGTTTCTTTTTTTTTTTTTTTTTTTTTTTTTTAATTTTTATTTAAGGAGAAAAGAAAAGAAAAAAAAAACAGTGAAGGGTACAAGTTATACAGATTTACAGAAGAAAAAAAATGCGCAGTAGGAAATCACTAGTTAATAGATTACATATTGCCATCTTAGAAATAATTGTTCAAGTCACAGAATTAAAGTTTGTAGAGTGGACATTCCAGCAATGATACTGCAAACAGTTCTGTTCAATGATCCATTAGAACTCTGTGATATCATTTTCTGTCTTATACATTTAAATATACATGCAGTTATATAGTTTAGAGCATTTTCTTTTCCTCTCTTTTGTACAGTGACTATTACACATTTTGGGTTTCATTGCTCCCACTGTTCTTATTGCTTTTTTTGGAAGAGAGTAAAACCAAATGTGACATGACAGAACAGAATCGGTCAAGTCAAAAGGGTGGATATAATAGATAATATAAAAACATAATACAAGGTGATCAACAATGGTTACCCTAATGCCTCCCGCTATTTCTAATAGAATTGCCTATATCGTTAGTTGTAATACTATTGAACAAAACCGTAAAGGATAAAACCGACAAAACCAAAACATTGGAGATATTGTAGGTCTTCAAAAGTAGATAGAAGTCAACGAGAATGGGCGTTATAATGAATCTCATTATCTTCTCAGCTGATGCCTAAACTTTCGAACCTGATACTATTCAGCAAAACAGAATAGAGGAACCTCAGTCAAAAACAAGATGGTGAGAGTAATACAGGGCTTCAAATCGAGAAAATAGAAAGTCAAAGTGGGTTACTATATTATATCCTGCTATATTTTTCCCTTTAATTAAATGGATAACAATAAAAAAGTATATAATGGAGTGGAGATTGAGAAAAAGAAAAAGAGGGCATAACAGCGAAACAGGGCAGATCAAAACATAACCTTTTAAGCAGAATAGTGTGTTTCTAAGGCATTCATTCCCCCGTTGCCCCCTAGGTTCCTGCCCTTCAGATTCAGCTCCCTCCCTTCCTCACCCTGCTCTACTCTATTTTTATTCAAACCTTGAAATAATCCATGTGAAGACTCAGAACGCAGTAATGGTTCCTGTGGCCTCAGTGTTAGATCCCTGAAACTCAGCCTGGCGTCCTAAAGAGGTGACGTGTTCTGTCACTGTTTTTGCTCACGGAGCTGTTTGTTCCCCCTGCTGCTCCTGCCGCGTTCCCACAGTCCTTCCTCTCGTGTGCTTTTGCCATGTCTCCTGCACGAGTGGCTGTCACCCTCACCCTTACTCTGGATGGCAGGAAAGTCCTGCTCATGTCTTCCGGCCTCTCCGAGCGTCCCTTGGCCACCACACCACTCATAAATGGCTGTGGCCTCGCGCTGTGTGTTCTCTTAATGTTGTGCCACAAGGCCTGGCGGAACTGTAAACCCATTTCTGGTAGAGCGTGTGTTTCAGCTCATGAGTTTCCAATGCCAGACTGACACTGAGCCCACAAAACCCTGGTGCCACTCCTCAGACGGCCCCAGCCTGAGGCACACACAGTGTTCTACTTGGAGCCCTGGAGGACTCTAACTTCTATAAAGATAAATTATTTTGGGGAGCAAAAAAGATCCAGCCAATAGATTTATTTATCCAGAAATTAAAGCAACTACAATTAGATTCCTCCTCCAAGAATAATTTGTTCTAGTAAAGGAAGTGCTCAACCATGTACTTAGAAGTTATGAACAAGATGTTTTCTTGTTAATCAGGTCTAGAACAGGTAGAACAATGTGTGCGAGACCAAAGATGAGCCCGATTTCATTTTTAGCCTTTTTAATTTTTTCTCTGTGCAGTTAAAATTAAACACAGGCAGTAAATGTCTCAACTGGAAGTAGCAACTCTTACTTTTTTGTTGTTTTTTTGTTTTTGTAGTGGGAATCACCCTTTCTCAAGATATTAAAGATCTTTTTTTTTCCTAAAGGAAGAAGATCCTAACAATGCGATGGATAAAGAGAGACGAAAATCTTTAATAAAACCAAAATTGTTGAGACTGCAAAGAGACATTGAAAAAGCCGCCAAAGACAAGGAAGGTGTGTGATTGTGTCGTTGAGTGTCTCCGAGGGCAGCATTGCACTCAGAGGTTGTATTCTGAGTTAAGATTTGTTTGCTTTTGCTGACCGGGGCAGGGATCACTTCACTTAAAGAACTCCATTATCAAATCTAAGTTGTGTATAGGAGAAAAGTTTATAAAGGAAGCAAAAAGTGTAAAATGATATTCTGGCCTATTCATGAGAGCTGTGTATGTGCTGTACTACCATTTGTAGAACTGTAGCATTTTACTCTGCTCCTGAAATTTGCTGGAAAGAGACAGTTTTTGTGATTTGAAACATGGTGAGTCTACTGTGCAGTTTTGGCCAGTTCTCCTGCCTCTCTCCCTCTCTCCCTCCCTCTTTTCCTTTCCTCTTCCTCCCCCTTCTTCTCTGTCTCTCTTTCTTTCCTTCTCTCTTTCTCTCTCACTTCTTTTTCTTTTTCTTTTTTTCTTTCTACAGGTTCTTGCTATATAGCTCAGGCTGGCCTTGAACTCACTAAGTAGCCCACACTGGCCTTGAACTTGCAATTCTCTTGCCTCTGCCTCCCGAGTACTGGGAACACAGATGGATGCCGCCTCACCCAGCTTGTTTCTTTCTTTTCACTAATTTTGGAAATACTGTAAAAATCAAGTTAAATCCCATACTTAGAAGTTAGCATGTGAAGCAGGTTTAAACTAACACAGATTCTAAAAACAGTCGTGCACCTGTGATTCTAATATGTCTAGTTCATGTGCACCACGATTCATTGTGATGTAATGCAGGTAGGAAACCCAAGACAGACAATGTTTAGTGGTATAAGTAGAAAAATGAGAAAGAACTAACACTGTGTAAATGTTAGGAGTTATTAGAATGGGTCAACCAAAAGGTATTCAAAGTTTCCTCTTGAAAAAATAACAACCAAACAAATGGTGATGGGGGGAAGGAGAAAGGAAGAAAGAGAAGAAGAAAAAATGTATTTATACACAATACAGTTAAGTTAGTTACACAGCTAGTTTCTCTTAGTTCATTGAAAAAAAGGTTTGTGCTAATATTATTTGGACAAGATGTCATGCCTATATCTTGTGCTCTGAATAACTACTACAAAGACAACAATATGCAATTTTATTAATTATTATAACTCTCTTAATAACTTGTTTGAAGTTCTATATTATTGTTATTTTTATCTTTTTTCTCTTATTTTAAAGAAAAAGGATAAAAATAACAATCAAGATACTTTAAGCATCAGTATTGCTCACATTTTATTAAATAAAGATAAAGATAAATGAGCAGTCAGTTGGTTCACCATTATCCACTTAGTAAAACTTACTAATAGCTCCAGACAGAACGCCACATCCCCTCAGTCATTTAGGAAAGCTACTGGCATCACTTTGGGTTCAGTATCCCTTCGAGGGTGACCGACTCCCAGATGTGTCCTACTGGGTCGGGTTGAAAGGTGACCAAGTGCATGGTTTCATTTTCAGGCCTGGAACGAATGCTTAATACATACTCCAGCAACTCGTCTTTCTCAGATAAAAAGAGCCAGAAAGACACAGCGGCGCTGATGGACGAGGTAAATATTTGCACAGTGCATTTAGGATTGAAAGGGTTATTCTTAGAATACTGGTTTTCCAGTCCATTTGTTTGCCTTTCCTTTCTGGTGACACAGAACCACCTAGGAAGAGCTTATGGGGCCAGCTCCTTCTTAGGCAATCAGAGTAATCTAGAAAAATCCAACTACCTATAAATATTTGCTTTCATGTCTTATAAAAGAAGGACACTAGAAAGAAATGCTTGTGTTTAAAATAGAATTCCCCCCACTAGATGGATTGATTCTTTAATGAAACTGCGTACATCTTAACCCAGTTAAGAAAAGAGATGACAACCCAGGGTTTGGAGATGGCTCTGTGGGTTACAGGGACCTGGGTAACCTCAGATTTTTTTTAATCTTTAAAATGGGGATATCGGTACCTACCTCATAGAGTTTTTGTGAGAATGAAAGATTGTTTGAAAAATGCTAACACAATGCTCAGGAGCTCAGAAATGAATAATTCTTCCCAAACTAATGATGGTTTCACTTAATGATTTTTTAATTTTACAGTGCTAGGAAACTGTACTCATATAATCATTCTGATTTTCACTTTCAGTATTCAATAAATGAAGAAGGGCAAGGGATGGGGCTACCAGCCTTTTTATTGAGAGCCTAGAATCTAGCAGCCCCACAGACCTTGACAGGAATGATGGACATGTTAGCCATTTTGGGAGAGCTTCCATTAAAAGGATAGCTTTTAAAACTTTATATGGCAATGAAAATGAACAAATACTTATGTGTGCAACATGTGGCTTTGTGCTGTGATCTGTTTGAATGGTCAGAAGAAGATTCAGGTTAATATGAGCATAAGTCAGGAAGCAAAAAAATTAGTAGTGTCTGGAAGGATACAGGAACCTGGGTCAGCTTTCTTCACCTGTCTTTACCTAGTCTGACTCTCCTGGGCTGGAAGGTGATATGTTCTGGCAACATCAGTGTGCTTCAGTGAAAGCAGCCAGCTACAGCCAGCCCTAGCCACTCCCTGTTTTTAGCACAGGCTTCCTTTAGCAGGGAGGCTGCAGGAGCCATTCCGATGCTTCATGCAAAAATCATGGGCTGCATGTGTTCCATATAGTAGGATAATTCCTGCAACAGCACAAAAAGTTTAGTTAACAAATTCAATGCAAATCGTATCTACTGAAATAAAGTCAGGCGTATTTTATGATGGTACTGAGTCACACATTTCTGTGGTTGTTCTTGCACCGAATTCTATCACACTCATTACCAGCAAAGAGCATGTACTAACACACAGAGCACACACTAGCCTGATTCACACACAGTGCAGGGGCTTGACCCCTGAACTCAGGCCTGTGAAGAAACAAGCAGGACTTTGAAATCGTGAATGACAAGCATCCTAGTGACTTTCTGACACATGTGTGCACCTGGGTGAGGGAAACTAGTCACATTGGGAGATTTCATGTATCCTAGGGAAAGTTTCTTGCAAAAGGAAACTTCGCTACCAGATACAGGCATGCAAGGTTGACCAAACAATATAACTTCCCTTTGAGCAACTTCTTTCCTTTTTACTGTATCTATTGTAACTTTTGGATCTTATTTACTCTTTCAGTTTTTTATACTAGTGAGACAATATGGTATTTACAATTGCAAATCTGATTTACTTCATTTATGAATATCTAGTTGCTTTTATTTACCTAAAAAAGCCTCGAGTTTATTGTTCTTTATGGCTGAGTAGTATTCCATTATATAAAAATCATATCTTTTTATCCATTTCTCAGTTAATGGGCATCTAAAATTTAGATGTTACATCAGCTCAATGGCATAAGCGCTTGCCTGGCAAGCATGAGGTTGTGAGTTTAATCCCCAGTACCAAGTAAATAAATAAATAAAATAAAAATAAATTGTGCTGCTTTGAACATGGATGCACATACATCACCGTGGTATGATGTTTTCAGTTCTTCTGGGAAAATATCCAGAAGGGAAATAGCGGGGTCCAATAGAACCTCTAATCCTAGATTTTTGAGGAATCTCCATACTGGTTGCACCCCCAACAATAGAGAAAGGTTCCTTTTCCCCCACAACCCTGCCAGCATTTATTGATTAATTTCTTGATGTTAGTGATTCTCTCTGGAGTAAGATGATATCTCAGTTTTGGTTTAATTTGCATTTCTCAAATGACCAATGATGCTGAATATTTTCTCATATATTTATTTGCTACTTGTATTTCTTCATCTGAGAGTTCTGTATTCATCTCAGATTTCCGTTTTTGAATTGGGTTTTTAAATTTGGGGGGGGGGGTCTGAGTTTTTCAATTCTTTATACATTCTAGATAACTGTCCTTCGTGTAAGGGACAGTTGGCAAAAATCCTTTCCCAATCTGTGAATTTTCTCTTCACCCTATTAATACTTTGATGATAACAATATGCAATATAACAACCATTGTTAGCTTTGAAATCCTATATTGCCCTGTTTTGTTGTTGTCATTTTGCTTTTGTTGTTTTTTTAAAATTATTTGCTTGCTTCTTGATTATTCTGCTTTTTTCTTTAAAATAAAAAAAAAAAGAAAAATCGCTTTATTTAAATTCGTTCCTATCGCTTTGTCTCTTAGTCCCTGAAGTGCCACATTTGAATCAGGAATGTTTGTGAGGCGTGTTACAGAAGTTTCAGAGACCAGAGGCACTTAAATGAGATACTGCCCAGGTACTGGAAGGAGTATGTAAGAGAACTAGATGCGCTTTCTGTGCTTGCAGATTCGTCATAGTCCAGGTCTGATAGGAGATGTGTGTAGGGGGTGGCTCTTGACTTTGTTTTAGGTGAAGCTGCCCCATAATGCAGTGGACTGCACCGAGGATTGGAGACCTTTTCCATTATTGGAGGAATTCTGTCCTTGAATATGGCTTCCCTCCTCTTCCCCCCAGAAAGGATGTTAGGCTTAGGAATCCCCATACCCGAGCCATGGAGAAAAGAGAAAAAGGAGTCAGATCTGCAGGATCCTAGTTTAGATTCTGCTGCTTCACTCTGACTGAATAAACCTGGCAAAGAAGTATAAATAAAGTTGCAGTTCATGTCAAACAAGAATAGGAAGAAAGTAGGAGTTTGTGTTCAATTTCACTCCTTATTTTAATTTGAGACAGTCTTCCTACACAGACCAGGATGGCCTGAAACTCAGGATCCTCCTGACTCAGCCTCTGAGTGCTGAGATCACAAACCTGTTCCACCATGATTGGCAAATATTCTTTATTTTAAAAATCAAATACCGTAGAATATTATTTTCAGTTTTGAGAGTTTTACTACCAACTTTGTGTGTAATACAATACTCTACCTCTTCAAAGGAACAGGAAAACAACCCACAATCCTTGTTGTTTGATCCTATTGATGTAAATTCAGTTGCTAAAATATTGAGCTATGCAACACAATTTGTAACAGCTCAGTCTGGGAAACAACCCAGATGCCCATCAACCATGGAATGGATAAAAAGGATGTTGTATGTTTATACAATGGATCACTCAGCCATAAAGAAGGATACACTTGAGGCTTTTACAGGTAAATAGATTCAACTTGAGATCATATTTGTAAGTGAAATAAATCAGACTTGTATGTGAAAATATTATATTGTCTCCTTAAGGTAAAAAAATTGAAAAAATAAAACCCAAAATATAAATAGATGCTGTGAAAATGAAATGGAAAGAAAGTGCTCAAAAGGAAAGAACAATGGGGATAGGAGAAAGGAGAAAAGAGTAAAGGGAAAACACTATATATATATATATATATATATATATATATATATATATACATATATATGATAAATAACTATACTACTGGGGCTGGGGTTTAGCTCAGCGGCATAAGCGTCTGCCTTGCAAGGAGGCAGTCGTGAGTTCGATCCCTGGTACCAATTAAAAAAAAAAAATAACTATACTACTAATCTGTCAGTCAACCAAAAAGAGCAGTTCATGCTATCATTGTTTGATTGCTTGATCATTTTTACGCCTAAATCTTGTAATCTGAACAGCTACTTTGAAGATAACAATATGCAATATATTAACTAGTATTAATTCCTATTACTTTGTTTTTAAGTTCTTATCATTATTTTTATTCTTTGTATTTTTAAAAGACTATATTTAGCTATGACTCAATCACCCCTCCTCGTGGCCATGGAAAGTGTGCCCTTGTGATCAACACTTAACTATTTCCTTTCTTCTACCTCACCTGAAAATTGCATAAAGCTATTCATTGCCACAAAACACTGAGTAATGTATTTAACAGGGTTTCTTCACCCTATTTACAAGAATACAGAGGAGGACACACTCAACCAATGCTGTTTTTCTCTTAGCTGCTTTAAGGAGTATTTTTCTTTTAAGTTTTATATTTTCAACATTTTCGAGGCATATCTATACACCAGGTGAATGCATGCTTTTCTAGGCCCCTTTGTTATTTTAAAAATTATCCTGACATCTCTTTATCTACCGAGTGGTGCCTCATTTCCTAGAAATTTTCTCACATGGGCAGATGATGTATCCACAGAACAACCTGAAACTGGACCTTCTGCAGGCAAACTCCTATAAACTGTCGTCAGTATTAGCAGAACTTGAGCAAAGAACTAAACCCAACCATCCGTGTAGTAACTCCATCTTCAAGTGGAAAGATAAGGTAAACTGGAAGCAAGTGCTTGAAATTTCTTGACTGTGCTTACTAAATAGACTGGTGTAAAGTGGCACCTTATGGCAAATAATAAAAACAAACAAACCTGCTACACATCACACATGCAGTACACCCAAATCCTTATTGCGTAACTTTAAGATAAATTTATTTCATTCATGTAGAGCCCAATAAAGAGCTAAAAAGAACCCTGTATATATTCTTTATAGACTAAATTACTACAGTGAATGTAAACACTTTGGATTTATTCTTCCCCTTGATAGCTTAACTTTAGCCTTTGAATGTGTTTTTATAGTACAAGTTCTACTACACTGAAAATTTAGTATTTATTTAGACCTAAATGGTAAGATGCTGTCATATGCATTTGTCTCATTGTACCACAGTTTCAACATAGTGCAAGGTGCAAAGTTTAACACAGTACATAATGTCATTTTTATGACTACTCATGACAATAAAGTTGTTTAAGATGACTTTTTCTTTTTTTAATTATTTGAACAGGAGCATACTCATACTTACATAAAAATATCTCGGCCTTTTCTGACAAAGAGATTAGAGAATGCTTTGAGTAGGACATCTTCCGGTGGGCAGAAAAATCCAAGTTCTTCATCTTCAGGTAACCCAATGCCCAGAATCAGGTGGGGCTGAATCCTATTGGTAAAGCACATTGCTACATTTAAATATTCTTTTCAGAGCCACATTGACTTATATTTGCTCAAAGAAATTTGCATTTCAGTGGAGACTGATTAATTTGTTAGAATCTAGGAGTCTGTACAGTAAGTAGGAAGGAATTACGAGTGGGTGCTGGGACAGACATTTATCACAAGTCCCTGCAGCTGCTGGGAGGTGGCCTCTGTCTGCTGCACTTCACTCAGATACCTGCCACCTGCTGTCCACCGGGTCTTCTGCACCTGTGTGAGGAGCCTGGGGCTCCGTCTCCACAGCTCCTCCCAAACTTCTGTAGATATTCTGTCTTCTCAGCAGGAAGCACGGTGACAAAGCGGTTTGCTAGGACACTTGTGCTTGGAACTCACAGCCTGCTCATCTTCTTTGTATTAAAAATTCAGCTTGCATTGTTTAGGAAACAGTACCCTAAGCACTAGGGAATCACAATAAGAAACACATGCTTCAAATAGCCCCATCTTTACTGAATGGCAAAACGATCGATCGCACTTTCCCAGTACACATTCAACTACAATCATTCAATGATGCTCACTAAGATCACCTGGGAAAAAGCTTTAAATTACCATCTTTATTGTTACAATGATGATATTTTTCTGCAGACTTATTATTTCCTACATTACAGTATGGTTTGGGGCCCTATACTGTAACCAGTCTTTACACATAGTAGGTATATTATGAACGCTTATTAAATCAAGGAATAAATAGTAGATAAAATTATAAACTTTCCTTTTGAGAATATTTCAATATATTTCAATCCTGTACCATACTGTTACATAAGAAGAGTTCATGATCCTACTCATTTGCCTATTAACACAGCATGGTAATTACAGTTTAATCCAATTTTAGCCTCCGGTGCAGCCCAGGTTGGCAACAGCCTTTGCAAGGCCTTATATCCTTTTCAAGCCAGGCAAGATGATGAGTTGAATTTGGAGAAAGGTAAGATGAATTCTCAGATATTTTAATTACCTTTCTGTGGTAAGATCTCTAATATGGATAAAATGCTGTCTTAGAACCTAACAGCCTTAACTACTAACACCAGATCAGTTGGGATTTTACACTCATTCATCTTAGAAGATAAAGCCCTGGAAAGCTACATAAAGCTAACAGTTATATCACGTTCTCAGTACCAGACACTGGGAGCGTTGTTCAATTGAACATTCATGAAAACGCTGAGGGAGGTATTACTCTTTACTATCATGTCACAGCTGAGAGGCCTGAGGCACAGAAAAGTTAAGTTCTAGGCAGTCGTGGCGCAGGATTTGAGCTCAGAAACTCACTTGTGCCTGTGATCACAGCGCTACCCTGCAGCTAGGTGTCAGTGATGGGAAGTCATCTGAATCACTCCACCTTGTCATGGAGTGTCTTCTGAGTTAGTGTAAGAGGAAGTTCTAGAACGCAGGCCAACTGATCCTCAGCTTAATGATTGTGCCATTGACCTCTTCTGAAAGTATTTTATGGCCAGCCTATAGATTCCTTTTATCGTAGATTTTTATCTAACAGGAAGAGGTATCATGTATCATGTTACATAAGCCTCAGTGTTACTAAACAAGAACAAGTCTCCAGCCTCAACTCTTTATAGGTCCACTTTTGGATGTTAAACCTAAGGCAGAGAAAGGTTCTTGATAAAGCATTGTGTAGTAAGAGAAAGCTTGTTATTATTCATGAGTGGGATGGTTCCCAGTCAATCAAGTTGGATTTTGTAGCTAACTGGGTATTCCAAGTTTTACTATTGTTTAGTGGAACCTTCTTTCCCAATGTATTAGATTTTTCCAGGCAATTATTTTTCCTTCTCTGTGAATAAAAATCACTTCCCAGATGCCACCTAAAACTTAGGGATCCTGAGTCTGAGTTACAGAGTTCCCAGTAAATGGGTTATCTTGAGTTTTTTGTTGTTTTGTTTTTTTCAATTTGTAAAGGCCACTGTGCTTTATATTCTAAGTGGTTTCACTCAATACAACATAACACTGGAGAGTGAGGGAAGCTAGTAATATAAATTTGAAGTCATTTTTTAAAATTTCTGTTAATAAATTTTTTTGTTTTGCTTTTTTTTTTTTTTTTTTTTTTGTGCTGGGGATCAAACTCATGACCTCGTACTTGCCAGGCAAGTGCTTGCACCACTAAGCTAGTCCCCAGCCCCTTGTTAATAAATTTTGTCCTCCAATCTACTGATCTCAGAGAACTCTTTAGACCAAGAATTCAGGCTGAGAATAATTGCCTACAGGAATAAGTAGTGATTTATGACTCAGAAAGGATGCAAAGAGTTTTCACTATCATCTTCACTTGGAAAGAGAATTACTGGAGAAAACAGTGGAAGTCAGACTAAAAGCTTGGCTCAGAATGATGCATCTTTGTTTCCTAAAGAAGGTAGATGTTTCTACCTGAATGTACAGGAAGTAGCCAGAGAGAAAGGATTCTCTCACAAGAGAGGGACTTAGCTAAAGAATTTGAGTCACGAAGTCATGAAATCAATATCAGGATTTTATTTCAAAAAGAAAGAACTGGACAACAGTTGTGTTTCTTAGGAATACTATTTATTTCAATTATTGCTTTAAGAAAGTAATATCTTTAAATTGATGTTTTAGTTAGGTGTGGGGGCCCATGCCATAATTCCAGCACTCAGGAGGCTGAAGCAGGAGGGTCATTAGGAGTTCAAGGCCAACCTGGGGTACAAAGTGGGTTCAAGGCCAGCCCAAACTGCATAACAAAACCCTGTCTCAAAAAAAAGAAAGACAAAACAGACAAACAAACAAAAAACAAATTGATGTTTTATTAAAGTTATCTAAACTGATGAATGGAAAGCTACATTTCCATGCAAAGCTCTGAGTTAGAATTTGAACTGTGTAACAGACATATTTAGATCTTAAGAAAATACTGTTAGCTGTGTCCCAGTCTCAAGACCAAATTGTCATGGGCATCGTCCTGTGAAAATCTTAACTTACAGACACAGACAAGAGTTCATTTTGCTGGCGGTGATCCACACGTTATGCAGAGTAAACCCGGCAACATGAGGTCCAATGTGATTCTGCTTTTAAGCAGACTGTTTCACACATAGTTTATTATTTCACTTTTGTTAGAACTCTTTAGATTATGCCTGCTCCATAAAGAGGTATTCAATAAATTTTGCTTCACCTGAACCAAGAGCAGAGAATGATGCAACCTACGGACTTTTCAAATGTAAATTTTCTTGAAAACATTTACCACTCAGTCTGTAGCATATGCTCAAGTTGGGTACATCCATTTATCTGACTAAATGTGCATTTTCACAGGAGACATTGTGACCATACATGAAAAGAAAGAAGAAGGATGGTGGTTTGGATCTCTCAAAGGAAAAAAAGGCCACTTTCCTGCTGCCTATGTGGAAGAGCTACCTTCAAAGGCTGGGAACACAACCACATAAACCAAGATTCTGAACACACTGCCTTACACACTCTGTAAACTGTACAATGTGCTGTAAAGAAAGCTAATATGTTGTTATATATTCAAGTTTTGCTTTTTCAATGGGTGGTAGAGTCCTATCTACATGTGCTAGCACTGTATATCCATGGTAATTTGCTTGAAACAGAGTCAGATAAAAAAAATGAATAGGTAGAGAGGCAGGGAAAAAGCTCCATGGTTCCAGAAGTTTCTGAATGCTATACAATCTGAGATATGATCCAGTATAATCCTTCACATAAAGGAGAGAGGTACTGAATCCAGTCTAGGTTCAGCTGCTTGTCCAAAATCACAGTTAACTGTTAGCACAACAGTTGTTTTTAATGACCTTTTCCTCTGAATTTGGGTGGCAGCAAGACACAGCAGGCTGGCAAAGGGTCAAGCAAGTCCTGAGAGATGCCAAAGAACACTGACCAAGTCCAAGAATAGTGATAGGTAAGCAAGACACAGGTGAGACACACCCAGATGAGGAGATAGAATAAAAGACCTGGATCCAAACTCTAGAGTTCATGGAGAGTGGAGATGAGAGATAAAAAATCCAGATCCTAGGCAGGGGTCCCCGAGGAAGAATGGCATCGAGCCAGTGACCTGAGCCAATGACCTCCTGGCCATGACTTCTCATACAGCCTCGGAACACCACCAGCTGCTTATAGAGTGAGTTCAGGTATCAGCCAGAGATGGCTGGGGATCTGATGACAACAGCAAAGTGGACAGAGAGGAACTAAGTGGGAGACAGTGCCTGAAATTCATGTCTCCTTGGCCATTTGAAAATGGCTTTTAGTAATTTGGTTATAAGGCATTTCACACTTCCCAAAAGGATAGAAGGAATACCTTACCTAGCTCCCTAGTAAAAAGAACTTTAAATGCTGACAAGTGTTTGAACAGAAAGTTCTGGAAAGCAATAGTTACTATCAAATGGAGTATTTATCTAGCTTTCTCAAATGGCCTATGAGAAAAGCTAGGCAGGCCCCCAACTCTTTCCAGAGAAATAGTTTAGAATAGACATATTTTAGCAGCAGCTACAATTGCTTGAGATACACACTCTGCTGGATAGAAGATCATGGAAACACCTGAGCACGTTTTTATTTTTTTTGCGCCAAATAGAAAGTTTATGCTTTGGAATTTCAATGTGAGTGTCTTAGTTACTTTTCTCATTGCTGAGACAAAATACCAGGCACTTAAAGTTAAAGGAGAAAGGTTTATTTAGCTCACAATTTGTAGAGGTTTCAGTCCATAATCAACTGGCTCCAAGGCAGGATGGCATAGCAGAGGGGCATCACAGAGAAACAGTTCATGGCAGGCAAAAGGTAGCAAAGCAAGCAAAGGAACCACCACACTCTTGCTAAACCTTATATCTTATCCTGGATACTCAGGGTGGGTGGCACTCACATCCCTGACCCTAGTGATCTCAGCATTGTACCATGAATGAATTCCAGCATCATATACTCTAGAACCAGCCACTTCTGGAAAAGCCCCACTTATGACCACATGAGGCTCAGGGAACATCTAAACACAAGTCATAACAGTGAGCATTAAAGGAATAATTAAAATCCTACATATTACTCCTCAACCCCCCTTTTAAAAATTTCATCAAACTTTATACTTTCAAGGAGGAATTTTTCAAAGTAAGGTACATAATTTTTATACTGTCATTACACTCATATATAACTCAACACAGTAGATATTTATAGATGTAGATATTAGACCTCAAAGAACTCAAGTAAAATTTATTTTGTGAGACATAACTTACAGCCTTCCTTAATGGAATATTAGTGAAGAAAACTTGCTGCATGTAGAAAGTTGGCTGAATAATAGCCCATTAGATAACAAGCAGAGATTTTGAATTTATATTTTCTTTTCATCTTCTTTCCATTAAGCCTTGATGGATGAAAAATTGTGTAGAAATTGATTGTAGCCTACACTGGACTATTTTGTATGAAGTGATGATAATGATTGGACCCTGAGACTGTTTGAAAGTAATTTTTAGAGGCTTTTTTTCATATATTGGTCGTGTTTTGAGAAAATGTAAGTGGCTGTCCTTGTTTCAGAATGTTACAAATCCTTTTTGCATCTTGGATATTTTTAACCTCAAAGAAATACTCTGGACTTTAACTAGATAAAATACAAGTACAGTTAATATAACAGACTTATCGAATACTTTTTTAGCAAGACAAGAGTTTTCTGGTTGGACACACGGAATAGTACCCCTTAGATTTAGAACAAAATTAAATGCATATTGAGTAAAGATTAATGATGTACCCAAGTGTCTTGCATAGAATAAAGTACTGATTAATGTTAATGCTTTTATACTGTTAATTAGTCTTTCATAATTATATGCCATTGAGCAGTTGTGTATGTCAGGAAATTTTTAGCACCATTAATAATCTGAAATATTGGCCGTAGAGCCACAGTCTGCTTTTCACAGCACATATAGATATTATTCTACTTTATCTCCTTGCTAATTGAGTAAAAGTTGATATATCCATTGTGCTATCAATCCGAAAGATCTACAAATTTCACTTTTTTGCATTTTCAGTTACCCATAATTAATATTCATAATGATAAAAATGCATTTTAATCACTTAAAGCACCTTATGATCCATCAAAAAGTAATATAATATTGAATTTTGTGTACATTTTATTATATAGTATTATAAGCTTTTGATCAGTAGGTTAAGTAGTTTAATCGTTCTCTCCTCTAAGATGAAAACATCTCCTCTGCCCCAACACTCTGATAACCTTGAGGGATAATCAGCCTACTGTGAGCAAAAGAAGTGCACTAGAATGAAAATAAACATGTCTTCTTGTCCTTTACAGCATCACATAGGCAGAACTATCACTCTGGGAAGACAGGCCTGGGAGGGCGGAGATGAGAAGGTGGGACTTGGACATGGGCCAGAAGGTAGGGACTCTGCAGAGCAGAGCAGCTTCCTTTCAGTGCCTTTCACTCTCCATCCCCATGAACACCCTAAGATGAGGACCTGCCCTGAGCCTGTGCCCAAGGAGCAGCCGGAGGTAGTGCCCAAGGGGACTCTCCAAATATGAGATAGGAACCTCAGCTCACAATGGACAGGTTCTTGGCTCACCTTATAGAAAAGGATTTCAGAACACACCAGTGAGATGTAAAGGAAGAATTTTTAGGGAAAGCTTGAGGAGTGCACTCAGAAATAGAGCCAGGTGCCAGAAGTGTGGCCCTGGGGGTATATTTGGCATGTATATTCTTTGTGTTATTTATCATCTACCTGATACCTGTTTACAAAAGGTCAGTTTGTCGATTAGAGGGTTAAAACAAAAACTGATTCTTATCAATAAGGTTAAAGTATAAACTTCTTATGTGTTTGAAATTTAGAAATATGGTACCATTGATAATGGAAGTCTTTGCTGTAAGTTTTGTAATAGATGGACTTAAAGTATCTCTGGAACTCTTAGGAGTAATGAACCTGGTAGAAAATTAGGCCTAGGGATTAAGAGAGGGGTCACCTTGGATAACTTCAATTATGTCTTAAACTGTAGTTCCCTTAAAACTAGATTCCTTGTCTCCTTCTGTCTTGTCTTTAATTCTTCCACTCTGCCTCAGAGCCACCGCCTGGGTTCTGAGCACCAGCTACTCTGCCCGGGTCCCCTGAGACCTGCAGCTGCTTTCCATTTTAATGAAACCGATTTTCGACTAGATACATTCCACTGTCTTCAAGATAGCTTATTCGTTTTTTAAATCATTATACTTTTACAGAAACAGGAAACTACATACATTCAAATTTGTTTAGTGCCTTTAAGAACAATGACATCACATAATTTCCCTTAGCATCAAATAGAAAGGCAATACAGGGTAGCCTAGGAAAAGCTCAAGGATTCAGGCGTCAGACTGTCTTCTGCATTTGAATACCAACTCTGAGACTTCCCAGTTGTGAGATCTGCCATGATTTAAATACAGTTCTTTGAGTTCCTTATCTGCAGGAGTTATTGATGGTATCTGCCTCACAGGTTGAAAGAATACAAATGAGCACATTCATGGAAAGAGCCTAGAAAAGTACTGGGCTCATTCAAAAGCCAAAAGAGTATTAACTAATTATTCTAAGCTGGCCAGCACTGCCAGGCTAAAATGCCTGAATAATCCCCAAGTTTTAAATGAGTCAAATTCCTGTTAAGAAAAAAGTCTACATAAATTTCCGCGGCCCCAAGCCCTTCATTTGGTGTGACTGTACACTTTTCTTTGTATATTTAAATCAACCTCAGGATCCAGCAGAAAGGTTGGTCCTATACAGTCCTTTTGTGACTTTCTTTCTACAAATTTTGCCCCAAACCCATCCCCAATTTAGAAGTGCAGGATGGCTGTGCCTTGGAGAGAAATGGCCCTCATGGGGAGCTTTTTAGGTTTTTTTTTCCTCACCTGAATAGGAGCATGAAGTTCGCTCAAGAAGCTGAATCTATGTTGAAGATCCTACACTTTTCAATCTTGACCAACTACAACATCACAGTTGTGGAGGGATAGAAAGTTGTAGGTCAAGAACCAAAACTGTATTGGGCTGTCCTAGGCCTTTTCTTTAAAAGCCATGTATCTTAATTTTTATATCTGATTTAACACACTTTTGACTATTAAGGAAACTTCTCAAAATGAAGAACCTAAGCCTAGCAGACCTCTAGTTTATACTAACCCTGAATCTAAGACTGCTGTAAGATAGCATCCGAGATTTACAGATGATTGTCCTACTTTGCTATAATAATCCCCCTACCTGATACTCTCACCAATGTATTTGATAAACACACCATGACTTTTTGTTCTGTACCTGTAAAAATTCATGCAACCTAACCTTCTCCACAGAATATGTCATTCAGGCTGACTTCGGTCTGTTTCAGGCTTTCTGGAGGAACATCAGAGAATGTATGTACCTTACCCTCTCAGTCACTAGAAGCTGGTTCAGGGTCTGGGGTGAACTTGAAATTGGTAAGGTCCACCCCATGCAGCCTGCATCCAGCAACTGCTAAGAAGTGCATCCTGTAAGTATATTCTAAACTCTGAATCAAACTAGGTCCATAAAAACCAAAGTTGTATTTTGATACGGTTTTATATACTTACTTAAATGCAAATAGCTTGAGTAAGGCCAAATGTGAAACTGTGCCCAGGAAACTGCTCACAGTGTGCCCCGTTAAAAGGGGGAAAGTGGAACATGCTTATAACCCCAGCTAGCTGGGAGGCTAAGGCAGGAGGAACTCCCAAGGCCAGCCTAGGGAACTTGAGGAGACTGTGTCTCAACATAAAATTTTGAAAGTGGCCGGGGATGTAGCTCAGAGGTAGAACATCTGCCTACCATGAATGAGGTCGTGGGTTCAGTCCCTAGCAACATACACACATGCAGACACACGTCTCTTCTTACCTGTAGTTTTATTTCTGTTACCCATCTGTTACTTTTCCCTAAGTGCTGAGACAAAATACCCTACAGTCAAAATTAAGGAAGGAAAGGTTTATTTAGCTGACAGTTTGTGGGTGTTTAACTCTATAATCAGCTGGCTCCATGGCTGGGTGGCATGGCACAGGGGCAACACTTCAAGGCAGCAGGCAGCAGATCAAGAGCAAGAAGGGGGAGAACAAGCCTCTTCCCTACCCTTATATAGCAAGCAGGCTACCCGCTCTCCGGGGTGGGTGTAGCACTCACACCACCCCCGGCCCTCCTCTTGTCAGGATGAGGATGATTACAAAGTGAGGACCCTGACCCCCTGCTGGATTTCTGGACTTCTGAAACTGATGCAATGTATCAACCATTACACTATGGTTAGCTTTAGTCCAAAAATATTAAATGGAAAAATTGCAGACATAAACAATGCATCAGTTTTAAACTGGAGCATTGTAGGTAGTGCTGAAATCTGGCATCATCACACTCCATCAGGTGAGTCATCTTTGCCTGGCATACCCAGGCCACATGCACTATCCACCACTCAGTCCCTTACTACTTATCTTTGCTATACACTTGTGATATTGTAGTGCTTCTGTCCAAGTAACCTTTATTTTACTGTTCTATTAATAACTGTTATTTTGTTATTGTTGTAAAGTTCTTACTGTGCCAATTTACAAAGTGTAATTTATTATTCTTGCACATAGGAAAAAAATCTTAGTATATAGTATCTGGTATTTTCTGTGGTTCAGGCATCCACTAGGGTCTTGGAATGTAATCCCCCTGTGCATAAAGGGGAATGAAGGTACTTCCTTTAGCCAAGCCCATGCTGCACCAGGATAAGTCTGCTCTAGCTGTACACATCCAAAAATCTAGGGTAGTTTATTAGACATTGATCTCTACAGAGAAAACATCAAACAGTGGTTCCTAAAAGCTGCACACTTATACGGGTCAGCACTAACATTTCCACAAGTTCAAAGCATTCTGCTCACAAGTCTACTGCTTACCGGAACAAGGCCCAGAACCACATCCTAGGCATAACTGGACATTCAAATTCTCTTTCTAATCTCACGAATAGGACCTCTCACCTGAACTTTCCTCCAGACTATTTAGGGAGAAAACAAGAGAAGCAACTAGAAACACAAAGCACTTTGTTTCATGGGTTTTACCTGTGCCTAAGACATCCTGAAAAAGTATTACATGCCTTCCAACATAGCCAAGGTATGTAAATTCAGTCAAATTTACAAGGGAAGAATGGGGAAGAAATTAAAATCCTAGGATAAGCTGATACGTGGGCTAGACTGTTTTTACATTTGATTTTTCAAAACTACATCCTTTTCTGAAACCTTAGCAACATACAGCCAACATTCTTTGAAGAAAAAGATTATCTTTTATTTTTTCTTTTTTTGCTAACAGTAGATTACTTTTGGTGTAACATAAAATATTCTTTTTAAAATAACATTACCATGATAGTAGATAGCAGTATTTATTTTACCCAAGATTTTTTGTTTGCTTTGGTTTTTGGAGACAAGGTCTTACTATGTAGCCCAGGCTGGCCTTAAATTCAGATCCTCCTGCCTCTGCCTTCCAAGTGCCGGGATCATAAGTATCTGCCACCATGCCAAGGACCTCATATTTCTTACTGATTGTACTCCAAATTGGGCCAACTCTTTTAATCTTTTAAATATTAAGAATCCTCCAACTTCCAAAGCTTAGAGACCACTGAGACATAGTGCAGTTTGTACAAATTCCCATTCCTAGTGCCAGCCATAAACTAGTTTATGCCAGATACTTAACTAAAAATAAATATATGTATTTTATTAACTATATCTTTAAAAGGACACATATCACTTTTCCCCGAAGAATTTAAATAAAATAATTTAAAGAAATATACCTCGCATGCAGGAAACATGACCTTTTTGCAAACCTCCTAAGTTCATGCTTGGGACAGATGGCTTACAAGACAGGTTAACGCAAGAAAAACAATTTATTAATGCAGACAGGGCTGACCACAGGGGAGAAACTCAGTGAACGGCAACTCAAGGTAGTAGGCTTATGTAGTATCTTCAACAAAGAACAAAAGGTTTTTGGAAAGTCATAAGACAAAGGAAAGCAGTTTTAGCTTCCAGAGGGGGAAACCAAGGGAAGGTAAGTTTATGAGAGGTAACTAATGAAGGAGCTTGTTTGGAGGTTCTTGTCAGTGATTAACGTTCTTCCTTCCGTGTAGACATGGCAGACAAGACACCTTTGCAATGTGATGCCCCGCCTTTAAAAGAGTTTTCTCTGCCTCTGCTGCTTAATTGTCTTCAGCTCAAAATAATATTTATTTCAGAAACGTATTAGGGGTGATGCTCCAGCTTTTCTTCTTACCACATAGAAACATCACAGAAACACGAAAGACAGAATTGTTTCAGAAAGAAATACACAACAGAAAAGAGAAACAACCCATTTTTATGTACTATTTATACATTAATTATAAACCGTAGCGGTAAAAGCTTTCCGAACATTGGCAAGAAAAGCTGAAAAATTGTTGGTCTTCCTTACATTCTCTTGAAATTCTGCTAGGCACTCAAGATGAGGAGCACTATCTGACACTGGAAAGAAAAACATGAAGATAATATAAATGAGAGCTTAGTTTTTTCCTTATTTTTTTAATGTGGGAGAGAAGTATTTCTATTATAGAACCTTTCATCTGATCTCAGTGTCAATCACGTTATTAACATGCTTTGAACACAAAACAATACATTTGGTTTCCTATGCATCTATCTTTTGGATTTTTCTTTGTTTAATCTCTAAACATTTGGGGGCTGGGGATTTAGCTCAGCGGCATAAGCGCCTGCCTTGCAAGCGTGTGGTCATGAGTTCCATCCCTGGTACCGGTAAAAATACAAAAAAAAAAAAAAAATCTCTAAACATTCAAAGCTTAAGTAGTATAATCCTGCTTTAATTCAAACAGATGGTATTCAAGGGATTGAAGCTCAGTGATGCAGCATGCCATTTTCCATCATCTTGGGCCTACATACATATGATTTTCAACTATTTAAGAAGTTTTAACAGTTCACTTTAACAGTTAAGCCTTTTTCTCCTCTGTCAAACTTTAATCTGACTGACTTCTAGCCACTAGATCAAAAAAGAACAACTTTTAATGTCAATCCTCAATAACTTGCATCCTATCTTAAGTTTTACAAGTGAAATGAAAGTCATTGCTATTCTAAGAGTGATATTTATGGATCCTACTAACTAAATGAGACTCAAATCACAAATAGCAGCCCCGTCCTCAGTAGCTGCAGCAGCTGGTGCTGTGAGGTTCTCCACCAAGGGTGGTCAAAGGGAATGAATGACCCCACTCTCTCTACGCTTGCTTCAATGGAAAGATACCTGTCTGCATCAGATTTCCAGCTCTTGGGAGCGTTTGCCACCATGACCAGAGTGGAGAAAGAAGAGCAGAGAGCACTTGGCTCAACATTTCTCCTATGAGGTCCATTTTAATATACTACCAATGACTGTGCAATAATTGTGGTAATAAAAGATACACAATTTAGAGAAAATTGAAAAGCTAGGCAACACATTGTTTGGGTTTGCTTTTTAAACTCTCGCATTTGGATGAGAAGTATACTGAAGGGAAAAAACAAACAAACAAACAAACATTTGTGGATGAATTAGATTCTCAAAATATAAATTCTACAAGGAAAGGAACCGGGGCACCAAGGAGCCAGGTTAGCAGCTCATCTGAGTGACTCAGTTAAATGCTTTTAGCATAGGTCTAATGGACATTTTAATGTACTCTAATAAACTATAAAGGGTTATCAGTATAGGGGCATTAGAAGAATAAAAAAAGGTAAATCTATTTCCATGCTCTTACTGTTCACAGTATTATAACCACACATATGTCCTGCAAGTCAAAGGTCTTAAGCATGTAACTACATGATCAATGTGTGGGATTTTGAGAGTTTTTGGTTGCCTTTTTTAAAGTAACTTATTTAATGAAAGGTAACTTATCACATTCTAATTTTACACTTGATTTTAAAGTCACCTACTTGAAAAATGATAATATTTCACATCGAGTAGGCGTATGTTTAAGTTCTCTAAAAGGACAATTCTTTACTTATGAAATTCAGTGATCTTTGTTCTTTCAGACTTTTCAGCTACTGTGGCACTGGGCCATCTTGAAGAGGTGTTAAAGACGGCTCTTAGATAATATCTGTAAATCAAAACTACACTCACATCCACTAGAAGACAATAACTCTAGAAGCAAGCCTGGAAAAGGAAGCTTGTGGGAATATTTCCTTCATGCTCTGATTCAAAGAACCTTTGGAGACGCCAATTTTAAACATGAGTTAAGAAACATAAATACATACCTTCATAGTCCCCCGCTTCATTGAGACGCAAAGAAAACATAAATGGGTTTTCAGGATGCTTAGAGTCGATATTAGTAAATATAAACTGCAGTTTATCCCCTGAAAAGAGATTAAATTATTTAGTATGAGAATATTTTATGTGTCAAAGTTTTCAGGGGAGATGTTTTCTAACCCCTTATCATTGACCAATACTTGCAGTGCTAAGTATGTGCATCCACTTAACCAATATCTCTGTGTGTAGATGACACAAGTTAGTTTTAAGATTATATATTGAATCACACCAAATACACAGGCAACAAAAGAAAAATTTAATTGGACATCACTGAAATTAAACTGATCAAATGCAGTATATACAAGATCTTCTGCCTCCAAGGAATGATGCTCTCATGCACGCTACAACATGCCATAAGTCTTGAAAACAAATACTGAGTGAAATAAGCCAGACACAAAAGGACAAGGCTTGTATCATTTCACTTATCTCACACAACTACAACAGGTACACTCATAGAAATGAGTTATAAATTAGAGGTCACTAGGAGTTAGGGAAGTGAGAAATGGTACACAATTTCTTCATGGGTGGTAAAAAATTTTGGAAATGGTTTGTAATGGTTGCAAAACATTATCTATGTAATCAATGTCCCAAACTGCACACTTAAGAATGGCAAAATTTGCTGTATAAGCTTTACCATCATAAAAAAAAAGTCAAACAAGTTTGACATTTGTCCAGTTACCCAGACTTACAGTCTATTTTCCAAAAGACCTTCAAATGCTCCCACAGGAAAAAAATGCCTCTCGGAAATGCAAGATGGCTGCCACAAAGTACAAATTCATGTGCATATTAGTTTCTTCTATAGCACAAGAAAGTTAAGGACTCTTACCAGTCATGTTGGCACATGTCCACAATTCAAGCTATTTGGGAGACTGAGGAAGGATAAACTCGACATCAGGCTGGGCAGCTTAGTGAGACTGTCTCTAAATATTTATTTATTTATTTATTTAATTTATTTATTTATTGTCTTTTTGAGGCAGGGTCTCACTGTGCAGTTGAGGCTTGCCTTGAGCTCATTTTGTAACCCAGGCTGGCCTTGAACTCACAATGATCCTTCTGCCTCAACCTCCCAAGTGCTGGGATTACAGATGTCAGCCACCACTCCTGGCTTCAAAATAAAGTTTTTAGAAAAGACTGGAGATGTAGCTCCCTGGTACAGTGCTGGCTTAACATATGCAATCAAGGCCCTAGGTTCAGCCTCTAACACCAACAGCCCTACCACAAAAGAAGAAAATCTTACTAAAAATTACTACAAGTATAAAAGGAAATCCTAAGAAACTTTGAAAACACTTGTCTCACATTGAACTTCACATTGAAAATAGTTATGTCAGCGCTCCACATTTTTTGAATTCTTAATAGTAATGGGGCAGATGCATGCCAAGGGAAAAAGGTTCCACAAGATATAAGTTACTCAGGCAATATGAAAGGTTTAATAATTTGAATTTTCTCTTCCTCTGATGATATGAGAGGAAAAGCCAAAATGCTTTTCTTCTTCCTCTCACTCAACAACCAACAGAATAATTCTGTGGTCATTCGGAAGTCCTACAATGGACGCCCACTAGATGCCCTCTAACTCAGTCTAGTTCTGATTCTATCTGCGTAGACATGGCACATTGCCACCATCTCCCCCTCGGGTTTGGTGAAGTTGCTTGAGCCACTCACAGCGTTCAGGGAACCTATAAAAAGTTCTCATATTCCCATTTAATTAACTTGACTTACATTCACAGGACACAGCTGAAGAGACGGACAGGTCAAAGTAGAAGGGCATGGGTTTTATGGAGCCTCTCCAGACACACTACCCTACAGTCCCAGATCTCAGTCTTTGTACAGAGGCTTCTTTGTGTGGGGACGACTGATAAAATCACTGGCCACCAGTCATCAGCCAGCTGAGGCTCTTCCCCTCACTTCTGTCCAGAGGGTGGAAGGAAGGGCTGAAAGTCCCAGCCCTGTAATCCCATCTAGGTCTTTCACATCATGAGGCCCCATCCATAAGCAGGAGGCAGCCAGCCATCAGTCAGCTCAGCGGCATATAAAAACGACATTTGTCACTTTAGAATCCCAGGATTTTAGGAATCCTATGCCAGGAAACTGGGAGGCAGACGAAAGAGCTATTTCATAATATCGCACTTCCTTAAAACATTTCCTGACTTTGATGGCTGTGATAGTTTTATTTTCACTTTAAAAATAATTTTAAAGTCCTAAAGTTAATTACTTTATACAAAACTAAACAAAACAAGAAACACCCCAGGAAAACAGCGAATATCTACTTAGAATTGAACCTATAAAAAGTTCGCATATTCCCATTTAATTAAAAAGCCAATGTTTTATTAAAAGATAGGAAGAACACCAAGATAAGCAGATGTACAGGTAAAGCAAATAGCAAAGAAAGGAATATCATTAGTAAACAAGTAGGAAAAAAGTCACCTTTTCCTTAATAAGCAAAGACATAGCTTTTCAAAATATAAAAGTTCTACTCATGTCTTATCAGTTGCCAAAAAAGAAAAAAATATCTTTAAAAAATAGAATTCTGGTGATAAGGGGAAAATTCTGAGAAATTCTAAATTTAAATATAAGGGCTGCACCCCCAATATATTTATATTGAGGAGTGGAGGCGAGGGGAGATGGGTGAGATTAGTTAGTAAACAAGCTACGAGCCAAGAACAAGTGACCACCTCACATTCTGGAATGTAAGTTACAAACATACATCCCATCGCTATTCCCTAGATGCCATATTCTGTTTATAACCCCAACTGATCAGAAGCAACAGTTAAGTCTCCTCATGACTCCCCCCTAGAGATCTCCCACTTTTACATAGTTCCATAATTTCTTATACTTGCAACCACTACAGGTTCCATGCACCTTACGCCTTGTTTCCTCAAATTTTCACGATTAAACAAAATGTTCTTAGCTCTGGCCTGGTGAACATTTTCCAAATGCCACCTACTCCTGCCACTGCTGTGGGAACTTATCCCAGGACCTGTCATTTCTTTCTGTAGCATCTGTAACAGCTCAATACATTCTTTTATTTCAGAGATTGCTTCATCTCAAGTTTTGGTTTAACGTTGGGTTTAACATCAAGAATACAAGGAAGGAAGTTCTCTTGGACATTACAGAAAAGTATGCATAAAGAATTAACAATACAGGTCTGAGACTGTTACCCTTAGAACTTCAGAAAGCCCTGCTTGCCAGACTAGCCCTTGGTTGGTGTGTTTTGGATCCTCATTATCACTGCTAGGTATGATGATTGACTAAGACTTGCAAAAAAAATACAACAAAGTCAGCAAAGGAATAAGATGTGGAGTGGTGTCCAAGGAAAACCAGGCACAAGCTTCCAGAGCAGAGTTTCTAATGAGTTTCTAGTAAGCAACAGTTCATTCACACAGGTCGTCACAATTTGATGCTTAAAGAAATTGTGTCCTGTGTGATTTCACTGGGTTCTTAAAACCTTGTGCCTAATTTCCTCTACACTTTTTATTGTGTGCCTTTTTCTTCTGATCTTGTTTTGCAACCTTTTGCTGCAATAATTCTTAACATAAGAATGATTACAGTAGTCCTCTCTCACCCATGGTTTCAGTTACCCAGTCAACTGGGGTCTAAACCTATTCAATAGAAAATTCCAGAAATAATACACAAGTTTTAAATTATGCAGTTCTGAGTAGCATGACGAACTCTCATGTCATCTCATTCTGTCCACCAGGATGTGGATCATCCCTTTGTCCAGAGTATCCACTTTTTATACATGATCTCCCCTGTTGGTCACTTTGTAGCTATCTCAATTATCAGGCTGACTGTCCTGGTATCATGGTGTTTATGCTTGGGTATCCCTTATTTTAACTAATGACCCTAATAGAACAGAAATAGTAATGCTGACAATTTGAACAGGTCAGAGAGAAGCTTAAAAGTCCTTCTCTTAGGAGAAAAGGTAAAAGTTTATCACAGATTGTAGATATAGGAAAAGAGTATGTGTAGGATTCAGTGCTATCTGCGATCTTAGGCATCTGCTAAAGGTCTTGGAACGTATCTACCCTATGGATAAAGGAGGATACTATATATGCTGAGTCATCCCAATGACTCAATCACCAAACCAAAGGGTACCCTGAAACAAAACTCTGCCATAAACTGGCACATATACATGATGTGCCACAAATGATGCCAGGCATATGTACCTTTTTAAATTTAATGTTTCTATCTCTACTGATTTAGCAATACCCATACAAATATTCATGTGCTTTCAGCAGCAATTCCTAAGAATTCCATGAAATTATTTTTTTAAAAACAACTAGACTCAGGGATTTGAGTGGCTAGGATGGAAAGCTGATGTTTGGTACAGTACCTCTAAAACTGAAAAACTAGAATAATTCAGATGTTGTTAAAAATAATATATGCTAAACATTCAATAAAATATTGTTATACTACATTAATTGAATGAATGATTACACCATGATTTAAAAAGTACTGTTTTTAACATTACTGATACAAGGGCTAAGAACAAAAAAATGAAAATTATCTGCATGTTGATAACCATGCTAAAAGTATTCATTAAAATATTGACTAATAAAAGGATCAGTAGTTATGCTTCAGTGATAAACTGATTTTTTCTTACTTTTTAAAAAGTTAATATGTTCATTTTAGTTCAAAACATTCTTAAAATCATCTATTTAAGAAAAGACATGTTTTCTAATCTCTTGTATTTATATATTTATTATTTATATAAATATACTTACCATAAATTTTTCTAATTTCTAGTCCAAGCCGATCTTTATACAAGTCTGCTGACTTCTGCAGCCTTTTTAACCTTTCTTCATTAGCTTTGTTAGCAGTGGAAATAGCTATGATTAAAAACCAAACATGCCATATTAAAAATTTTAAGCAACTCAATTAATGCTCATCGAATTGATCTTAAGAAACTTGGACACAACCATAAAAATGATGCCAGGCATATGTACCTTTTTAAATTTAATGTTTCTATCTCTACTGATTTAGCAAAACGTGCTTCTGTTCATTCAAGATCGAAGGAAAACTTGCTTAAGATGCAGATAATTAGGCCAGGGATTTGTGTGGCTAGAATGGAAATAGATTTCATTTTACACTCTTTTGATTTTTCTAGATAGCCAGAGATACACTGATTGCTTTATGGAAAAACAATTCCATTCCTTTAGGAATTATTGTCTCATGAGTAAAGGGCCTTTTTTCATGCTAGTTTGAAAAAAAATTTTTTTAAGTTAGCACAGTAATCCCTAAGTAATCCTTGGTTGATGAGAAAAACTTCACAACTGAATCTTGGATTAAAAACTCTACAAAAAAGCAAAACTAACTTGCCTTCAAGACATTTGAAGAACTGATTACATAGACTGGGTACACAAGGCTCCTTTCTAAGTCTCCTTTCTAAATGAAGCATTCATTTGGATATGAATTTTTTTGAGCAATGAGACTGCAGCATGATGAGAGCTGATATTACCTGGCAGAGAATGTGTATGGTCAGTAAGTATTTGTTGCATAAATCACGCCAAGGCGAATCTCATTTAGCAGCACTATCTCCTATTATTTAAACTCCTCTTATCTCAAAATGCATGCATTGATCCCCTGCCCACTTGCTATCCCAGTGTGTATCTAGGTGGGGAGGAAAAGGGAAAGGGGACAATATGGGGTGTGAATATGTTCAAAGTATGTTACGTGTGTACACAAATCTGCCATAATGAATCCATTAATCTGCATAACAAATAAAAGATTTTAAAACACCACTCTCACATCAATGCTGTTACTACTTTGATATAACAGAAATTAAAAGAAAAAGCAAATCAAAAGACAATCAATTCCACTTAAGCAAGTATACTGACATGTTGCAGAGATCAGCAGCTGGCTATGCCCTGAGGTATGTCATCCACATCCGGCAATGAAGGACAGAGGACAAAAATGTACATAATTGTGACCCATCAACACTTTGCAACTTGGATTATGTTGTTAATATGTTTATAACTGGAAACTTACTTTCTCTCTTCCTAGAATATTCTTCTTTAAGATCCTGAATGTTTGCAGTTAAGACTTCCATTTCCTGTGTTTTGCCTTTCACTTCAGCAATCAACTTTAAAAGATTATCTTTCTTTTCTTGAATCAGCTTGTTCTGCTTGCAGACCTCTGTAAACACACAATATTCGCTATGTACATACACTTTGTTCCCTGACATGCAGCTGAAAAACAGACCAACATCTATTGCCTTCATAAAACTGATAACATTTTGAATAAGCATTTTGTAGTAAGTCAAAAATTATAAGACAAAAAAATACACAGATCCTAATCTATTTTTTCTACTTTTCTTTGAAAACAAAAGTGACGAGATAGAAATGAAAATACAAAATTAAATCATAAAATAGAAAATCAGAATGATAGGTGATACCTGAGTTCCCCATTCCAAATAAGTACATAAATAAACACATCACAAAAACCAACCAAACTAGAGAAGATGGTCTTTCAGAGAGCTTTGAAGAAATAGTTAATTCCAATCCTATAGAACTCATCCCAGGACATACTAGGAAGAAAGAAGGAAAAGAAAGCAGGTAGACAGGCAGACAAATTGTAACCAGCCAGCATAATTCATAAATTAAATGTCAGAAAAGATAACACTGCCCCTCCATCCACAACCGTGTAAACTAACCTAACTTAAAAAACATAAGCGTTAAATTGCTTAATAAAATAATAACTTATATAAAAATTACCCACTAAGAGTAAATAGGACTGGACATATAGCAAGGTATAGTATTAGGAAAATTCATCACATAAGTAGACACTGCGAAGATATTTTTTATAAATTTATCACCCACTCCTGATACTGATTCTTAAACATTTAAGATGATAGAAACAAAACCTTTTAACTCTCATGACATGCTTAAAGTAAAATACTCAGCTATTTCCAAAAGGAATAAAAAGAATACCTGCTATCATTGTTAGGTAATATTTTCCCTATAAGTGTCCAATCAATATGAGGTATGCAGCTGGTAAAACTACTGGAAAGGAAAAGATACCAGACATCCACTTTGAATGTGAAAAAATCTAGGGGAAGTCTATAAGAATTTATAGTACTAAATACCTCAAAATCAATAGCTTTCATAAATAATAGCAATGATAGATGAGACTAGTTGTCTTTATACTAATGTTAATAACAGCATATTAGTTTTTGCTGTTGTATGCTACTTTTCAGTATAAAACACTAGCTTTTATAATTAAATTAGACATTAATCAGTGCTTCATTTCCTCTTCTTGGCTGCCATCCCTCCACCTTCCCTACCTACCCCATGTCGTCCCTGTCAACAGCCCTACAAGCCCTTCTGGCTCTCTTCACCTCTCAGCTTCTACAGCTAATGAACTCCTGTCACACATGAGCAAAATAAGAAAGCAGCACAGCCTCCACCTAAACCTGGCCAGACCCTCTTCTGGACGACAATAACCCTGGCACAGCCACTCTGCCCTGTATTGGTTGTGCAGTGCTGTACGGGGTGGGCGGGGGGGGGGGGCATGGACGGCACAGGAACGGAGGTCCCAAAGTGGCCATGAGGAGGCTAAAGGGGCAGGACAGCACTACAAGCCTAAAAACTCTAGAGCAGATCAAACAAGCAAAACCAGTAGAGCTTCTGAATGTACTTACGAATTTCTGAATTAAATTACTAAGATTTAAATAAAATTGGAATATTTATTAACCAGTAGCCCTGCATTACATTAAAAAACCAAAATATCTACACTGTCATTTAACTCCAGTATTGTAATTACAAATTAATATGTGCCCCATGGATAAGTGATGCTAACAAATGTTTTCTTAAATAGGTTTGCCTATCACAGAACTTCTGAGGACCTTAAATATCAAGAATCTTCCAAAGGGAAAGGACACTCTGACCTATTTGCCAAATTAAATTAAATTGAGCATGAAAGTCTTTACATGAAGAGCTTCTCTTGACTGGTATTCCTCAGAAAATGAGGAAGTCTTACTTATAGTGAGAAACCAAATGTTCAGAAATAACCTAGATCAAGAAACAGGCTCTGTATGAAAAAACTGTACAACTTGGCTGAGAAAATATTTGACTTGGATACCTGGAGTGACATTTTGTGATGCTTCTGAATATTATAAAGATGCCAATATTTCCCAAATTTGCAGAGACATTTAATACAGTCCCAAGGGAACAGCAAAGGGCAAAGAGGCATCTAATAAAAGTTATTATTAATCTGTCTGATAATATGCAGGTGAGGGAAATATGGAGGAAAAACAATAAGGAAAGGAACCTGCCTTGTCAGCGGTAGCATCTGTGCCTGAAGCACAGTGCAATAGTGGGTACAGGCTGAAGAACTGGCATAAGCTCAATAAAACAAAGGAAATATTATTCATCAAGAGGGAGACTATTCCCTCAAGAGTGCTGGAATTAATCTGTATTTATTGAATACTTAAATACAAAAACTTACAAAATCTGAAAAGCAGTATCTGTGAATATAAAATTAATTATATGGAGAGTGATCTTTTACTCAAAGGTAAAAAGAAGTCCAAAAGAAAGCTACATAAAGCTTAACATATAGATACAATTTATATTTGACTCCAATAAGGATGAGACTTTATACATTAGGTACTTTGTTCAATATCTTATATTTATATAAATTTATTTAAGGGTCACAATAATCCTGATCTCCAGCTCTTAGTTTCTCTTTAAAAGACAGCAGTTGAGTAATTTGGCTGAAGTGTTACTTGCTAGGATGCAACAAATACTAAGACGTGGATTTAAACTCAAGTCTTCAAGGGCAATGATTTTGCTCACAAAACTATCCTCCTCCAACAACAGGTTACTATTTTAATCCAGAGAAGACACAAATACAAATTTATTAGGATAGTGGGGAGGACAGACAAAAGAGATAAACAGATTTAAAAAAAAACCCTGAATGTAGATAGCTAATGCATATGAGATAATTCAACTTTCACAGTAATCACAGAAATGCAAAGAAAGCAATAACATACAAATTTTCATTTATTACAATGTTTACAAGAATAATAGGGAGTGATGAAAGGAATACAAAGTGCTAGAGTTCTGGAAAATATTTTTTGACATTATAAAACAAAAAGCCTTAAGGATATTTATGTTCTTTGATCTAGTAAGTTGATTTTTTACAAAGTTACACTAGACAAGCAGGATATGGGCAAATATTCATATCCAGAAATGTTTTTCAGTGTTTATGATGAAAAACTGAAAACATTCTAAATACCTAACAAGTAAATGACTAAAAGTATAGTCCATCAATAAAACAATATATTGTCAAAGAACTTAGTATAATGAGAAATAATCACAAATCAGAAATAATAAAATATTTACAAAAGATATCTTGAAGATAATTGTTATAAAACTCCATAGCACATAAAAAATAAAAGCTAGAAAGTCATCTGAGATGTAGTTTTCAACTTTAAAGACAACAGTTTTTCATTATTCTGTACTTTCTAAGCATTTAGACATTATCAGATATTATATCAACTGTAATCTCAAAATAAACATCAGAATTATCAGAAAGTAAAATGCAACTAAAGGAAATTATTTAGTAGAACTGCACTGCAAAGGAAATCTAAATTTAAAATAAGATCTCAACTCTGATTTGATGCCGCTGTTATTTCTTAAAGACTGATCAAACACAACTTCTGAAATTCTTACCCTCATTTACAAAACGTAGGTACAGTAATAATAGCTACTGCATTCATTTACTTCACAAGGTCACCTCTAAACTTGTAAGCGACACGCAAATATCCCATATGTGAGCATTTTTATTATAACATTTGAACTACATGAATCTATGACAATAGATGGAAAAGCCTCAAGGCATGACTAGTTCATGTGCACAGCCGGCTGTCTCTGCATTCCCCAGGGCCAGTATTTCAAACTGCACCACAGCTTAGCATGAGAACAATCCTTTGCACTTTCCCTCCAGGGTACCAAGGTAAGTATTCTACGTGCCCTGGTAAGAGCAGCACGTTTTGACTGCAACCCTAGATCTTGTATCTATCCAAGGACTGACCTTAGGTAAACTTCAGTGAGCTTCAATTTCCTCATCTGTGAAACAGACACGTTTTCATACAGCTGGTGGTTCAACATCTCTCTGCCCTCCTGTTTATTATGCATGACACTGCCAAAGTGCTTTTCAGCATGACACTTTGCCAAAATGTATTTCACAATACAAATCCACTCTCATTTCCCAGGTTAAAATCCTGCAGCAGCTCCTTATCTAAATCCTGTACAGATTTCAGGATTTAAATAATTCAAGAACCTGCTCCTAGAAGATGGACTTTCAATAGATGATCGTAACTAGATGGACAGGCTCTCCATGTCAGTCTTTTTATTCTCTGCTGTATCTTCCTAAGAGAAGTAGCTCATTAAACATTTGACAGGTAAATGAGTCCCCTAAACCTTTTCCTAGTCCCAAAATATCTGAATCTGTCTACCTTGTAGTCATTATCAGTGTTAACAGCATCCTTTCTGGGTTCTTTCTTCTAGTTTCTTATGCCCTTCCCTCAAGCTTCCTGTTCTGCCACTTGCTAATTCTGTCTTTCTTGATCCTTTCCATATCCCTTTCCAATTACAGAGGCAAAGTGAATCAGACTGCTTGAAGGTCTAACAAACCACAATCTCTCCGGGCTGGTAATGTCATTAACAAAACTGAGGGGTGCTGGGGATTTAGCTTAGTGGCATAAGTGCCTGCCTGGCAAGCGTGAGGTCGTGAATTTGATCTCTGGTACCAAAAAAAAAAAAAAAAAAAAAAAAAAAAAAAACCAAAACAACAACAACAAACATGCTGATCAGTACAGAATATCTACTTGGGCAAGATGTCAGGACTGAAGATGGTGGGTGCACAGTGTACCACAGTATCCAAAACAGTAACAATTCACTGTGTATCAACTCCAATACTATGATTATGATGACCTTTCACTCTATTCATTCTTCACAGGTTCAACCTCCTGAATACACTAAAGACTCCCCAGTGTCTATCTTCAGCAAAGACCTCTTTCCTTGCTCCAGATCAAGCTATCCAGCGCCTACCAGGCATCTCTACCTGCAAGGACAACAGTGCAATAACCTCAACATATTCATTCAGCACCTTGAAAGTTGAACCCACTTGTGTTTTCTTCCCATTTCTAAAAATACTCTCACCCCTTTTAGTCTCTCATATAGGAAATGCATCACATCAAAAGACAGGAAACGTTGCACAGCTTCAGGACAGCAGTCATGACTGTATCCAACTGGTCCTGTCACTGCCCCAGGCCGTCCTCATTGTGTGCCTCAATGGCCCACTGTTTCACCACCTGGTCTTTATTGTGCATGACACTGTCGGAGTGCTTTTCCTGAAATACAAATTCCCTCCTATTTTCTAGGTTAAAATCCTGTAGCAACTGCTGGTCTTCTGAAAAAGCCTGAACTCCTTTGTACAACATATAATGTCCATCAGGTGCCCAATCGGTTAGTTCTCTTTCCAGTTACTTCTCTGCCACTCCCAACCACACTGCACGCAGGCCATCCCAGAACAAAAGGCTCTCAAGTTTCAGCTACACTCCACATGCTGCCCTCTCCTGTTCCTGGGAGGTAATGCTCACTCTGCTAAACTCCCCAGCCTTCCTCTGTGATCTTCTCTAAGGCAGGGTGTATAATCAGACTACATGGGCTCACATCATGTTCCTGTCCTTCTCCAGCTGTCTGACCTTGAGAAATCTGCTTAACCTCTCTCTGCACATTTCCTTGTTTAAAAGGTAGAACTGAAAACATTACACTCCTGATGGTTGTCTATATTCATGAGTCAATATATGCAAAAAACTTGAAACAAGGTTTGGCATGTGGAATTAAGGCAAGGGTTAGTTATGAAATATTCTTGAACTGTCACTGGAAACATCCAGGTTCTAGCCCATACAATCCTACTCCATTATTATAGCAACTACTATATTTTTAATTGTGGTTTCCTCACGTATAGCCTCCATCAAATTGTGAGATTATACTTTATACATTGTCTTTTCAGTCTTTGGCTAAGATAGTTGAATTTAGGTAAATTATATTTCTGTTCAAGTATAAGGTCATTTTCTAAAATAAAAATAGTGCTGTTGGGTGTTTGAATGTTTACAGCACATCTCCATATTACAGATATTTAAGAACACACACTGAGAATCACAATCAAAATTGTCAGTAAAACGGACAATTTCAAACTTAATTTTCTAATCTCTCGGTATCTTACAAACCAAGAAACCAAGCTCAATATTCTTATACTCACACATTTTCTTTCTTTCTTCTTTTTTTGCTTATAGTCACTGAGGGCTCCAGGGAAAGTTTAGAAAGTGAAAATAGGTAAAATATCTATCAGTTAAATGGCTGAGGGGCCACAAAATGAGTAAATGGGCAGGCAAGACAAAAGAGAACTTACTGTGGCAAGTGAAGAATATGACCCATGTAAAAACATTCCAATTTAGGGGTTGGGGATTTAGCTCAGTGGCACAAACGCCTACCTGGCAAGTGCAGGGTCATGAGTTCAATCCCCAGTTCCAAAAATATAAATAAATAAATAAATAAAAATAAACCATGGTGCTACTAAATTGAATATCTCTTGTAGAATTTGATCTGTGGCCACAAGTGTGTGGCTTTTGTGTGACAATTCAGTGAGAGTTACTGATCTGGATAATCACTCTGGATAATCTGGAGAGTTGTAGAAACAAGAAGGAAAGAATGATAGTAAAAGTAATGGGGGAAAAATACCAAAGTATGAGATATCATCCAAAAATACAGTGAATATTTGATTTTTTAAAAAAATTATTATAGTGAAAGACACACTGCCATTAGTCCTCCCCAAATACTCTTCCTCACATTTATCCCATTGTTCTTGCCACTTTCTCAAGCAGTTTTGAAAGCCCTTTTTTTAGTGTCTCTAGTTGAGCTGTCCTGGGGCCTTTGATATCCTGGATCTACGCACTGTTTGCCTTTCATGGTCATTTTGACTCTGGAGAAGACACAGAGGGTCCATGGTACCAGATCCAGTGAACAACTGTATAGGGATACAGGGTAATGTTTTTTACAAGCCCGTTTTTGTGTTGGATGGCACTTTATTTCTCATGCACCTGCACCTCATAAAGATGCTCACAAAAGAGGACCTTCAGATCTACTTCAGAAAATGGCAAGAATGATGGAATAACGGTGTTCAAAGTGAGGGAGAGTTTTTGGAAGAACATTAATAGCAATGTATTTTTTATTGTAAAACACTTTAAAATTTTTTTAATATTCATCATATATTTTCACCCCTCATAGTAATCTTATCCCCAAGTGCTGAGAGACAACTGCTTTTTGATCCTCACAGTGTGATTTTCATTAGAAAATAAATAAATAATTAAATCTCCAAATGCATTCACTATATTGTCTTACTTATATGAAAGGTTTCATGATAAATATATTAAACCTAAAAAAAAGTCTCTGATCTACAGATTTTCACGTACGATTTTGATATTCCAGAAACATCTCAACCATTTTTTCTTCTTCCTTTAATTTCACTGACAGCTTTTCTGGAAAAGAAATTGAATTTCAGTTTAGCTCACATACCACTGGGAAACAACAAGAATGCAAAAATAACAAGTTACAAGTTGGCTGTAAGTACCTGCTAGGGTTTTAATGGAGTCCTTACAGGCATCTCTTAGCCCCAACATCTGACAGGGGGTGTCACTGAGAGTGTTTCTGAACTTATTTCCAAATTCATTTATGCTTTTATCGAAGAGCGCCAGTTCATCCTCTACCATTGTGCAAGACACTACAAAACACAGAAAACCTATTTTAGAAGTTATTAAAGCCAAATAAACATATTCAAATAAAGTATGCTCTGACAGTTTGATGGTTAGCAACTGAACCTTTAGTTCTACATATTTACTGATAAATCGAGTCACTTGAGCCTAATTGTGATTAAGATGCAACAGGAATCTAGAACACTTTTACCTCCTAAGAACTTGTTAGTAAAGTGTAATTGCACAGGAGAGTCACATCTCTATGACCCTGAGGAAACTGACTGTTTTTCTCACAAGTAAAAATGACGACTTCTAAGGCCCCATCCAAATCTAATGTCTTCTGATTCGAGCCTGGATCACAAGGTGGTCACTGACATCCCACCTCCACACCCCAGTAAGACCTTCTTGCCTCCTCTGCCTACCCAGGAACAGGAAAAGCACAATGAAAAGGGGACTGGGGTGGAAATCTGGCGGCTCAGTTCCACTTCATCAATCCGGCCTTCCTATCTTCTGTAAAAGGGTGTCTTGGAATTCTCCAAGTCCCACCAGCTCTCTGCTACGCTGAAACCTCACCAGGATGGCCAAAACCATCTTTTCAGTAAAACCCAGAACTCTATGTTTCCCTTGCTACCCAAAGAGCAAAAAGACTCGCTTTCCACAAACTCCACTCGAAATACGTACCAACATGCCGCCCCAACCTACTTTCCCCTATCACAACAGGCGGGTCAAAGAGCCCAGCCTGGCTCTCACCTTCGTCGCCGTGGCTGACAGGCCTGAGTTCGGTTGCCTCGCTCTAAAACCAGGAGTTACAACTCCCAGCCCACCTCCAGACCCCGTTCCTACAGCAGCCGCAAATTTCCGATTTCAAACCCAGAACACCTCCCCGCCACCCGCTTGGGAGCCTATTCGCCCTCTGATTGGCTAATAGTACAGACTCTCTATGCAGTGATTGGTGAACTCAAACTACGGAATTGTCGCGGGAAAAAAAAAAAAACCTAAGGTAAAGGGCATTCTGGGATTCGTAGTTTTTAATCTGAGAGACAGCCGGACCTAAAGTTCCCTGGGAAAGTAACAAAAAAGGGTTTCTTTCTTTCTTTCTTTCTTTCTTTCTTTCTTTCTTTCTTTCTTTCTTTCTTTCTTTCTTTCTTTTTCTTTCTGTCTCTTTTTTCTTCTTTTTAAAAATTTCGTTACTGTTGGTGTTTAGGTTGTTAATAATCTCTAGAAGAGTGGTCAAGTGGTTCTCTCTACTCCTTGAAGCATAACTAGGGACACCTGGCTCTTTTTTCTGCTTATTTAGCTTTTCAAAAGGGGAAATAAGATGAAGTCCTGCCCTCCCCCATCACCACCCACACTCCACCACCATCATCATCATATTTATAACACATTTATGCGCCTTTCATTTCAATCCAGCCAGGATTTCTTGAGTATTTACTATACATCACATACTAAGTGCGAACCGACTTCTCTGGGAATTTCTGTACACAGAAGAGTAGAAAGATGATAGTCTTCCCAGTCTGGAGGTATTTCTGGGTGGCGGCGATAAAGAGCCTTTCTTTATTTTATTTATTTATTTATTTTGTCTTTTTCATCGGTACCAGGGATCGAACTCACGACCGCACACTTGCAAGGTAGGCGCTTATGCCGCTCAGCTAAACCCCCAGCCCCTAAAGAGCCTTTCTAAAACTAATGAAGGTTCACTGTTCCTTCTCTGAAAACTTTTTTCCTTCTAATATATGGAAGAGGATAAGGTTCAAGAAGAAAAAGACATTGTTGCCTACAGAACATACCCTAAGTAGGTATTTTCCATTTTAAAGGCAAAGTGAAGGAGAGAAATAATGAGTGATGCCATGGTTTACACTAAGAGTTCCACCCTCCCTTTGGCAACACGTATACTAGAATACAAATTCCTCACCTGACTAATATAAGGGTCTCTATATTACATTCGCATTTATGTTGAACCTGAAAATAATAGCACATGAACTTTCAAAACCCATTCACTGAGAAAATTAGAAATTATAAAAGCTACTATGAATTCAGAAAAAAAGAAAGCTATTCTTGTGTATTCCAGGTTAAGAACTTAATACTCAAAAACTGCTTGTATTTAAAAAGATGTTGAACATAAATTTTAAATCCTGTAGAGAGCTTCTTGGGCAGTGTCAGAAAGCATTGGAATAAACAAGCCAAAAAAACAAGCCTTTGGAAATTGCCAAGAGCAAAATACATTTTCTAAAGTGGAGTCTATCTTCAGCACCAGTTCCACTTAGACTCTTTCATGTTCCAGAATTTAAAAGTAAAATGAAATAAATGAAACACTCAGAGCTCCAGCATGATGAAATGATGAAGTCGCTAGATCTCACCCCCCCCCACCAAAAAAACTATAAAATTGGTCAAAATTATGAAAAAACAACAATTTCAGTGCCCTGGAAATTGACTGAAGGCTTATACCAAACTAAGAAGACTTTATTCATGAAAAACTAATCAATAACATGATGCTAAGTGAAAGAAGTCAGATGTAAATGACTACATATTACTGTACATTATCCCATTTATATGACATAAAACAAAGAATGAAATCCACAGGAAACAGTGCAGTGGTTGCCTGGGCCAGGAACAGAAACAGACAGTGACAGGCAGAGGATAAGAGGGAACTTTCTGAGCTTTTGGAAATATTCTAAACCTGGTGATTGATGACAACTCTAAATTTACTAAAAATTACTGGCTTGTATATTCATAGCAGTTAAGTTAATGGTAGGTAAGTTATTCATCAGTAAAGTTATAAAAATGAATATCCCTCTAGGGGCTGGGAATTTAGTTCAGCGGCATAAGCACCTGCCTTGCAAGCAGGCGGTTGTGAGTTCGATCCCCAGTACCGATAAAAAAAATGAAAAAGACCAAAAAAAATGAGTATCTAAGCTTCAAATGAAAAGTAACTTTTGTAAGCACTCAGAAAATATTTGATATAGTGAGTAGATTTAGTTTTTTAAAATTTCTTGTAAAATACATAAAACAAAATTTAAAACTTTCAATGGTTCATTGACATTATATTAACATTACTGTGCAATCATCAACATTATTTATCTCTAGAACTCTTTTTTATCATGCAAAACTGAAACTGTACCCATTTAACAATAAATTCCATTCTCTGCTGCTATATAGTGACAACCAATATTTTACTGTCTGTCTTTAGGAAGTTGACTACTCTGGGTATAATTTTTCACTTGTTTCATACATGTCAAAAAATAAGAATTTTTATAACTATTAAATATAATCCGTTAATGTTAATTTTGACAAGATAATGAAATTATCTCCATCATATGCTGGAATGTATTTTCTTTTTATCCTACATTTTGCATTTCCAAAGCCTACATATATATATATATCAGGCCCCGGTCACTTGGCTTTTCCTCCACAAAAGTGCTGAAGCCACATAGATTGAAAGTTATACGGTGTCTGCCTTGCCTCTGTTCCATTTACTCTATTTTTTCACCTCTAAATGTACAGTGAAATGTGATTTGTGCAAATACCTGTTCTACCAAAGCTCAAGATTCTTGAAGTATGATCTATTTCTGTTCTTCCCTGTGTATGCATGTCAGCCTTAAACTACTGCCTCTCAGAAGTGAGGTTCCACACCCAACAACCTCACCACGATCAGGGAATTTTTTAGGAGGGCCACTCTCAGACCTCTTCTATTCCTACCACATCAAAAACTCTTGGCAATGGATCCCAGTTTGAGATTCCCCGCCTTACATTTAATAAGGACTCTCTATGTTATATCTATAACATGCAGTACCTTAGCTGTACTGTAAGAAAATTAATAGGAAATTGCTCAATAGGCAACTATTTTGGTTCCTCTAGTGATCCAAGAAAAAGATTATGAATGTATGGATCAAGATCATCTCTAGAGAATAGAATGAGACTAATAGAGGGGGTACCCGGAACAGTTATAGGAGAGTCATTTATAATAGTGTCATTATGGAATGCCAGTATTCCTGGGATGCTAGCCAAAATCAAGGTAATTGTTTTCTGAAAGTCACTAGGGTCTACACTTAGTATGAAATAAATCAGTTTTACATCGCAAGGTGACACTGGAGAGATCTCAAAAACTATTTTAGAGAAGGCAGGTAAGTTTGTAGTAAAGGATAAAGACCATGCAGGAACATTAAAGATCAACGCTTTCAAAATCTATTTTTGTTTTGCTTCCACTGAATAAATGACACAAACTAAAGCTGAATCGCTCTGAATGAGGTTGAATTTCAGTGAACACTTTAATTCAGAGATGAATGGTTCATTTTATGATAAGAATAAATCTCAGGGTTATATAAAATTTGGTATGGCAAAGTATATTGAATTCTGACCTCTGTAAGACATGTTGCACTCTAAATAAAACAGGCAGAATATGCTTAAGTTGAAACATAGGGAAATGTTACCTGAACCAGAATGAGAACATTTTGGAAAGAACTGAAAGTATTCCATTGTAAGAACTAACTAAAAATAAAACAACAGTACAGGAGATTAAGGCTGGCTACAATAATAATATTTTAAATACAAAAGTAAGAAAGGCATTAAGATAAGCAAGTCATCCTGGGCAAATTCAGTACTGAAGATATCTCTAAGGAAACTAAGAAATGATGGGATCGTGTGTATAAGCACCACAAACAGTGCATGGACGCCAGTGAACTCCACACTGCATTTAATTTGTTTGGGTCAGGGATTCTATTGAGAATCTGGTGAAAGCTGTGGCCTTCTTCCAAGAAATCTGCAGAAGCACAGACATTTTGCAAGCAATTTTAGGATACCTACTGACCCTTAAATAAATCAAACAGCCTAATGACATAGAGATTTCTTCCAAAAATGCTTTCCTGGCAGAGCAGAGTTCTAGTTGTTGAATATTTGGAGAAATCAAATGGAGAATTCTATAGTCGAGAAGAAAATTTACCGATCCAGAAGGGAATGACGGTTGGCTGTGCAATTTTCTGAAGACCCTTTCTTATGTGTAGGACATCTAGTTTGATTTCTAGATGCAGTCATGAAAAATTCAAAGTTGTTTCTCTTTTCTCAGGCTAGAAAGTGAGGTTGGAGCCAATCAATTTAAATACTTACATAACTAAATATTTAGTGTGATATCAAGGGTGAAACAGAGAAAAAAAGAGGAGAGAGAGAGAGACAGACACAAAGAGACAGATAAGAAGGAACAAAGAGAGGAGAAAAAAGAAAAAGAAGCAGTGATGTCACACAAAACAGATACAACATAAGAATTTTGTATAGAAGTGAATTTCCCCACCCAACAGCCTCACCACGATCAGGGAACTTTTTTTTTTGTACCAGGGATCAAACTCATGACCTTGCACTTGCCAGGCAGGCGTTTATTCCACTGAGCTAAATCTCCAGCCCTAAATCTGTAGTTCTGCCACTTTCCCACTTTGGAATTCAATTCCATTTTGACAAACTATTTGGCAAAATAATAATAATTAATATTAATTAGAGCTAACATTTTTGAGAGTTTATTGTGTGCTTTTGGTAAGAAAGAGGAATAGAAAGGAAGTCCTAAAAGGAGGACATGCAAACAGCCCACATCCATGGAAAGGAATGAAATAATACAACTCCAAGCAAGGCAAATGAGACAAAGTGGTCACTTGAAAAAGTCACTGGAGGAAGGGTGGACCCCCCCTAGCCGCACATGAAGAGTACAGACACCCTGTATCAAAGGAGGGGTAAATTAAAGCAGGACTTCGAAAACTTAATGAGCATAAGCAGGGAGCTTATAAAGGGCTACATTTCTGGACATTTCCCAAAGAGATTGATTTTGTGAGCTGGAGTGGGCCTAGACGTTTGCAGGAGGTAGCAGGAGGCAGATGGTCCGTGGGTGAATCACTCTTTGAGAAAAACAACCTCAAAAAACAGATGAGCATAGTGACAGGTCTACTTTCTTTTTTATTTTGGTCTAGGTAGCATAAATCCACCCTGGCTGAACTGGTTTGGGACACACCTGAAACTCTAACAACCTTGGCTTTGAGGTGACTCAGCTTGTTATGCAGTGTGTTATGGGAGAGAAAAGCTCACCTGGAAGATGACTAGCACCAGAAAGAACTAATCTGTAATTCCCTCCATGTAGGGTAGGTCCTGGGCAGGACCTCAGCTTCACGCTACAGCAACTCTGGTGGGAGAAGGCAAGCTGAGGAGGACTAAGGAACCATTTAAAAAGAGATTTATCTCAGAAACAAATCATAAAACACATATAAGTGCTAACAAATAGTTCACTAGTTATGAGGGGTTAAGTGTTTTCACTTTCTTTATTTTTTAACTTTTCCACAGATTACTTTTAATTTTAATTTATAATTATGTAAAATGTTTACATGGTTTTGAAGTCAAATCTACAAAATAATATATTAGAAGAAGTCTAGCTTTTATTCCTGCTTCCTTTGTTCTCTTCTTTTCCTTATGGTAAACCTTAAAGGATTTATTAAATTTTTATTATCTGTAAACATAAGCATATATGTGTTTGGTTTTTTGTTTTGGGTTTTTTTTTGTCTTAGATAAATCTTTATACATTTTTGTCCATTTTCTTTGATCGCTTTATAACATTATATCTATGAGAAAATGCATTTGAATTTGGACTAAACAAATATTTTTTTAAAAGCATAGCATCTTCATAAATTAGTGCTCATATTGAGTTTTGTTCAATGATTTGTCCATTCAATAGATACTTAATGAACACCAAAAATGACAGTGGGCCCAAGGGAAGTTCCAGGCACTCTAGGAACTAAAGTGATTGTAATACTGGAGACTTTCTTTTAAGAAAATAATATAAAATTATTAATTAACTTGAACACTCCAGCAGTGCCCACTCTCAGGGGCTGTCAGCGCCCGTGGGGATCTGTGCTGAGTATGGTCTCCCTGGCTGATCCACAGAGCAGATCCAAGCCCTTATTTATGCAGCTTAGGAGACAGTGCAGGAGGAAAATACAAAGTCCAAAATAAATGCACAATCACAAATGGTGCTTAGATCTCTATAATGAACCAAATTATGCTTTCTCCAAATTGTTATGTTAAAATCTTAAGCCTCAGTATCCTAGAATGGGCTTATAGTTGGAGATAGAATCCTTAAAGGACACTAACTTAAGACCATTAAACAAAGCCCAACCCAATGTGATTGGCGTCTTTATGAGAAGAGGGGATAAAGCCATGGATATTCACAGAGGAAAGGCAGCCATCTACAATTCAAGATAGAGACCTCCTTCCGAAGAAACCATTCTCACTGATGCCTCAGTTACAGACTCCGGCATCCAGAGTTTTGAGAAAATAGATTTTTGTTATATTATCCATACAGTCTGACACTGTGTTATGCATCCCAGCAAACTAACACACTGTCCTTTAAACATGTTTGTCAAAGGAATGGTGAGGCCCTGTCAACGCTAAGGAACTGCATAGAAGATAGTATTTCAAATGAAAAAATAATGAACTACGACGAATGAAAAGATTTAGCTGATCCTGTTAAAAGGCAAAAGGAATCAAAGTACTTCCGTTTCCGGTAATTATCCTGCATTCTATAGAACCCAACAGTCTTCAGAAGACAGTCTTTCTAAATTAAGTATCGAAGATGAAAAGCTAATGTACAGCTGACCTCATCACAGTCCATAGACTCTAAAGTGTTGAATGAGCACAAAGCTTAATTGTAACTATAATGCAAAATTTATTTGATATCATCCCCACCCTGATTTAAGGACAAGACACTTCTGAAGAAAATGAATATATTATGAATTATGTAGCTCAAACACTTCTTAGAAAAAGAATAAAGGAAAATTATGTCCTTCTTCATGGCTCATTAAAGAGATTATGGAAATTACCGAACCTGAATATGCTAACAAAAAAGCCAGAAGAGTAGACTGATTAGTCAAGTCTGATATTTCACATGGATTGCTTTAGCTTGATTCTAATCCCTGAGTCTACACTGCAATCTCTTGGGAAATACTTTTATAATACCAATACTTAGGTCTCACCATCCAAAATTAAATTGATCTGGGATGAGACAAAGGTATCATTTTCTAAAAAGCACCCCAAAATATTAATGATCAAACAAAGCATTTATTCCAAGGGAAACTATAGAGGCCAGGAAGGTACCAATGCTAGCAACAATGATGTTGTTAAATGCTAGGACAAAACTCAAAGCAAAGTTCAAAGTGCTATTCACATCCTATGAAGATGGTTCCTAGTGAAGGAGGCTGAGGTTGGCAAAGCTCATATCCAAACAGTGAGATAACCGGTACTACACTTAGAGCCATCTTTAGCCATCTGGCAGGGCTCTGTTGCTTCCATTTTCACTTTCCTAGGAGGAACTTAGTGCTCTATAAAGCCAGCATTTCTCTCTGAGTGAGATCCTTAGGTCTCTATGCTTCCCTTCTGTTCATTCCCGTATGACATTTTTGTTTGGGTGCTTCCCACTTACTTCTAGTGAATACTGTTTTCAACAAACCATTCTACTGATTGGTCAAAATCTACTCACATCTTTAACATAAGAGCAACTTTCAAATCCTTTCTAATGTATTCTCTAGTCAATAAAAAACACAACTCAATCTTAACACATTTCTATTACCCAATGACCCCTATTTATGCTTTTTTTGCCTCACAGCCAAAAAGTAACATATTTCCTTTAAGATTTCCTATATCCTGTATGTTTCTTTCCTTATTCCATCTACTTTCTGTCCTTCTCTTTGATAATAAATACCAAACATTTTATTCAAAAGTCTAAAATCAGAAAATAATCTGTCATATCACATAAAATTTTCATGCCCACATCTTTTCCATTTTCCTGAAAGATCCAATAGATAGCCAGAGTTACAGTCTATCTTATATTAAAATGAAAGGCTTTAATAAGAGCTATTTGACATGCAATAATTATTTGCATTGTCTTCTGGCCAAGCATAGAAATTGTTAATGTCTGCCCCTGAAGGAAATGAACTGTGCAAAAAATTTCAAGCAAACACAATCCAACTGTTCACACAAATGGGAGATTGCATAAGAAATTCATTGTGCTCTATCCAAATTTCTCCTCAAAGTGCCACAGATCAGCATGTACTTCTCTTCTTTTCCACCAATTAAAATCACAAACAGATGACCTTTTCAACAGAGGTGAACAGAGAGACATGTCTTCTCCACAGATGGTGAGTGTCACATGTCAGAGTAATGGCTCCACACGCCATGAGGGTAGTGTATAAAACCAGTGGGACTCAGTACTCAGCTCAATTGCTGTATGTTTACACCTTCCTGTTTCTCATGATGGACTTTCTTCATAGGAATGGAGTGCTCGTTATTCAACATTTGCAGAAGGACTATGGAGCCTACTATGGTTTTCTAAATTTTATGTCCAGTGTTGGAGACCCCAGGAATATCTTTTCTATTTATTTTCCACTTTGGTTTCAACTTAATCAGACAGTTGGAACCAAGATGATATGGGTAGCAGTCATTGGGGATTGGTTCAATCTTATATTTAAATGGTAAGACTTCTGTTTTGTTTGCTTTTTCCTAAAATTTCTTAAATTCCTTGCTTTGGTTGAATGAATAAATTTCAGATGTGTATCATGTAACTTGGAAAATTTTGCAAATATACTATTTTAATATTTAAAACCAGATTCATAAGTAGGAATTACAAAAAATACAGAAATATGTACCTTAACTGACTTACAAGTAAATTCCAAAACCCTATAACAACTTCTTGATTAACCAAGAAGTTAGGTAAGTGAGCAGCACTATTATGAATCAGTTGATGATTTTAGGATCACTTCAATATTTCCTAAGTGCCTAAAGCACCCAGAGGACATTCCTCACAAGGAAGAAGTCCCTATGTTTACAGGACACTAAGTTGCCAATATCCCAAATGACAACCTTCCTCTATAAGGAACGAAAGATCAGAACCCAAGTCAGAGTCTCCTAATCATAAACTTTCCTCATCAGCTTTCTAGTTACATTATTTTTATAGAAGAAAATAGTCCTCTACTAAGTAATAATTGTGTGTTTAAATATATGTGTGAATATTTACATTTCTTCAAATACAGGATACTATTTGGTCATCGGCCTTACTGGTGGGTTCAAGAAACTCAGATTTACCCAAATCACTCAAGCCTGTGCCTTGAACAGTTCCCTACTACATGTGAAACAGGTCCAGGTAAGCAACTAAAGTAGCCTCAAGTTACTAAAGATATTCCAACAGACAGCCATTATTTATGATTATCATCACATAATGGTCATGATGTTATATAGAGAATTAATGAAATACCACAGTGAGGATGCTAAAAATTTGTAAGCATCAAAATTGCTAACAAGAAAGACGCTTTATGAATAATCAAATTCCATTTTGTTACTGATGAGAGGGTAGGTTGGGAGAATACTCCCCCAAGTAATTTTATAATTGAGCATTTAATTTTTAGAATGACTTGATACTAAAGTGAACAGGAAAACAGAACAAATTCCCAAAGAATAATATTAAGGTCCTAGAAATGTTGATTTATCTGCTATTTGGCAATTTTCAAAGTTATTATAGGTCTTCTGAGAAGCTTATGAACAAGAAAACAGACAAGTTTTCTATAAGAAAGGTAAGGTTTTCTCAATATTAGTGTTTCCAGTAAGCATTATCTTTAATCCTAGAACAATTTTTTCTCTTGTACATGTAATGTATAAGCAGGCTTCTTGGAACGCTTGCTCTTCTGTTATAAATAAGATTCTGAATAAGAAGTTTAGGACTTTAAAGAGAAGGACTGGGATGTTGCTCAGTAACAGAGTGCTCCCTTAGTTTGAGCTAGGCCTTGGTCCCCAGCACTGCCAGTGCCAAGAGAAGGATTCCAGAAAGATATTTAAAAGGTTATTTGAAATGTAGATAGAAGAAAATTACACATTGCTTTAATTTACAAGAATGCATTTTATTGTATCTCACCAGGTACACAGCATAAAATTATTGCAATTTGAAATCCTTTGAAAATAACTCTGAGTATAGAGAATGCATGTGTTCTGATGGTTTTCTGAATGTCCTTTTAGGTCCTATAAAATATATGTATGTCTGCTATATCCCTCATCATTCTGTACTGTCATTCCATTATATCTGGTTGCCTACACTCTGGGCTCCATCAGGGTGGGGGTGATGTATGCTTCTATCCTTGTGAAATTAATGTGTAATGAATGGATAAATGAATGGATGGATGGATAATCTTGTTGATGATTCAAATATTGCTTTGGCCTGTAGAATGTCCCAGCATTTGTTCTGTACTATAAGGAGTAGTGTGTGTGTGTTTGTGTGTGTGTGTGGTGTCTACAAGATGGGGGTGTGTGGGAGAGATTGATTTTATATTTGTCCCTTAGAGACATATAATTCATTTAAGTATGCAAAAGCTCTCAAAAATTCCTATAGATTGGGAATAGGTTTGTCTTTGTTTAACAAAGAAAAAACTAGTGTCTTGTGTTTTCAAAGACAGTGTTTAACCAGAATGAGTATCTACCAGGGGGAAAATTCTGAAAAATTCTAGGGGGAAACAACAAAGTACAGTGATTAAAAATAAAACCAAGCAGCATGAGAGAGACACTTTGGGATTAGAGAGGCTCCCTGATTTTTCTATTGGAGTTAACACCTGGACAGCTTCTCCTCTCTCCCATTGCATAATAAAGATGCTCACTGCAGGACCCTAAAATAGGCATACAGAGAGCTGGTTGCACACAGCTGTCATTTCTAAATGAATCAGTAAACTACAAATCTAGTAATGACTTTTCAGCCGAAAGAAACTGATCCAAGATCCCATATAGGGGCTGGGATTTAGCTCACTGGCATAAGCACCTGCCTTGCAAGCAGGCTGTCCTGAGTTCAATCCCTGGTACCGATTTAAAAAAAAAATCCCATATAAACACTTGAATTTTCTTGTCATTACAACAATCAGATATAAAGAATGAATAGTAGTGTGTTAGATTTTAGTGTTAAAACCTAGATTCTTAATTACAGACTTCTGGAATTCAACCGATTTGAAAATCTAGAAAAAATGTTTTTGAGATAGTGGTTACCTGGTTTGACTCAATTTTCCTGATTTTTACCTGCTTCCTAACCATTACATATTGTCAGTGTTAATGTGTTTTTTTCCTGAGTTATTTGTAATTCTGGCAATCGTGCTGTTCTCGTGTCTATTTCTGACCTTGATATTTAATTAATTATCTTTCATATGGATGCTACTTGTTGCAGGAAGTCCATCTGGCCATGCAATGGGCTCATCGTGTGTCTGGTATGTCATGGTAACAGCTGCCCTGAGCCACTCTGTCGGGAGGATGGATAAATTCTCTATCACTCTGCACAGGTCAGCTTGGCTCTAGTTTCTGCAACATTGACTTTAACATCTTTGAACACAGTCTCTTCTTACAAGAATTCATTTTAGTGTATTGTCAGTTGTTGACTAAAATGTGCTTATGCTGTTCTATCACAGCCAAAGTAACAGAGTGAATAGAAAAATTAATATTTTGCTTTAAGACAATAATTAGCTCATGGCTATTGCCACTTTACAATAGAGTTGGAAATATTTAACTGATTAATGACTTGAAATATGAGCCTTTATGTTTCCAAAATTCAATTCTTATTTGGTAGCTTCTAAATAAGTCATCTAAAATTATGTAAGAAAATATTTTCTGTGTCCAAGTTCTCTTGCTTTAAGACTAACTGAAAGTTTTAAGAATCATCATTCCCCTTGAATGCATCAGTTTATTTGGCAAAACTATATTTCCTACTTTGAGTAGCACATGCTTTTTAGAGCAATAGCATATATTCTAGATTTAATGAGCATACATCCTTTTAAATTAAAAATTATAGAAGTAAACTTAAATTTGAATATTAATAGATCTCGTTAGGAGAGCTCTGAATGTTTAAAACGGCATGCACTTTAAGATTACTCAAGATTTGTAGATATTGAAATGTTTCCTTCTTTCCTGAAATCCTTTAAACAATCCTTAGCTGCACTTTAGTTATAAATGATTAAGCTAGCTAAGATAAGAGTGTCAATGAAGTGTAAAAAATAAAAACCACATACTGTTACATATAAGTTCTTCTAAATTAAAAACATTTAAAGATCTATCACATGTATTACTTTTTAAAGTAGTAAAGAGTATAAGATCTACAGAGTCTCTGTAGTTCATTCTCTATTTCAACTAATAAGCCAAGATAAAAGTTTCTTTAACAAATTCTTATAGCTCCATTTTTGTTTTTATAACAGCAAAATTTTCTCCATTTGTAAAAATTTGTAGCATATATTTTTACTTCCACATTACAAAATCCTTTTTATTTGTCCACATGGATGGTCCCTGCTTACTTCCTCTTTGATATTCTCATTTCTCTTCATTATTCACTCTTTCTCTAAATTTCATCTGATTATGAGGGTCAAACCATTAAGGATTCTTAGAACTCTGTTAATTTTTTTGAATGACAGGCATTCTTTGCATTTTAATATTTTTATAAATTTTTTGCATATTGCTGCTTTTAATTGATAGTGATAACCTGTTTCCTTGTTCCTTACTCTCTATGTTTCAAAACAAGGACTTCCTGAGAATTTTCCATGGATGGAGTGCTCATGCTCTTCTTATCTGAGGGGTAGCTGCTTCTCCAGTGTGTTTTCTTCAAAGAAAGCAAGGTTGACAGACAAGGGTAAAGAGAAAGCATATATGACAGGCACAAAATATATACACTGTCTAATCTTGATTATCTTGGATGTTATTCATTCCCCAAAACTCAATTTCCCGAAATGTTTTTCCATTAAAAGTTTTTCTTATTTCAAAGATATCAAATTGGTTTATTTTTAGTATTTATTAAAATTTCGGGATATAGAGCTAGTTAAATATAAAATTAAGAAATGTAGAAACCTCTGTCAAAGTTTTTGAGCCCTATGGAGCACATGAAAATATTTTGGAAAAAAAGATTGGAAGCATGTTCTGTTACAGCTAGAAGATTCCTCTGAGAAGGATCACTGGTGTCACCCCTACCCCCATTTTGTGAATGATACAGTCTGTTTGCATTTTACACTTGTATCTATTCTTCCATCGTAGACTGACCTGGTCATTTCTTTGGAGTCTTTTTTGGTTGATTCAAATCAGCGTCTGCATCTCCAGAGTATTCATAGCAACACATTTTCCTCATCAAGTTATTCTTGGAGTAATTGGTGGTAAATATCATCACTTATCTTCAGTTGTATCATTTGAAAGGTTTTGCTTTATTTGTCCTATTGTGTCAGGTTCTCTTTGGTAATCTTTTTTTTTTTCCAATTTCAGAGGTAGTTTTATTTAGCCACTGATACTAAATGTTACCCCATGAGCTTAGATGGTTCAACACACTTCTCATAGCCTCCATGTACACAGTGACTGTCTCACCCAATGGTACAGATGCATAACTGCATAATGAGATGGACATTTTTTGACATGTTATTACAGCAAAGACCAACTCCCAAAGCTCGCTTCAGAAATAGTACTTTGCACATTGGCTTGAGAGACTTACAAATCTTGAAACTTGCCACCAAAACACTGTCTTTGAAACATTTGAGGTGGTTATTGCATGACTGGATTTCGTATACTGACTACTTTGTGTTTATGAAGCTGTATTTACCATCACTAAGTTTCTGATATTCAGCCCTGTGTACTTTTCACAAACTCTCTAAGCTGATTGGCTATGGAAACTGAAATATTAATTGCAGGACCCTAGATTGCCTAAAAAATGGATTGTCTTTCAGTGCCACCAACCCCTGACTGATCCTTATGGGACAATATGGATAGTTAGAATATGGGGCAGATTCTATTCTTAATGCCAAAAAAGCTTTAGGAAATTGACAGAACTTAGGTATGGAAGTCTTTTTTCATTGAAAACTATAGTTAAATTACTAGATACAGAAAGATACCATTCCTGAGGGCCTCAAAAAATCATCATTGTCTCCTTCCAATCCCCAGGCATGCTGGTGGCAGAGGCCTTTGAACACACTCCAGGCATCCACACGGCCAGCTTGAGCACATACCTGAAGACCAACCTCTTCCTCTTCCTGTTTGCACTTGGCTTTTACCTGCTTCTCAGACTGCTTGACATTGATCTGCTCTGGTCTGTGCCTATAGCCAAAAAATGGTGTGCCAACCCGGACTGGATCCATATTGACACCACGCCTTTTGCTGGACTTGTGAGAAACCTTGGGGTCCTCTTTGGCTTGGGTTTTGCAATCAACTCAGATATGTTTCTTTTGAGTTGCCGAGGAGAAAACAGCTATAAGCTGAGCTTCCGGTTGCTCTGTGTCATGACGTCATTGACCACACTGCAGCTCTATCACTTCATCAAGATCCCAACTCACACAGAGCATCTGTTTTACATACTGTCTTTCGTGAAGAGTGCATCCATCCCATTGACTGTGGTTGCTCTGATTCCCTACTGTATACATATGTTAATGCAACCAAGAGAAAAGAAGATTAAGTAGAGCTGTGCAGAGAGTTAGTGCTCTCCCACCCCAGGATCACCCTTCTGCATTCATCAGTAAAACCACAGAGGAAAAACTGTGGAGGACATCACATCAGAGGCAGCAAAATGGCGCCTCCAACCCCAACCCACTCCCCCTCCCGCCCACACACACACTGGTTTAGTTTGGCCTTCACAGTATTGTTGCTGATGTGTTTTAAAATAGCATTTAAAAACCAGAATATCTGACATAAAAAATCTGAATGTATCTATTCTCTTGAAAAATCTGATCATACAACTTGCCTGTACTCCTACCATGTCAGGACAGGAATTAGAACTCAGGTCATTTGACATGCATTTCCACTGCACTCTGTTTTGTTTCTTCAAGTTTAAAAATTAAGTATCAGTAAGAATAAGTGTTCCTACTTAGAGTCTGTGATGATTATCATCTAAGACAGCTATTTTCCCAGAAATGTCATTGAAATCCTATATATAGTTTAACTTACTTCCTCCATTCAGGGTCCTGATGAGGCCCAGCATGTTGTACATATGTAAGTGTATCCAGTGGAGATGATCAAGCCAGGCTCCCATCTGGACATGAACTTCCTAAATCCTGCTCTCTGTCATACTTGTACTTGTCAACATTTCAATAAATACTCCTGATGAATCTCTGCTAGAATATTAATCCCTTCCCCAAAACCTAACTCTCCTCTATGACATCCTCATTTTTTATTTGTAGGAGCCAATCTTTCAAAACTATGAAAATCAAGTTCCTCCTTGAATTTATGCTCCAATTCAGGAATACTTTTAAATACTTGCATCTATTAGCTGGATTAATCTCTTTGGATACTGAACTATGATAGAAATCTATAGATTTACTTTAGAAAATAATTGATTATAGATTATTAATCTTATACTAACAATTTCTTACTAAGGGTTTTTTTTTTCTCATCATTGTATGTAGTGGTTCTGGACTTTAATGTGGTACCTGTGTCATTTTTATCAAGCACAAGGATTTTGAGTTTGATTTTGCTAAACATGTTACTGGCCTATGATTCACCACAATGTTTTATGTAATCTTTCTCAAGATTAAATAATCCATAAATATTTATGAAAACATAACCATTCAAGGAAATGATATCACACAAGATATTAGTTATGCAGAATAAAATTTTTAAAACAAAAGTAATTATTGGGCCTTTTTCCAAGTCTACTTAAGATCATGTGCTGTCGTTTTTACAAAACACATTTAATAGCTTTCTTTTTAAAGAGTAATTATTACCACAATAGATTATAAGCCTTTGAATTCAATCAATGAATTTAAAGGATCGCTGCTCCCTACACGTAAAGGCTTAAAAATCCTTTTCCCCTGTCACTGGGTGAGCACGCTGCCTCATGTCCAAATACACTTGTGCCCTTCTACAGAAGTAAACTTTGAGCTTTGCCTTGTCTGAAAAAAAAGAGGTAATCATTTCCTAAGCTGAAGATGAAGAAAGATTATCTTAAGAATAATTTGTGTCGCGCTGACACAAGAGTGGGGTAAAAGAAGCAGCAGAGGGTGATCTTGGTCATTTCTTCAGTACCCAGTCTCCACTGTCGCTTTGTCAGCTCACTTCAGTCCTGTAAGTCTTTGCCCTACACATCTCCTTCTGCACAAACAAGTGCCTAAGTGTGCCTTTTCAAAGTCTCCCGTAAGTTAGTAATGTTCTTTTTATTCTATTTGGTGTATTTTTGGTGTGGGAAATCAGACCCAGGGCCTCACATGTAACAGACAAGCCCTCTGCCACCGAGTTCACCTTGAAGAGCCCCAGCCCAGTGCAATTTTAGTCTGCTTTCCTGAAGCCTAAGCAAAGCAGGACATTAATAGCCAGAAATTCTGCTTCAGCATTTGACTGTACCATGAATGCTGGCTCAGTTCCTGCTTTTTCCTGCTCTCTTTGGGGTGACATGTGATGCTCAGATAGACGATAGAGGTGCAGGCTTATTTTTTTTTAACTGATCCCCATCAGCTCTACCCCTGTCTGCCATAAAGCCTCAGAGACCTGGTAAGGAGATTTTTCTTTTTACTGTAGTTGCTGAATCCTGCAGACATCCATATAGTGACAAATTGCTTTTGCTATAGAAACTGCTTTAGCAATGACAGGAGTAGTATCTCAGTGCTTTAAAGAAAATGTCTGCCCTTAATAATGATGGAAAAGTCTCTTCTACTTCCAATTTGTTCATTAGTCATAAGTAGAATTGAGCTCATTTGACTTCCTATTAGTATACTTATACATTCAAATTGTTTACACATCTCCATATTCAGGAGAACAATGTCAACATCATGAGCTTTCCAAATGAGAAAATCTAGACAACTGACTTGAGAAACTGTCCAATCAAACATACATTTGAAAGGAAATGCAAAGGAATTTGTTATTAGTGAAGCTAGCTACCAAGAAGAATGTTGATTCCCTTTCTTTTGATAGCCTACTTATTGGACATTTGCCTCAGAAGATTAAATTTTTTTCCTTATCTCTACCTGTTTTCCTATTATAGAAAGGCAGTGTTTTTAAAATGCTATAAAGTATTCTTGAAACTCAAAGTTACATCTCCTAAATATTGTATACTCAGAATTTATGAAGAAATTTGAAATTGAATTGGTACATACACAAAAAAACTTTTTATAGGCAAAAAAGTAAAGAAATATGAGGTTGAACAGTATGATTCACTTCATAATTATATAAAAATCACTTCATAATTATATAAAAGCTCTATTTCCCCACATTTTCAACAGGAACTTTTCATGGCGAAGGAGGTGTTTTATATCTGCTGTTCAGTACAGTAGCCTCTAGCCCATGTGGCTATTGTCTTGAAATTCAGTTAATGCAACTGAAGAACTATATTATGAAACTTATTTTACTTTTAATTAGCTTGAAGTAGTCATCTGCATCTAGTGGTTACTAAATTGAACATTACAAATCATGTTCCACAGTGCTCTTTTTTAAAAAACAAAACAAAAATATTTTAAAATCTTCATCTATCCCAAATCCCTTCAAGACTACCTGAATCAGTACTAAGAGCTACAAGAAGCTAAAGGGCGATTCTGCTAAATTTTCCAGAGGTACCCTCTGTAGGTCTGGGGTACCCCATACAGCTCCCTGGTCTCTGTCTTTGTCCCCTGAGATCTAGCCACCTGATTGCCAAGGACCGAGCTCTGGATCCAGCTCAGTGTGGGTCCATTTTCCCTCCCCCATGTTGTGATTCTAGAAACTTACGGGCTTCAACACTAGGTAGAGCTTTGTATAATGTCTGAGACCACATTCCAGGTGGTGGGAAGACTTCCTGACCATGTTTTCCTTCTGCTCCACGTCCAGTATTTACATATGCCTGACACCAGCACCTTTGCCAGTTGCTCAAATAAAGGGATCACTACAGTTCAGTTGTCCTGGAGGACTTTACCTTCAAGAGCAATGTACCTTAGCCACTGGGAACTGAAGACAGATTTCTGGGGGAATATCTGGACCCTGATATTGCTAAGAAACTAGTGTGATCTCCTTCATCACTGCCCTTCCCTTCTTTCAGTGTTTTCGTGTGGCTATTCCACTCTGAAGGCAAGGTAGTACCACTTGTTCATTTTTTTTTAAGTTTTCAGTTTGGTTTTCTTTAAAAGGAAAAATCTGTAGGAGAAAGCAACTATGAGAAATTCTAAGAATTAGAAGTGCTTTATTTTCAGCTGATAAAGGACAAATGCAGTTTATGTCAAATCAGAGGCTGGTTTGGTGAGAAGCACTAATTACAGTCTTTGCTATCCTTTGATGGAGATTGCAGTAATGAGTTAGAAGAAATCACATCTTACTTCTCTTGGCAGAACAGAAGTGATTGCTCTAAAGGAGGAACAAAATTCAAAGATTGAGGTTACAGAGGTTAGCACACAGCCAATTAATTTTCTCCTGTTTTGAGTTTTTAAATTTTTTAGAATCTTGTTTTTTTGTAACATTTTGCCATATAGCTTCTGAAGAAAACTGTCTTCAGTTCAAAAACTGTTGTTTCCCCTGAAGGACAGCATATTCTGAAGGAACTTCCAGGATATAGGAAAGAGTAAATGGCAGCTGATGGCAGCTGCTTTGGTCCCATTGAATAGGATCTCTGGCACAGACCAAGGGACAGGAGAGTTATGAGATGGGTTAGGAGTGGCTAACATTTTTCTTTTCCCTGTAATGGCTAAAAAGAGACATGGATTGATTGACAGCTACAGTGCAGCTTCCCTGGATGCCCCAAACCCACTCATGGGAGGTGTCTACCTTGACCACAGTGGGTTTGAACTTGACCCAAGCAGTGGAATTCAATTTGGGCCAATCAGCAGGCTTGAATGTGGACCAATCACAGGTCTGCATTCCTCACATTTTTCTCTGATTAGTCTAGGAGAGCTTTCAGTCCTATACTGAACTTCCTGTGCTGCAGCACAGGCTCTGTCCTAATAATGCCTGGCTCCAATGGGTCTCAGGTAGTGTGGGTTTAGAGAATCCTATAAATCTACTAAGGAATCTTCATCTGAGTAGTGCAAATAGAGCAGTCACATTTAAAAAGTCATTATGAAAAATTGGGGCCATTAGACTGTTGTCTTACTTTCCATGTTGGTAAGACAAAATACTGGACACCTGAAGAGAGATTTAGTTTGGCTCACAGTTTCTAGAGGTTTCAGTCAGCCAGCTTGAAGTTGGAACAGTGGGGTGGAAGGGCCTGGGTGGAAGAGAACTGCTCATGGCATGCTGTTGGGGAAGCAGAGGGAGCTCAAGGAGGAGCCAGGAAGAAAGAGACCTTTCCATGCAACACCCACAATGACCCACCTCTTCCCAGTAGACCTCACCAGCCAACAGTAAGCTAGCTATAAGCCCTATATTCCAATTTCCTTCAAAAGCCCCATCTATGAGTGCATGAGGCTCCTGGGGGACACCTCGATAAAAACTCTAACACCTGAAGAGCTCCAGAGACAAGACTAGAAATGTTAGAAAACTGCATCTGGCATTAACTGGCATTGACTGGTGGTGTTGTTTGGTGGTAACCAGCAAGGGTGACTTGTTGACAAGTGGCAGCACCCAAAGGTGGCAGAAACATGCAGCAGCAGTTGCCAACCTAGGGTGTAACACTCAGCTGTAACACTAAGCGGCACCGAGGGCTATGGGCACTCAGACATGGAACTGCTCCCAGAGCTACGCTTTGCAGATTTGTGATTTTTCATAAATAGAGCAAAAAGAATACTTGGCCACACATCAACCCTTTTCTGGTGCTGGCTCAAAGAAAGGCTGAACCTGTTCCCTGGGATGATCTAGGAACTGTGATGAAGAGCAGGCCCTGTGTGTCCCTGGGAAAGAGGCTCAGGGCTGAATGAAGATTTTATCCTTTTTCACTCTTGCCTAGTCTTGTACATCATTGGGCAATCACACCCTTACTCCTGTTCAAAGATTGATTTATTTCCAGGATTTAGAGTTTGTTTTATGAACAGTGTTGGTCAAGCTGGCATCTGTGCCCACATCCCCTTCTTTTAATAGAATTTCCTGCAGGTGGGCATCACATCCACCCATCTTTGCCTTTCATAGACACAACACTTCCCTTCCAGTGCAGTGATTCTGGGCTGAAAACATCAGACCCTTCAGATTTCTTTTTCTCTGTAATTATTTCAGACTCTTACAGTTTTTTTTTTTCAGTGAAAGAAAGGTGGAGCCCTTGCCATCTTTCTACATGAAAACTACATTTGCTTAGCAAAGAGAAAGTGAAGTCTTCTTTCTCAGTTTTGAAATACTACTGTACATCTCATTCTTTCAGTAGAGCTGGCTCATCAAAAGGCTCCAGCACAGGCCCATTTGTAGATCCCAGAGAGCAGCAGAATGCTCAGGTGGGGCTGAGAGGGGAGCATGTCAGCCAAAGACAGTAGATGTATAAATGACTGCATGGATACTAGTGGTCAGCACCCTGGCCTAGAGTCATCAGTGCTACATTCTAGTCCAGATCTGTTCTCTGGCTCTCTAAGGCCCTTTAACATTGGTGGCCTCCGTTAAATTCTCAACTGAGTGATTTAGCAAAGGCTAAGAATCAAAAATTCATTTCAGCTGTGACATTATGCAACCCTAAGGGTCTTATTCAACCAAATTTGATATGCCCTGGCTCTTCCTCTGAGCCCACTCCTTTGTTTATTCTCTGTGAAGCTCTATCCTCGTGAAAGACTTCTAGGGTGTTGTTAGTTCACTTTTCTATGAAGAGTAGCAAAGTAAGCATAAGCAAGACCATGGCAAATATTATCTTTATTTATATGCAATGAACAAGGCTGTAAATTCTAAAAAGGGCTGCACTCCACTTTGAAATGTACAACTTTATTACAATTTTTAATCTATAGAGTATATTTCAATCTTGTAACATTCAATTCCAACCAGAATTTAAATTTTATAGCTATGAAAAGAGATGCTTGGAGATGTGAAATAATTCAACTGATGTAACAGAGCAAAATTATTAACATGAGAATATTCATAGGCTTTCTGCTCACTGATTGTGCAAAAATGATTCTATAATTAAATTACCAATTCCATTTCCTCCCTCTGAACATCCTAAAGTGGAAATTCTTCTGGAAAAGATGTTGAGCAGATATAGATAATAATAGGCTAAGTGAGAAGAAGGGAACTTTGCTTTGTGGGAAGTGAGGTTGGAGGTGTTTAAGAAACTAAGTTGTGCGCGGAAAAGTGATGAGTTTGAAATAGTTTTTTTAGTAAGTTTGTTGTAGACTAAGTATTGATCTCTCAAAGACAGGAAGACAGAGTTGCCATTTTAATCCTTTCTGGCTGTTGAAATATGCTTCTTGGATATAATACTACTCTATTAAAGGCAATAATACCAAGATTTTTGAGGACAACAATGATAAATGAAAAACAGACATGTAGTTATCAATTTATAAAATCTCTGACTCAAAGAAGGCTTTCTTTTCAAGGAGGAGCTCATGGATGGCCCCTGCAGGATTCCCACAGGTTCCAGCCACATCTGCTGCATCTCCAGGGATACTTCCCACAAGTGGGCTTGGCAGAACTGGACTGAGACTATACCTGGCAGTAAATTAACTGAGAACATGATTCTCCATCTTTTCCAAACCATTCTTTTTAAAAGTTAATTCTCTTCTTGAACCAATTTCTTTTCAACTCTGATTATATTCTGCCAATGAATCCAGATTGTTCCCAGTCTAACCCCAGTTTATCATGTGGAAGATGAGAAAGCATGATCATCATAGTCATAACACACCAAATGCGTATTAGTAACTTTATTTGGAGCACAGGATGTACAGTATTCCTGGAAAACCATAGAATTAGCAACAGGGACTTCAGTCTTTCTCTCTATAGCAGAGATATTTGGAAAAAAAATGGATTAACTTCATTCTTAAAATACATTTTTTAGAATATCTTTGGATAAAAAGTCACATTTGAAGGTCATATAAGCATACATCAAAACTTCAACATTGCTTTTTTCTGTATACTCTTTGTTTCAATATTTTTATTAATAAAAATTTAACTGTATCTGTTAAGATTATGTTAATCCCTAACTAGCAACAATTACCAAACATACTTCAGTGGTCGAGGCTAGTGAGAGGTGTTTTGTTCTATAACCAGGTGGCTGGAGGTGGGCAGCCAGGGTTGGAGCACTGGTGGAGAAATGTCCAGAAATCAGGCTCCATCTGTCTTCCTGTTCTGCAATCCACTGTGTGTGGTTTTTGTCCAAAGGATTACAGCATAACTGCTGTGCATCGAGGAAAGAAAGGAATGGAAAGAGAATCAGGCTGCTTTTCCACCCAAGATTCTACCTGTGTTTCATAGGCCAAATCGGATTACCTGACTGTCTTTAGCTAAGAGGGAATCTGGGAAGGTAAATACCTTACTCTCCAGCCTCTACAGCCAAGGGAAGTAGAAGAAAGGGTATAGGATTAGGTGTCTAGCAAGCCCTAATCAACACTTGCCTGTCTACCTATCTATCCATCCATCTACCAAAGAATGCAATTTACACTTGTATCATTCCATACAATCTGCTAATTTCACAATAGCATACTAAAATTATGAAGGTCAAACACTTTCTAAATTATAAAATGCTTTATCTTTTATTGAAGCAATTGTTTGAATTTTCAAATTTCAAGAAACTTTAAGACATTGATCATTCCTACTTTGGGTCTATGCTTCATATTTAGAAATGCATACTTGAAACCTGTAAGATAGCACAAAACTTTTTTTCTTTTCTGTACTCTTTCATGATAATTGTAAGCACCTGTTCTGTGTCACTTTTTCCTTTGTTTTCCTATTTCCAACTATTCTGTTTTTGAATTTATCTCTTTCTGTCTGAGCGTTGAGGTACCTGAATTATAGAAAGGAGGAAATTATCAGTTCACCAGCTGTTTATGTGTTCCTTTTTCTTTTTATATGGCACATTCTGTCCTAGCTCTGATTTTATTGAGTTCAGTAGTTGCATCCATGCAGCAACATGCCAATCACGTGTACCCTGATTACTCATTATGAACCGTAGGACACCATACAACTCGCTAATGAGCACATTATAATGCTGGCCAGTGCTAATTAGATGATAATCATGTGCATTGCTTTATTTACAGTCTATCTGTTTAAATTAATTGGGCATTTATTGAACACAGTGTGAAGGAAATTAGAATTGGGTTTAGAAATTTGTTGAAGTTACTTTCAACTACTACCTCATGAGCAGGTGAGATTATTCACAAGACCTGGAAACTTGGAGAAAATATAAATGGACATCATGCTTGTTTTACAATGGCAAACACGCAGATGTAAATTTATCTTGAGATGTGTTTGGAAACAGCAGTGAAATTTTCCATTTTGAAAATCTCCACTAACATCCTTATGTGACCTGATTACAGAGAGATAGTACATGCACAAGAGGAATTTAATAAATCAAAGCCTTAGATGGAAATATGAAGCGGAATCCTAAACTAACTTGATGGTAATTGTTTAGGATAGGAAACATACGTTTAATTCTTGAATACATAAGTGGCAAACTATACCTAATTAGGATATTATCTCTTTTATTCTATTGGGACAAAACATCAAAATATTCCAAGATGAGTATACAGCTGCCAAAAATTGTATGCACAAGTGCAACACTAAATTCAAGGTGTCTTTTCATGGGAAGAAATTCCTCAAGCATACTGGAATAGACCCAGAGGAACCGTGTGAAAAATTTTAAGGCAAAAGAATCTACAGGTCAACTTTCCTACTTTTTTTTTTTTTTTTTTTTTTTTGGTCAAATAGCATTTCTTGTCTATGAACATTTGCTTCCATAAAATTTTGGGATGGCCAGGAGTCTCTTTCCAAAAGAAGCTGGAAAATATGCTCCTTGGGTTTTTCATAAAGAATAAAAAAAAATATAAACAGTGCTTACACTGGAACAAAATTTGTTTTTGGAAGAGAGCCTCGGGCAGTTTAGACGACAGGGCAGTTTATTTAATAGTTATGTTTTTGTTTTATTAAACACTTTTAGTTCTTTTGCTTTTGTGAACTCAGCCAGGTGAATACTGCAAACAGAATCTTACATGTGCCTGTTCTATCTAAGATGGACTTTAAGTGCACATCAGATTTTGAATAATGTAATAAAATAATGTAAAATATCTCAAGATAACGATATTGATGAAATGTTGTGATGGCAATATTTTAGGTGCATTAGGTTAAATAAAATGCATATAAATACATATATATATATACATTTAGATGTTTTATTGCTATTTGTTGACATTTTAACTATTTAGTTCTCATTATGAACCATGAATGCAAATGAAGACTCAGGTGTTTTATATCCACATCCTAGCCCATCTCCAATCATCTGCCTGTATTTTCTTCCTGTTTCCACAACCTGTCTCGGATTTTGATTTTGACTAGTATTAAGCATTGACATAATATGACTTTATAAAGAGTATATTCAGGCAAGTCATGCAATAGGAGAAAAACATATTTCTACAGATTCCTCTCATCCTTAATTAATAGGTTGCTGGGTATAGAAAAATTTCTTCAAGAAATTGGAAGACAAAATTTTATATCTTCTGACTTAGTTTTATTGTCAGGAGTTTCTATGTTGTCATAATTCTTCACCTAGTATCTCTAACTGTTCTCACGTTTGGAAGAATTTTAGTACCTTCCCCTTTTCCCCAGTTTTCTAAAATTTCATAGCAACATAACATATGCTTCAACTACAGGAAGTGTTCTTGGAACTATTTCTTTAAAAATTTCTTTCTCACCTTTCTCTGAACTCTGTGGAGCTATTACTTATATTAGTTATCTATTAGCCAATAATTAGCTAGCTGCTATTATCTAATTATTGCACCTTCAGAATTGCCACTCGTTTTTTTCTTTTTTCCTAATTTTCATATCTATCTTTTTATTTTACCCTCAGAAAATTTTCCTCAATTTAACTTCATATCTTTCTACTTTTCTTCTGTAAGTTTTCTTTAAAATACATAAACTGTAATTCTTAGGGTTACAGGGAAAGTTTGATCCCAGCACCAACACATCATAAATACACTAAGAAATTAAAAAGACTTGTGATAAATGTCAAAATAGGTTAAGCCAATCCCTCAGCCATTATAGAAGTATTAATAATGTAAAACCAAATCTTTGCCAGCGATAGGTAGAGGATACAGGATAAAAATGGAGACACTGACACCTCCCATGTTAGAAAATAAATTTATTCATTTATTCATTTATTCAACTTTGAAGTTGTAGTCATCTCTTTAGTTACAGAGTCTCAAAAATAATTGTTTTCCTAAATCATTTTTACATTCCCTCTGGCTAATCTTTCTCCACTCATAAATTTTCGAATGCCTTATTTGAAAAGCTAATTCATTCATTTCTTTTTCATATCACACAAATTCCATTCTACAAAACTGGCAACTCCCAGGACAGAGTCTGAGTTTTCTTTTGGGAAAATCCACTTGACAGGCGGATTTTAGCTTCCCTTTTAAGATTAGAGGATGAGCACGTGTTCAGCTTCTCTCTAGTAGACATTTTTACTCTGCAAATTCCAGCACTCTCATTTTTCATAACTACACTGAATTCCTCTACCTGCCACCTCTACAGCTTGGCAACCAGCAATAGTTCTGGCCTGAGCAGTTAACCTGCTAAACCGTCGTTAGCATTTACTGGGAAATACTAAACAGGCTTGTACTTAGAAGCTCATTTCTTGACCAGGTGAAGAAAATACATAAACAGAAAGTGGGCTTGGGAGCAAGACAGAGGGCGGTGACACTGCGGGGACGGGACAGTTAGATGGGAAATGCATTTTTCATTTCTACTATCAAGAGCTCTTTGGTGTGTGTTTGTGTGTGTCCATTTGTCTGGACTCCTGTTTTTACTTGAATAGATGGAAATATCTTCTCTTGTCTCACTGACTGTATTGCCACCCTGTGAGTGTTTTCCTAATCTTCACATTGTCTCTGTTGCCTGTAATTTTCTTTGCAGAGGGTTCTTCTCACATCGCTTTTGCTTTATATGTTAATGTGTTTCCATGGAGAAGCCTGGGAAGCTCTGAGCAAGTATGTGTATGTTGCTGACCAATGGGCTTCACAGTAGGATAATCTATCTGGTTAGGAAGTTTTTGAAAGCTTCCTTACATTAAGATTATAGATATCATTTGCTGTATTGACCATTCATTTTTCAATCCCCTACCAGAGGAAGATGGCTGCAAGATTTTCTGTTTGCATGTTGCCCTACATTCAATCTGTGGTCTGCTGTATGTCGGCCACCCCTTCAACTGCAACTTGGGTCCTCACATACAAGCCTACATGTGAATTTCCCAGTGTGAGCTCCCTGGAGAGGGTCCAGCTATGTTCAGCTGGCATTGGACAAAAACAGCCAGCCTGCAGCAGGAGGCTCTGTGCCTCTGCATCTTCGCAGGTTTTCATCCCATTCTTCTATCTTCAGCCCCATCTGTCCCTCTCTTTTCCCTTTCAGAAGGATCAAGGACTTTACATCTTGAGCCTTTCTAGGGGACTATTTTTTGTTGTTGTTGTTGTTTTGGTTTTTTTAAATGAGAAGTTCACAGGCTTCTCTCACTTTGGATTCTTACAAGGACACTGGTTTCTCTCATTTTCTATATGGACATCTCAAACTGAATTATTATTGAAAGTCATTAGGAATTAGCTCAGATCCCAGTGTTTGACCATGTCTATAAAGGTAAGATATTAACACACTTCCCTTTAAAGACGCAACAACCCGCAGCACCCTCTCCTATACTCCGTGCATTACTGATATGTAAAGTTCTTGAGTCAGGTCAGCTAATGGGGGCTCCAGTAGTGACCAGCTTATAGTAGGCCCCCTTCTGGTCCATCAGTTCTTCATGAGTCCCTTTTTCAATGACCACCCCTTGTGACATAACAGCAATGATGTCTGAGTTCTGGATGGTGGACAGGCGATGGGCAATGACAATGCAGGTCCGGCCTTCTCTGGCTTTGTCTAGAGCAATCTGCACTGTCTGCAAAAAGAGAATAAAAGGTGGATGTAGACACATGATTGTCCCAAGCCCGCTACTGTGAGACTATTTCAATATCATCCAGCAATTCCATACATAGTGGTAAACCCAAAGACTCAGTACAGGAGGGGATTAAGCAAGTGTTTACTGGTTGAATGCATCAGTGATTTAAATTCCAGCTCAGAGTCTGAGAAACTTCAATGAAGTGAAAATGAGCTAAAGTATGAAGCCACTATTTACTTTTACTGTAGTTGGTCTAGTTTACTAAAATTAAATCAAGAAAATAATGTAGGAGGTTAATTAAAAGGTCATTCCTGGCAGTTTTCTTCACTGAGGAGATTTAACCCTCTCCAAAATGGAATCCTGATTTTTAAAGTGATGGTCATAAATCTGGCTTGCATAATGGTGTCTTTCTCAATTGCATCTCCTCTCAGCCTATCAGATACCACCTTCTTTGTGTTACATGTGCCTATGTGCTCTGTTACTTAATTGTGAACAATAAAATATGTTACACCTTCCAGGTAACCTAAATTACTCTCCTTTACTGAAGAAAGTTAATTATTTACCTTTGGGGAAAAAGTTCCATAGCCTAATGAATCTTAAAAACAAAGTTAAAATTTTTATTTCAAGCAATCCTATGTTAAATTATTTTCTTCAGATTATTGTCTTTGCTTCCACAAATCATTGCCAATTTCTAGTGTTAATGAATTGGAAAACTGGAAATAGTGCCATTTTCTAGGACAAATCTTCAAGCAAAAGATTCGCTCATGATGATCTAAGACATTAGAAAGTCAGTACTTACCTTTTCACTTTCTGTGTCTAGCGCAGAAGTAGCTTCATCTAGAAGCAAGATTTTAGGATCTCGTACAATGGCGCGAGCAATTGCAATGCGCTGTTTTTCCCCTCGAGACAGCTGAGATCCATGGGCCCCAACATTAGTTTCATATTTCTGGAAAAAGTTTGGAGATCTTGAGAAGTAGAAACAGTCATTGCTCCCGTGCTATATGGAGCTTCCATCAAGGACTCCCCTGTGAATTTAAGCTATTTCTTGTTTTTTGACTTGAGTTAGTGAGTCCTATAAAGGATATCAAACCCACTTGGGAATATGGGAAAAATACAAAAGTTGTGCTGAAAAACAAGAGAATTTTATCACCAGTGTTGGATTTATTTTAGACATATTTTCAATCTCTTTCTCCCTGTGTCCAGGTAAGAATCTGTATAGGAAATCCTCCTTGATTTGAGGCTACCTAATTTCCAGAGTCTTTTCTGAAAGATCTTTCCAAAAGGGAAAAATCCCGGAAATAGAAATGTCTTGTTAGAGCTCTCTGGTCCCCTCCCTTATTGGAACAATGATATTTTTAAGCATAAACCTTGGTTTGAAATAATACTCTGCTGCTTACAAACTCTATGATTATTAACAACTTATTTAATTTTCTTTGGGCTGCAAGCTCATCTGAAAAATGCAGTATCCCTCACTATCTACTTCACATATTTGTTGTTTCTGATGAAATTAGAGAGAAAAATGTCTAGTTAGACATTTGACATGGCTGCATTACTACTTAAAAGTCATGGACTATTTATTAAGCATCAAGAATTATGCCAGGACATCATTTAAAATGTCCTTGTCTTACAAATTGTAAAACTGAGACATAAAGAAGCAAGAAATTTGTACAGAAACAAATAAGCAGCAAGAGTGAAATCTAAATCCAGGTGTATCTAGCTCCTGGGTCTGCCCTGGACACTACGCATCAGGGTTTGTTTGTTTCCCTTTCCTCCTGCCTGATGCTCAGCTAAGCCAGGTGACAACCATGACAATCTCCTTTGTCGGTGTGGGGAGGAGCACTCAGTGAAGGCTCTTAGGGGCAAGTCTAAGAAAAAGGCAAGGAACCAATTTTAAGGCAGTTCTAGTGCAACAGTAGTAGTGTTCAGTAAAAATCAGCACAGTAACCCGATCTTCTAGGACACACACAAGCTTTGCTTTTCAATTTCAAGAGTGGCAAACAGTCAGGATTTTTCTATGCAAAGTCATTGCCATAGTCAATGAGGCTATGAAAATCAGAAGCAGGTCATGAGCCTAAGACTTGGGAGTCTTGTGGAAAAAAAGTTCATCACAAATACACAAAAATTTCAAACATAATCATTTACAAAGAAAAATAATTCCTAAGTGATGATTTTTAAAAAGGAAATAGAGAAGGTAACAACTTAGCTCCTATAACTGGGCTTTTATGTCTTAATTTTCCCTGCAATTAACCACCAACAAAAACACTTGGTGAATGGAAAAAGGCAGATACCGTGCTAAGCTCAAATTTCATTCTGGAAAAGCAGAGACATGAAGTCAGGTGTAGCTCACGATGTCACATGTGACACACACTGCCAGATATTGAAACAGTGATGTCAGGGAGAGCAGCAAGCAGCTTGCTTTGTGCAGCTGTTAAGTGTATTCTTTCATTTTAATGTATTTATGGCTTTTACAGATGAAATAAACAATCTCAGAACAAATAAGTAATTGTCCAAAGTCTCACACACACACACACACACACACACAGTGAGTGGCAAATTTGGATTCAAGTCCATTCATGTCTGTTTCAAATCTCAGGCTTTTCCTACAGTGCCCAGCTAGAACCTCCTGTGGTGTTGCTTTATGTGTAACAAACTTGATAGCATCCATTGTGTTAGCTAATATTTTCCCAAACTACAAAGTATGTTAGTGAAGGACAGTTATTAAAGGAGTAAGACAATACTAGGGAGAAGGAGAAATAAACTGTTCTGCCTTTGAACTCCTCCTTGAATCCATGACCATTAGACATCTGGCCATCCTACCTCTCCTCTGCTTCCGTCTCCTACAGGGAGGGACAAGCCTGGTACTTACCTCCGGGAGTGACATGACAAAGTCGTGCAGTTGAGCCTGCTTTGCGGCTGCTATGACACTTTCCATGGGGATTTCTCTGGTGTTGTCCCCATATTTGATGTTGTCTGTTATGCTACAGGCAAACAACACTGGTTCCTGGGAAACAATGCCAATGTTCGAGCGCAGAAACTGGACATTTACTCTTTTGCTGTCATGCCCGTCTATCATCTGCCAATAGAAATGATGGAAAAGGGCAAGAGGTTTAGAATTCCAACAGTGAGGAAAGTTCATACTCTGGAGCCGAGTGGTATGCAGGATATTTTTAGAAACAACATTCCCAGAGCCCTGAAGAATGAATTCGTTTGCTTTTAGACTCTAGAATCAGTGTGTGTCAGCTTTGGTTATAACCTGATGAGGCTATAGTTTTGTTTTTCCCAGAGTCTAGCTCTACAGATGGTACAGCATTTAGGAAGATGCTCAGGATACTATTTAGTTTGAAAAATTCTCCTTACACACTGATATAGCATCGAGAATTGTTTTACTGCAAAGCTCTGTGAGTTATGAAAAGGAATTTTCTGTGCAAAGTTATTGTACAACGTAAGGATCAAAGTTGTGTTCTTGATTTTACAGATACAACTTTCTTAATAATTGAGGTAATAAATCCAAGGAAGGTAAAAGCCTTTGTTCACTTAGTCAATAAACAATCATATATGGACTCATCCGCCACAAAGATACCATACAAAGCAGCCTTTATTTATTATACAAAGAAAGCATAATGCCTGTTTCCTAGAAACTACATTCTAGAAGACAGGTAAGTATAGTATGCAAATGTGCACCATTTTGGTTGGTTCACTAAAGTGTCATAGAATCTTACAACTGTAAAGTATTTGGCCCTATGATATCAGAAAAAAAGACTATATTAAATGGTATGAATAGATGGTATTTTAGATAATAAGCAATGGCAAAAGCAAACAGTGTTAGAAAAATGTAAGGCATTCATCAACAATATCTACCCTTCACTCTTGTTCCCATTATACGTACTTATATCTGCAAAGCACAACTTAGCATCTAAAAATTGAGCTTTTTGCTAGTGTTTCACATGTGCATTGTGAGTTCCTAAAAAGCAGAAGACATACTTCAGGCTCCTTAATAATCTCCCTTAGAGAGTACTACACACCTCATAGGTAGCTAATTAAGTGTTGAAAATATGGAATAGTTGTACTTAGTAGCTTTCCGAAGAGCAAAGAGAATTTAAAAATTGGTATTCTTCTAGTTAAACATGTTTGTAGACATGTTTTACAATGATAAACAAAAATATATTGTTCTTATAAAATTCAAGCAAATGATGATTTCTTCATAGGCCTTGCTTCCAACCTGTGATCACATCATTTGCTGCACACATTCAGAGAACTACACTTAGTATTCATGCAGTATTAGTATTCAGAGAACTACACCTAGTATTCATGGCATCTCACATGGTTCACAATCTACCTGGCTGATGAGCATAATAGAACTGGCATTTTGGAAAACTGGGATTGGATCTCCACCGCTATATGTTTTGTAAGTTCATCCATCACCACATTCTTTCAAACAAGTGAAAATCTTTATATTAAGATTAATAACAATAAATTACAACAATAAAGTTTTCTACTTATTTTCATAACTTCCTGGATTCTGCCAATATGTCTTTACTTGCTTACTTGCTTTATGCAAGGGAATCTTTAGTTGCTCTTTGAAGTTTTTCTTAGCAATTCTTTTCATAGTTTTATCTATGTTCATTTCAATGACAATTATACTCTTCATCAAAATCAGAGTGGACGTTTTAAAATATTAGGATTAAGTTATTGATGAGGCAAAATAAAACAATTTCAAACCTCTGAACCATTTCTTAGAAAACTACTTGTGGATGTGCTTCAACAAAACTAGGGTGAAAACCAAGGAAGGACCAGATATAGAAACAAGAAATCAATGGATCTAGAATAAGAAAACATTGCAAAGAATTCATAGGGTAACAAATGTTCAATAAGCAGAAATTAGTCCAGGCATTGATTAAAATGAGGGAAAGAAGCAAGGTATTCAGAATAGACAAAAAAAAAAAAAAACCCAGAAAAATTGGAAAAATATTTTTTGAAAAATTAAAAGGCAGTGAATGCAAAAAAAAAAAAAAAGATGGCCTTTTGTGAAAAGTATCAAGAAAAAATATTCTGTAACATTTAACTACTTGGTTGTGAAATGCACAATATTTACATAATTAAAATAAAACCTTAACTAATTTTGAAATCAACCTACAGTGAAAGCAGGAATGATATTATAACAATGTGTATTTTATGCTCTTGATAATATTAAAGGATAGTTAAAACCTGAGAGGTAAGAGGAGGGAGCAAGAAGTTAAAAAAATAGGACTGCTAACATTCTCATTTTAGAAAGCAAGAATTCCAGGGATATTACATATTGGGTAGAAAAGTAATAAAAGTGTGTTAGTTAAATTTATAAATAGAAAGATTTTAAAATGCTGTAACTGAATTGAGGTAAGTGGGTAAAAGGAGAGGAATGGTAAAGGTAAGGTAACTTTTCACGTCTTGAAAATAAATTAACAAATCTGGGAAAGGTGGCACACACCCGTAATGCCAGCACTCAAGAGATAGAGACATCAGGATTGCCATGAATTTCAAGGTCAGCTTGGGCTACGCAGTAAATTTAAAACGAGCCTGAACTACTAGTGAGACAGTGTCTCAAAAAGCCGAACAAGCAAAAAAGTAAACAAAAGAGGCTGAATTTGTTAAACCAGCATCATGAATATTTTAGGGAAATGGAAGTAATCAATGAGAGTTTTTAAAATATTAAGTGACTAAAATGTCTTTCAGCAAAAAGTGCAGAACAATGTTACTTTTATTTAAAATCTTTTTATTACTTGATTTGCCCATCTTTTATTATTTAGCTGGGAAAAAAAAAGAAATGCTGTGAAAAAAGATAAGCAACAAAACAGTTCACCAATGTTTCAGGTATCCTTGCCAAAGCTTTATCAATTTGAGCTTCTTATATGATTTAGGCTTAAACTTTTTGAACCAGGACTTTCTCTGATTTTTCACAATCAGTCCCCTTTCTTCCTCATTTATCATTATGTCCCTCATCACCCCCACTTTTTCCATGCCTAGCCATTAGTTTCCTGATTAATCTGCACTTTCTGCTCCATTTATCAGTAATAAGGTCTCTTGCCAAACACACTCATCTCCAGCTTTGCGGTGTGCCCAATTTTCTTTGCCTAACTGGTCAGCAGGCCATCTGGAACGGGGCAGAACATGATAGAAATTGGGAGGTAGAATCAGGTCAACTAGAAAATGCCTGGAAATGGCCTAAGTGTCCAAAGTGAGTGCTTTACAGGAAATCTGATGAGGCACAATCTTGGAGACCACTTTTACAGAAATTTCGTGTAGAAAGCAAAATTCTCAAAAGTATACACATTTCTTACCACTTTCCCTTCGTCGGGATCATAGAAACGTTCCAGTAGCTGAATACTGGTGCTTTTGCCACAGCCGCTGCTTCCAACAAACGCCAAGGTCTGTCCTGGGTTAACGGACACTGAGAGGCCATTCAGAACTTGCATATCGGGTCGAGAAGGATATGTAAATTTACAGTCAACAAAGTCAATCTTCCCCTGGAAACTGTCCTGTGGGTGGCAGGATTGGAATCACACATCTCCTACTGGAGCCCAGAATACTGAAAAATGCACCTAAATCTACATACCATGTTGCCAAAGTGCAAAAGATAGACATAGCAACTCAAGCGAATGACATCCTATTCCCTATTCTGGCAGGTGTGGCATAAAGATAAACTTGAGCAGTAAAAAAGACATTCAATCTATTTCTTATTTCCATGCTAATCTAAGGAGATTCTCTTATCCATTCCCCAAATGGAAGAGAGTAGCTAAAAGATAATACATCGTGGAAACCGGTCACTATCTGACCCCTTGCTATTCTGTCCCCCCAAGACTTACTATAATAACATTGTACTTGAAATAACTCTGAGTGAAAATTATTTCTAGTCTGAAAGGTGAATATTTTGTGGTGCTTAAAATCTGAATTATGAACTTTAGATATGAATGGACATTTAATAGACCACACAGGGACTATAATTTTATTGAGCTGAAGGAAAAACAGGTCATTTGACCAATTTAAAAACATTTTAGAATTCAGTTTACTTTACTAATGTTCTGGTTTGTTTTGGGTTTTTTTTGAACATATGGAGATTTCTAAAAATAGGAAAGATTAAAAACACTTCTGGGAATAATCAATTAGAAAAAAATATTTCTTGTTGAGACTGAATTAATTTTCAAAGCTAAAATCTGTGTCCACATGAATATGAGTTCAATCAATATTGTTCGGCAGGAAGAACTTGCTTTTCTACATCCCACATCAAAATATCATAATTGTGTAGGCTCAAAAGACAATGGGCTTCATTTACTCTGGAAGTAAATGTACTTTAGATGACACAGACTTTAGCCTAGAGACTGGGTCACTAGGAATACTGCTCTCTAGAAGGAATTAATGTAGTTCTTATTAGATCCTAGTTTGTTCCAGAGAAAAGCTTATTATAAAATATAAAGACTCACCTATCTCCACCCTAGCTTTCCTCAGGCATGGGCTTCTGCCATGATGCCACTCATCATGAGGTTCTCTCAATAAAGAGCCCTCAACAGAGGCTGAATCAGGGACACCTGATCTTAGACTCTGAGCCTTCAAAACTGTGGACCTTATACATTGAGAGCCTTAAGTAGTTTGTTATAGTAACAGAAAATGGACTAATAAAATTACATATTGTTGCCGTATTCAAATGCCAACTTTATGAATAATTTTAATGCTGATTACTTCATTCATTTACATTCATAAATCTATTATCTCTCCATTCTGAGTGTATATAAATGAAAGCAGAAATTTGGAAGCTTAGTGGCGTTGTCTGACCAAATCCAAACACATACATGCATATGTACAGCTTCCTTGGTTCAGCACTCACCCATTTGTCACCCTCATCACAATATACACTGATTGGAGGCCTTCGGTCCAGGAGTTGAAAAAGGCGTGAAGCTGATATTTTAGCTTTGGCATAACTTGGGGTGTAAGAGAAGGCTCTTCCAACAGCCGTTGCACTCAGTACAACTGCAGAGATCACCCTACGAACAGACATGCACTCGGGTTACAGAGTGTCGGGGTATGCTGGTGCTGTAGTGTAACAGCCAAGGGTTTGGGGTGTCTGGACCCGGCACTGTGAAGACAGAACTGAACAGCCTTGAGACATTTCAGACCTGTCTGGGTAGGTAGGAAACAGAGATCGGCAGTTTTCAGACTGTGTGCTATGAAAAGATATGTGGGAGGTGAACTGAAGAGGGTGGGCCTCCAATAGCTTCTTATTAAAATTTCTTTTTTGTATAGGGGGGAAGTTTTGAAATTTGTTTTTTTAAAAGTAGTTGGGGGCCAAGGGGTTAGCTTAGCGGCATAAGCGCCTGCCTGTTAAATGTGAGGTCATGAGTTTGAAGTCCGGTACCAAAAAAAAAAAAGTGGGGCTTGAAAGATGGATTGATTTTCTTAAAGTTCTACCATTAGATATAATGGGCAATGTAAGTATCAGTTCTATGTAATTCATGCTAATTATGTAATTCATGTAATTCAGATAAGATTAGAAAGACACAATTGCCAGTACCCTTCTACTTGGCTCAGTTCAGCTCTAATGATGTTCAAGACAGATCTAATGAATGGATAAATGAGTGGTAAATATGATGAGAGACAGCTGTGATCCTGCATAGACCATGATGTGAGAAGAAGCCCTCCAAACTGCCCACCTGTGCCCCTGTTCACAGATACCCTGCCCAGGGTAAGGGTGAGGGCAGAAGCTATGTCTTGTGTGTAGTACCCTCAGTTACCAGCAGAGTTTGCAAATCCAAATATCTCCAGAAGTCCACTCCAAAGTTTAAGCAATGAAAGCAATCAAAATGAAATGGAAAAATGATTTTTCAGTTTTTAAAGCAAAATGAGAAACTGGGAGTTTTCTATATTCTCTCAATTTTTATGTTTTCAAATAATTCCTGGAAAATTATGCATAAACTAACAAAATCAAATCAGTAGTTGGTGTTTTCTGATTTGGATTAGTAGCTTTGAATATCAAATATTTAGTAAAGAGACTTTCCTGGTTGAATTGGGTTATAGCAGAGGAGCAGAGAAGTGCTGGGAGAAAGATCATGGGTAAAAAAGAACTCAGGGCTGGTGAATGAAACCCAAGACACAAACTCTTATTGGAACCACTTTTCCTGAAGCCTTCTCCCCTTCGCCTCCCACTGTTCCCACATACATGTGCACCCAATCTGTAGGCTGCAAGCTCTGGGATGTGAGAAACCTGAGCTCAAAGATATCTTATGAGATAAGCAGCTTCAGGCTTTATTAAGAAAACAGACTCTGGCATTATTAATAAAGGATGTAAGTGGCCCTGTATGGTCTATGTTGTCTCTACCTATGGGAAGTCAGCTGAAAACCTGCTCTCTTCTCATGAGGTGAGTAGATGTCCAGCATGACAGCCCTATGAACCATCTTACTCAGGGCTTTTGAAGTTTCTCACCATTAGCAAGGGTAGTAGATCATAAAAATGATCACATTAACACATCATATCATGCATTTCTTTGCAATGTGATTGTTTTACTCCTCTTGTTGAATGGTGAATTCCATTTCTCTATTTGTTACATCTGGGCTTGGTTATTTGACTTTATTTGGCCAGAGACATCAGAAAATGTGACACATGGAGAGACTTACAAAGTTCTTGCATACTGGTATTTGTTCTCTATTGTTGCACTTAGAACTCTGACACCATTCATGCAGAAAACAAGCTCACCTCCCAGAGAGGTCGTGTGGGGACAGGTGTGTACTCAGAAAGCCCTACTATCTCAGCCCAGATCGGAACTACCTGATAATCCACAAGCTTGAGAAATAATAAATCCCAGCTGTTTTAAGTCACTGAGTGTGGGACAGTTTGTTAGGCAGCAAAAAAGCTAAGTGATGGAACCAGGCAACTCTTTCTTAGAATGTTGCTCTTCTGTGACTTTGATGGGACATTGCTCACCTGAACACATGGCTGTAATGGAGCCCTTCATTGGGGATTAAGTAACCTCCATATCTGTAGGACACAGCATTTGCAATAAATGATATGCCTTGGGAAAAGGCGAAGCAGAGTCCATAAACATTTGCTTTATGAATGGATGTCTTGAATGACTTCTCCAGCTCAGCCTCAAATGCGTCAATAAAGTGCTTCTGCATTCCAATCCCAGTAACAGTGCGGATATTACTCAGGGCTTCATTGGTAATCTGAAAAATGAAAGAGAATTAGGAATAAAAGAGCAAAAATAACTCTCTTTGTGATATTTTAAATACTATATGGATTAGTGCTTCTACAAATGGCAGAATTTGGTACAAATTGAAGGGGGAGTTGTAGCATCTGACAATACAAAGAAGCTGCAACAGGTCAACCCAACTGGACCATCAGGTTATTTATCAGCTAAATTCAAGTTCTATTAGTTTTAACTTTTTTTTTTTTGCCTCTACTTGGGAGGGGAAGAGAGAAGGGTGAAAGAATACCCATGTATTACCTTTGAAATCCTTTACATTTCCTTGCTAATTTCATTTGAAATGTCTACAATAGCTATCTTTAGATGTCTTCTGAGACAAAAGCGCATTTAATAATGTAAATTTAAAATATTATTTTCTACTATCTTAAAAAAATTAACCTGGTCAAAAATGATTTAACTTAAAATTAATGTTATTCTTTTAGTCTACATTATAAATGTGTGTTTCAATTGTGCTCTAAGGTGAATAATCGATCTTTTTAAATTAGAGTCCTACCCTTTACAAAGGCTCAAAGATGGACTACTCTTTACCACTGGCATATAAAACCCTTCGGCTTTGTCTAGTTGGGCAGTGTCGCATCTGTCCCATGAAAGTATACAAAACTTTGGTCATACTGAATTTGTTAAGAGTGAGTATGTGCCTGTGTGGGCATGATTTTTTTTTTACCTTGACAAAAGTTCATACCACCATTCTCTTATTTACTCCTTGATGACCAGATACTAATTAGAATAGACTGTTGACATAGTTAACACCTAAGTATATTTGAAGCCTAAATTGCAGTTCATGATTCTATTTAGAAAAAGCATCTGCCATGAGCCTAGCAGCCACTGAAGTGTGAGAATAAAAGGCCTGTGCCATTAAAAAAGATACTAGTTCCTTCTGTGGATAGCAGGACTCCGGGAAACCATTAACCCAAGAAAATCTAATACAAAACTGAACTACGCTCAGTTTTGCAAGTGAGAATACAATCAATTGTGGTGTTGGACAAGTAACTGTTTTAGAGCAAGTTGCACTTGTAAACCTCTGCATTTACCTCACTATTTTTCCTCAACTGCTGAAATCTGTGCATTTTAGGTCTCTGGCCACAGCACTATACAAGAGGCTGGCGGGAGGTTGCTAACTATGCATGTCTGCGGACTCACAGCTCCCTAAGTCTCTGTATTTTCCACTTTTAACAATTTGCCACACAGCCATTCAACCATGAGCAGAAACTTAAAGACATAGGCTTACCTGTCCTGCTCTCTCCAGAGCCTCTTTGTCTTGAGAAGCAAATCCTGTCAACATTTTGGTCTGTAGGGCTCCTGATAAAGCCAAGAATGGGAAGAAGCACAGTATGACCAGGCTGAGCTTCCAGCTAAAGAGGAAGGCAATGATCATGGCCACTGCGATGTTCACGAAGGAATTGACTATCATCCCAATTTGAGAGCCGGCAGCCTGCAAACCAAAGCACCCAAACCAACTCAGACACAGGGTCTCTTTTGTCAAGTGCCACTATGTGAAAATAATATTCTATACCAAAAATAAGTGACTATCAAATTTATACCCCAAACTTTTTCATTATCTCCAGCAAATAAAAAACCTCTGTACCCATTAAATGATAACTTCCTCTTCCCTTCCTCATGTTGCTGATAAATTCGCTCCAGTCTCTGTCTCTGTAAATTTGCCTATTCTAGGACTCTCCGAAAATATTTGTCTATGTCTTTATTTTACTAATATCACCTTTTCAAAGTTTGATATACACTAAATTATAGTGTACATCAAAATTTAATTACTTTTGAAGGGCTGAATATATTCTATTGTAGGTATATCCCACATTTTGTTCAATTTAGACACTGGAGTTGTATTGTTACCTTTGGCTACAGTGAATAATGTTACTATAAACATCAGTATGCAAATATTTGTTTAAGTCTTTCCTTTAAATTCTTCTGAATATAAATTTAGGAATGGAGTTAATAGATGATATGAAGTTCAGTTATTGATTAATGTCATTTTATGTGTATCAGAGCTGTAACAGCCTTAAGCATGGGCTACATATGTCCTAGCATCTGTGCACTTAGCTTGTGATAATATGACTTATTATTTGGTAAAGATTAAGGTTTATTCTGTAATTACAGTTTTGAAGTTGACATTAGCAATGAAATACTACTCTGATTCTCACTGAATTTAGTCTGTTCAGTGGTACAAAGTTACATGCTGTCCTAATGAACAGCTATTAAGTCAAAGTAGCTAATAAAAATAGATTCAGTCCCAGTGTACTCAGAACCACTGTGATAATACACTATATTGATGTAAAGTATTCTACAGGTTTAAGTCTTCATTTTCATTGCAGCTATTCAGTGACCAAAATTTGGTGCACTCTATGTAGAAAACATGTGTGGGCACAACATATATATATCTCCTTATATTAAGCTGTAGAGACTTTAGTATGTTTAAGATAAAGAAGGTAAAACAACTAAAAACTGTTCATAACCATTAAGTTTTCATGCAGTGCTGTTCAAGAATGTGTATCTTTATGTTGTATTGAAGAAATAAATGTATGAATAAGAATTTGGGCTATAAAGAATTCCCATGTGTCGTTAACTCCTTTGGAGACAGGAGTACAATACTATTAAGGATTTCTTTGTTGTATGGTCATGTTTGTAACAGTAATATTCACAATAGCCAAGTGATGGGAACAACCCAAATGTGTACTATTGGACAAATGACTAAACAGTGTGACTCACACATGTGTTAGCTTTTTGTTACTATAACAAATACCTAAGATAGTTTAAAAAGGATTAGGTTCATCTTGGATTAGTTTTGGAGGTTTTAGCTCATGGCCTGTTGGTCCATTGCTTTCAGGTCTGTGGTAGAACAATACATCACAGAGGGAGTACATGCATGATGGAGAAATCTACTCACCTTATGGAGACCAGGAAGGAGAGAGAGAGAGAGAGAGAGAGAGAGAGAGAGAGAGAGAGAGAGAGAGAGATTGATTCCAATTTCCTTTCGCTTCAAGGTCGTATCCCTCTTGACTTAACTTCTTAACTTCTTAACTTGATTTAAGAGCCCCACCTCTTAAATCGTCACCAATTCACAATAGTTCCATGGGCTAGAAACTAATCCTTTCATAAATGGCCCTTTGGGGGATATTTCAGTTATAAATTATACCAGCATACAATGACTATTTTAACCATAAAAAAGAACGTAGTTCTGATACATGCTACAACAAAGATACATTTTGAAAAATTATGTTAAGTGAAATAAGCCAGACCAAAAAAGATGTTTTATATGATTACACTTATATGAAGCACCTAGAGAAATCAAATTCATAAAGTTAATAACTGAAATAGTGGTTACAAGAGACTAGGGGCCGGGATGGGAAGTTACTGTTTAATAAGTATAGAGTTTCTGTTTAGGATAACAAAAATGCTTTAGAGATGGATAATGGTGATGGATGGACAGTAATGTGAGTGGACTTAATGAAGTAAATAAAGATTAAGGGCATAGGAAACCTACTCAAAAATGCAGTAAGAGAAAATGTCTCTAGGAAATGTCTTAGGAAAGACATGGTCCAGGTACAGGAGGCCGGTAGAATCCCAAATAGAAATGACCAGAAATGATCCCCACCAAAATATGTTACAGTCAAACTGTCAAACATCCAAGACAAAGAAAGAATTTAAAAATCTGCAAGAGAATAATGTAACATCTCATTTTTCCAACCCCATTAGACTTAGGACAAATATCTCCACAGAAATCCTACAGGCTAGAGGGAAGGGGATGGAATGATATATTTTAAGTCCTAAAGAAATAACTACCAGGATCACCAAGAGAGGCTATCCTGAATCAAAGGAGAAATTAAATATGTTCCAAAATAAATAAAAACCAGGGAACCCATGGTGACCAGATAAGCTTTACAAAAAATATTTTTAAGTGAGTCCCACACCCAGAAGTGGAAGAAAGATATAAGTAACTACCATTATGGTAGCACGTGAAAACATCAGTCCCACTAGAAGAGTAGATACACAATGGATAAATAAAAGAGAATCACGTGTCATCAATACAATAAACCATCAAACCACAATGATGAATAAAAAAGGAAGAAATAGAATATTCAAATGACCAAAGAAAATCAACAAAATGACAAGCACATATGTGTACTTTTCATTAATAATTCTGAATGTAAATGATCTTAATTCTCCAATTAAACATTTAGACTGACTGAACTGATTAAAAAGCAAGACTCAAAATATATCTCCTACAAGAAACTTGTATCACCAATAAACACATACACCAGTTGAAAATGAATGGATGGAAAATGATAGAATCCAGAATAAAGGAGGGTAACCTACTTATTTCTGACAGAATGTACTTTAAGACATAAACAGTAAGAAGAGACAAAGACGGTCACGGTATAAGGATCAAAGAGTCAAAATATAAGGAAAATATAATGATCACACATCTATGTACATCTAGTATTAGTATATACAATTTTGTTTTAAAGGAAAAACCAATAAAATAATTATACAGAATTTAATAACAATATAAAAGGAAATTAACAATGGTTAATATGTTGCTTATTTATCTTCAAAACAGTTGCTCAGATTACAAGATATAGGCATGCAAAATTGATCAGACAATGTAAGTACAAACTGTTCTTTTGAAGAACTAAAAGTAATTAGTAGTATGACTGTCTTAGCCATCTTGTGTGTGTATGTATATGTTTTTCTTTTCCCTTCCTTCTTTCTTCCTTTCTGCCATCCCAGTTGGTCTTTCCTTTTGGGAAGTTTCTTTCCCTTTCACAATCTGTTGTAGATTTTGGATCTTATTTACTCTTTCTGTTTATTACAAGGAAGACAATAGGATGCTTACACATATTATTCTGATTTATTTCACTTATGAGTGTGGCCTCAAGTTGCATCCATTTGCCTACAAAAATCTTGAGTTTGTTCTTCTTTATAGATGAGTAGTATTCCATTGTGTAAAAATACCACATGTTTTTATCCATTCCTCAGTTGGTGGGCATTTGGGTTGTTTCCAAGATTTAGCTACTACAAATTGAAGAACATAATTTAATACACCAAACATTATTAGATCTAAAGGGAGAGATGAGCTCCAATACAATAATAATGAGGGATTTTTATACCCTGCTCTCAAAACTAGATCATCCTGACAAAAATCAATTAAAAAACATAAGAACTAAGCTATAATATAGGCTAAATGAACACATTCTCTTCATTAATACATGGAATTTTCTCTAGACTACATCATATATTATGCCACAAAACAAGCTTACAAATTCAAAAAAGATTGAAACCATAGCTTGTATCTCTTCTGATCATAAAAGAGTGAAATAAATAGCAACAAAACCTTTAGAGATTATACAAATATATAGAGACAGAGTAACACAATTTTAATAAACGTCATTGAGGAAGTCATAAGAGAAATTTTAAAATTCCTTGAACATAATAAAATCTATAGGATATAGAAGGAAGATTATAGCACTGAAGGAAGGCAGATTATAGCAATGGATACCTACATTAAAAAATAGAAATATCTCAACTAAACAACCCAATGATGCATCTCAAGGTCTTCAAAAACAAGAAAACAACATGCTAGAAATGCAGGAAAGAAATAATAAAGGCCAGAGCATAAATAAATGAAATAGAGTTTTAAAAAACAAAAGAACAATGAAACAAAAATTTGGTTCTTTGAAAAGTTAAACAAAACTGACAAATCTTTAGCTGGTGGGGAGAGAAACTAAATGAATAAAATTAGAAATGAAAAAGCAGGCATTACATCTGATAGCACAGACACTTAAAAAGATTCCTTTGAAAAACTAATGCTATCAAATTGGAAAATTAGGTGAAATAAACAAACTTAAGAAAACATCTTCCAACAAAGAAAAGCCCAGGACTAGATTGCCTCACTGCCTGCTGAATTTTTATGAAGAACTAATATCAATGCTTCTCACACTATTCCACAGAACTGAAAGGGAGAGAACTCTGATAAACTCACTGTACGAGGCCGGAATTACTTTGTTATCAAATTCTAAAAAGGACATAGAAAGAAGAATGAGGATTCATTCTCTTGAATGGTTTTATACTGTTTTGTTATGTTTGATACTGTCATATAGGAAGTTATGCTCAACTATTTCAAAAAAAGAGACATTATGGTAGCTACTGTTAATTATGGGTTGTCTTGTGGTAAAACGCTGTGTTGCTTGCATTGTTCTGTTCTGATCTGCTTTGTTATGCCCTCTTTGGTCTTAATCTCTTTAAAATAAAAAAAAATTTGAAAAAGCAACAGCAAACTCAAAAAAAAAAGAAGAATGAAGAAGATAAGGAGAAAGAAGAGGAAAACTATAGATCAATAACTCCAATAAACAAAGATACAAAAATTCCTTAGAACTTAAATTCGACAGCACGTCAAAAAGGCAACATATTATGATCAAGTTGATTTCATATCAGAGATGCAAGGATGGTTCAAAATACACAAATCAATAAACATAATCACATAAATCAAAAGATTTATCATATCATATAATCACAATATGTGCATAAAACTATTTGGTAACATTCCTTCATGATAAAAGCTCTGAACAGATTAGAAATAGAAGAACCATGTATCAATATAATACAGACTATATATGAAAAATCATTGTTAACATTATAGTGAGTGGGGAAAAACTGAAAGCATTCCACTAAGATCAGGGACAACACAGAGGTGTCCACTGTCATTATCCTTATTCAACATAGGACCATGGTTCCTCATTTTACAAACTTAATTCTCCATGATTTTGGTCCCAAAATGAATTGGTTGAGAATGAAATAAAATTTTCACATAAGGTTTAATGTAAATAAGGTTAATCTGTTATGAATCATACATATATTTTAACCATAAAAATATGAAACAAAGTACAATACAGTACAGCATGAAAAGAGAGAACATTAACCTTGCTTGAGGTGACTTGTGGGTTGGAGGACAGGAAGATGTGTGAGGTTGTTTGGAGGGAGACATTGGTGAGATCTTTAAGAATTTCTTCTCTTCTCTGTCTCTTAGCTGCAGGATCAATTTTGATGAAAAATCTGCCTAATGCCACTTGGGTTTCCCTGTGCTGCATAAACCTCTGGTTCACTGTTCATCAGATTCAGCACCGCTCACTACAGTTATGTTGGAGTGGTTCTCAAAGAAGCCCTGGTACTCATTCCATTTTTCTATGATGGATTTTATCACATCACTGCTAACCTCCTCCCCATCTTTCTCTTGCTCAGTGGAATGCTCTTCAACAATCACCTTTTGCTGCTTACTCTGGAGCACAGCAAGTTTCTCCTTATGGTCCTCAACAAGCATTTCTTTGTGTACGTCATCGACATCCAGACCCATACTCGTGCCCATAATCACAATCTCTTCCACTACCTGTGCATCAAACCCTTCAAAGTCATGTTCGGTCTCAAATTCTGGCCAATGTTTCCTCTAGGCTGAGTTAAAGGTCCGCCGCATAACATCTTGCCGGACTTTGTCAGTGAAGTTGATGCAGTGGAAGTCACTAAGATGTTTCTTCCAGAACCCTCTCAGAGTAAAGGATGTCTCTTTGGTAATATTAAAACAGAAGTGGAGAAGAGCACCTCTGTGCCCAGCTTCTTGAAGTCACAGATCACTTGTTGGTCCAAGGGCTGCAGAAGAGGTGTCATGTTGTGGAGAGGATTTTGACCTTTATGAAGTCATACTCAGCATCTATATCATCCACCAAGGCTGGAGGATACATGGGGCATTGTCTGTCAGAAGAAGGCACCTTCAGGAAGTTGGTTGTCAGAAAAAGGATTTCTTAAAAGTAGGTGTAAACACCTCATGCAGCCATTCCATGGACAATTGCCTTGTGATCCAAATTTTCATACCAACCCTCCACGTGACAGGCCTTGCTCACATTCTGTTCCTTGAACGCATGTGGGCTCTCGGCATAGCACACCAGTAGTGGCTAAATCTTCAGATCAGCACTTGCATTGCACACAGCAAAGGGCCAATTGGTCCTTCATGGGCTTGTGGTCCTCAGTGTCTTTCTCTTCTGAGTGATACAGGTTCTGTTCAGCATCTTCTTCCAAAAGAGCCATTTCCTCACAGTTGAACACTTGCTGAGTGACATATTCTTCCGCCTTCGTTAACTCCCTGAATTCTTCCTTGTAGGTTTCAGAAGCAGCCTTGTCAGAACTGGAAGCTTCACCACGTCTTATCACACTGTGGATGCCACTTCTCTTCTGGAATGTATCAAGCCACCCTCTAGGGCTTTAAATTCAACCACGTTGCACCTGGAGAGGGGTTTGCTTGCAGTAAGTCACGGTACAGTTTCCTGGCTTTTCCACAGACCATCGCTTCACTAACTCTATCACTTTCCAGCTGCTTCTCATTTAATCACACTGACAAAAGCTTTTCCACCTCTCCCAGCACTTGCGTCCCCTGCTTGGCTAACACCAGTACTCTTCTTGCCACATCAGCTGCTTCGATGGCATCTTGATTTTCAAAATAGTCGAGATCATTGACTTTGCCATCTTGTACTCCAAGACCAGATCAGTCCCACAAATATCACACTTATGCTTTTCTACAATTTATTTTCTTCAAAACCTTCTTACCACTCTTGCTGTGCACTTTCTTGTCACTATCTTTACCACTCTGCACATTCTTGTTACATTCCTAACTGCTCTGCACATTCTCATCAGGTTTATTACTGCTCCACACTTTTTGTAACACCACGATTGCTCTGTACTTGCTTTGGATCCAGACTGGATTGAGAATTGTATGTGTTAAAATCACATAAAAAAGCTTGACAGGAGGTGTATACAGGTCTCTCTGTGACTGTGATCTCAACTAGAGGAAGCCATGACCACATGTCAGAGCAGGAAAGATGGCCATGTTAGAGTTCATGTGAGGAAGATGTCTGCAGCTGTGTTTGTCCCCCAGTGCAGAGTTAGAGGATGGGAGCAAAATGTTGCCTAATGTTTCTATTGATGAACCAAATTCTTCTGAACAAAAGCATTCATGAGCCAAAGTACTACTGTACTAGAAATTTTAGCCAAAGCATGAGGCAAAGAAAAGAAATGAAAGGCACACGAGTTGGAAAGAAGAAGTCAAATTATCCCTGTTTGCAAATAATGATTCTATGCTTACAAAAACCTAACGATTCCACCAAAGGTCTATTAAAACATAAATTCAGTAAAGTATAAGGATAGAAAACCTGCATACAAAAAAGAGTAACTTTTCTATATACTAATGATGAATTTGCTTAGAAAAAAATACTAAAAGATTCACAATCTCATTCACAAAAGCACACACACAGCGAGGGGGAAAATACTCCAAGCCAGAGGAATAAAAAGCCCACAATGAAAACTGCAAAGCACTAGACAAATTAAAGAAGACACTAAAAGGTGGAAAGGCCTCTCACTTTCATGGATTGGAAGAATTCATGTTAAAATGTTCAAAGCCATCTACAAATTCAATGCAATCTCCACCAAGGTACCAATGATATTTCCCACAGAACTAGAAAAAAAAATCCTAAAATACATATGGAAGCACTAGAGGCCCTGAATTGCCAGAGCAATCTTGAGCAAAAAGAACAAAGTTGAAGACATTTCAAAACAGGTGGTTTTCTTTCTTCTTATTTACAAAAGCTTTGGGAGGGAAGGGAAGTGGTGGGGAGGAGAAAAATCAAGATACATTATATACAGGTACAAATTCCCTATGATGAATATAATCACTATATATATATCAAAAGAATATCAATAAAATTAATTTTAAAAAATAGGTGATTTCAAGACATGCTATGCCACTCTAACAAAAACAAGTTAGTACTGGCATCAAAATAGAAACATAGACCAGTGAAACAAATTGCAAAGTACTGTAATATGACCCTAAGTCTATGGATATGTGGAAAAAACTTCAAAGGATCAAAAAGATAAGTGTTTCTAGGGATTTTCCTCTAACAGGATTCTAAGTCCATTGAAATGCTCTCATACCGTTTTCAATATTTTTGGTTGAGACACACTGCAGTGCGGGGTTATCCATCTAATGTGTTTAATTTCTCCTGAGTTTCGTGAACCACAGTTCGGTTTAAAAATATCCATCTCTCTTTTTCTTTTTCAATACAAGTGGAGACAGATGTTATGAGGTACATTTGGCTTCCTCACTTTAATCCAAACACCTGGTTTGCACAGGCACAGCCTCCTCTCGCTCACATGTGGTCAGTCTCTTAAACAGGGCTGTGGGTACTGGGATTTAGAAACCAGAAAGCTCTCTGGAGAGTGCACAAGTGCAAACAGCAACCACTTCTTTCTTTCTGTTTCCTAAGTGGGAACTTTCAGAGACTGTTTGTAACAGCTTCTCTGTCTTATGTTTAATCATGCTGGGCACCCACCATTTACTTCCACGAAATGGTAGGAACTGTGGCTCTCACATACCCAATTCAGTAGTTCCTCAGTGATTATCAGAGTGACCTATGGTAAGAACATCTACCCCAGTAAACAGGCCTCTGGTCTTCCCCTCCTATGGTCTGAACACGTCCCTCCAAAGTTCATACTGGAGCCTGATCCCCTCTGTGGTAGGCTTAAGTGATGGGTGCCTTTGGGAGTTGCTTTGGTTATGAAGACTCTGCCTTCATGAATAGTATCAATGCCATTCTCCCAGCCCCTTAGAGCTTCCTGCCAGGTGAAGAAGCAGGGGGGATGTGCGTCTTGGAATCTGGGAGAATGAGCCTTCACCAGACACTCGATCTGTGGGCGCCTTGATATTGAACTTCCTACCCTCAGACCTATGAGGAATAAATTTCCATTACTAGTTACCCAGGTATTTGGTTGTAGCACTGCAAATGGGCTCAGACAGGCAAGTGCTTACCCCTTGAACTTGGGAGGCATCTGTAGCAAGCTTTGTGGCCAGTGTCCCAGGGCTATTTCTGAGGTCATCAAACCAGCCAATTTCTTGCCCTAGCATTGCCTGGAAACCAAATTTACGCAGCCTTTTTGTGAGGAGTTCTCCAGATTTAGCAAAAGTATATCCCTAAAACATAAAGAAGTCTTTGGTGAAACTTTAACATAAAGAGGAGGAAAAATACCTAAATCACTTAATGAAAAATAAAATTCCTTACCTGCAGAAATTGGGTTAAAAAAGAGACACAGCCCATTGTTACAAAAAGCAGGCACACACCATCGATCTGTGACCTTTGCTCCTCTTTATCAGGAAGTGAAAAAGTCTGAGAGAGAGCAAGGAAGAAATTTTATTATTGTAAACAGTACACAATAAAGACATTTAAATATGTTTAAATAAAAATTCTCCTAACACGTCATTATACATTTGTCCAAAACTGTAGGCTGTACACTGAGAGTGAACGTTAATGTAATGGGATGGTCTCAAGCGTCAATGCAGGTTAATCAATTATAACAAATGCAGGGAGTGTTTGAGAAATCTGTGCCTTCCTCTTAATTGTGTTATCAACCCAACAAACCAGTGGTGCCATCATTTTCATTGCCCCTGCTATCCCCATGGGCTACAGATTTCAAATTTAGCCCATCTAGTTCTTATTTTATAGGTGGAAAACAGAAGCCCAAAACTTCCAAGTATGTGCCTCACTTCATTCAGCTAAGAAGCTTCCTTGGACAAGGAAATGTGTATCTTCTAGTCTCCAATGCAGTGGCTTTCTTCTGGGCACGTTCTTTTGGCTTCTGGCATTGTCCATTTTCTCAATTTCTCAGTGTTAAGAAACAGAGTATTTAGTTAATGTTAAAATATGTACAACTGTCCTGAGAGATTGGGCATCTAATCTGTCCACAGCCTTTTCCCACAGTCCTGCACTTCATGAGTTCTTGGTATGATCATATTATTGGCGTGCACTCCAGGGGGCTACTCATCCATAGACTGCTGGGTGGTTAGACTGGCTGGAGTTCAGGGAAACATCTTTGCTATTTTTGGAGTAGTTAGTGTGCTTAAGGGAAAAACAAACATCCATTAAACTCTTGCTCTGTGCCAGGTATCAGAAATGTGGTGAACTAGTTTTAATTTAGTATTTCCTTAAATTAGGATTCAATTCTGGTAAGGTATTTTTTCCCCCTTGGATGAAGAAACTAAGTCCCAGCAAAGGTAAATTCCTGCTGAAATGGACACAGAAAGTACAGAGCAGAGACCTACGACAAATCTAGATCTAGCTGACTCCCAAGTCTATGCTTTTTCCTAGCACATTACATCTAAACTGCAGTGGTTGTTACACTTAATGCATTTCCCAAGTAAGACAGGCACAAGGGAAGGGAGACAGATGAATTATGCCTTATGTAGACAGACCAAGGCTCAGCTAGCTCAACAATCCAGCTCCTAGATCAATCATTTACCAGGCCCATGTCCCACAGTGTGGTCCCTTCACACCACATGTGGCTATTTGACCCTACAGGCAAATCCAAATGAAACAGAGCAATTAAAAACAGCACAGGATTATAGCTTGCAAGTGAGAGCATCATGAGTTTACTGATGAATTTGTGATAATTATGCTGAGACAAACAGAAACAATCTTCTTTATTAGCCAGGAAAGATGGTGGTTTGCTGAGCAATAAAGATGAATTCTCTTAGATATAATCTTTGTCGTCCTTTATTTCATATTTGAGGAAATCTAGGCCAAGGAAGGCTGACACATAGGTTATGGTAAGCAGCTGGCAGAACTGGTTTCAGAGGAAGCTGTCCTGTGGGGAATTCAGGATTCTTCCTACAGCAGCTCACATACATGCTTTGAGTGAATATGTGTGCATATAAATTTTATTCTGCTATTATAGGACAGGAATGATAGTTGGTAAAGAAAGCTGGCGTTCTGAGTTTCTTTTAAAAAGCAAACACACAGGATGCAGCTTCAATCTTTTCAGATTCACTCCAATCCCTCCACCTCCTATACCTGCCTCATTATCCACTGAGATTTATTTTCAGAGCATTGGATACCAAGGAGAGCCAGGTCTTCCTGCTCTCCACCCTGTCCCCAGAACAAGCAACAGCACCTAAGAAACAGTGACCCATACATATCTGTTGCACGGTGAATGGATTTTTATGTTTAACATTTGTCTTGAGGAAAGTACCATACTTGGCATGGCATTCCCAAGCCCCTAGCAAGGTGTCCAATACAGCTCTGCTGAGTGAATACAAGACTACTACTTTATGTTTGGATGTTACTTACTAGGAAATTAAGGAATATAAGTGAATTACTTAAAAGATGTTCAGCATACAAAGCTGCTGCACCAATAACCAAGAATAAATCCCCCCAGGTTCCCTGTTTCCAATATCCTATCTCCCAACAAATTACTACATGATTTCCTCACTTACCACCAGGGGGCAGTGTGAAAAAGGACTGGCGAGGTCCTCCCTGCACAATTGACCTGATTATTCATGTTGTTTGTTGATTATTCCTGTTTTTCTGTACAGTTCATGTCCACAGGAACGTTTTTACGGTTTATGACTTCTTTGGAGAGGTGATGAGACAGATATAGAGGAAGGAGCCAAGATTTTCTCACTTACTAAGCTCTGAGGAAGTATTATACAGGCAAACCCTCTGGATGCTTCGCCTCAAACAAGTTATTAATGTTTTTTAGGTTCTAGGCTTTCTTCTTTGTTGACCTCACAGGGTGTGTGTGTGTGTGTGTGTGTGTGTGTGTGTGTCCACTAAAAATATGTCGGCATTCTGATGACTAGTTTTCCAATAACAAGATTTCTCAGAAAACGGCAGCAGAGTGACACTTGCTGAATTTGGGTGCCAGCTGTGCCACTTGCTGTCTTAAATTCTCTGAACTTTGATTTGCTATTAATAAAATGGGAGTAATAAGAATTCTTGTCTCCGTTGGGTATTAGGAAATATAAATGAGTCATCATACATAAGGTGCTTAGATAATACTTAATAAATGTTTGTATTTATTATTATAGTAATAAAGTCAAATAAGGAACAGAAAAACTCCTAAAAGTAAAAAACAGAAGTGAACTTATTATCTATCTCTGATTATTTTTACTTTTTTCTTGCTTTTTCTCACTTCCTCTGCACATTCTTATTTTAGTACAATCAGTAAGAGAACAGAGAATTACACATTACATACTAACACCTGCTGTTATAGGACAAGCTCTGTACCTTAGCTATTTAGCAAGATTAAAAACTGCCCTAAAACTCTTTCATATTACTCAACAAACCTGCTTTGCATTCTGATTTAGTTTGCATAAAGATAAGCTTCCCTATTCAAAGTAATTGTAGTGTGTGTGTGAAGGGTGTTGCAAGTTGAGCCAAGAACCTTATACATCTGTGCAGGGCATAAGCTACGCGGCCCTGATGGCACCTATGGGCATGCTAACTGCAGGAGCACCCTGGTGGACCAGACGAGAGCACTCAGCTTTACCTTCTCATCTTCTGTGGTACAGACTCAGGGAAATTTTCATCCTTTAGACATGAGAAAAAGGAGCTAACAAAAAGAGCTAAGTAAATTAAAGCAATGAGCTGACCTAACAAATATGATAACAGCCACTGATACACAAAGAAGTGAGGAGAATAAAGCTTTTCCAGCTGCTTGCTTACCCCAATAATCTGGCTGAATAAGAAGGCGTATAGGGGTGAGACTGTCCCATTGACGGCTGCACTCAGACCCCCTACCACCATGTAGGGCCATTCTGGAGCATTGAATTTCAGAATCCTTCTAATGGGGGCAGGCTCAACTTCTTCTTCTTCTTCCACTGGAATGACCTTGTCCTTGAGGGAAAAGAGGACTGCATTAATCATCTGGATATACACACATATCTTAAATATACTCTTGTATTAAGTAGCAGACCCTTTGGCATTCAGATACAAGTCACGGTTTGATTGGTTCTGAGTGACACCAAAGATCTATCGGACATGGTGGCTTGTTAGTCTCTCAGGAATGGTTTTGAATTGTTGCACAGCACGCCATGGCTTGGATGGGATGGACCTGAAAGAATGCACAACTGATGGCAACTTTATAGTTCCCATCTCAGAATCACACGTGGATTAATACAAGGAGTAATACATACATTGGGTCTTTGAAATAATATTTAAAAAATATGTTATAATGTGTGTATATATACACACACATATATATGGGGATTTAAAAATTTTCAAGATAATCACTAGATTATACTAAAGCTCTAATAATAGACTAAGGCACTAGATTTATACTAAAGCTCTAAGACAGGCAGCATATCTAGAACAAGAAAATTTAAATAATTCATTGAGTGGCATCAATAGTTATTATTTACTTATTTTCAGTAAAGTTTCCCTTAATTAGTGCCCCAGAAGTAAGTGATACTATATATGGATTTTGAAATTGCCCACATTTTTCACAAAGAGTGAAAATAGGTATCCTCTATTCTGGTTTTTAAGTTACTATTAAAGTATTCAAAGGCCAGTGTTGCATATTGAACCCTATTACTTTGTCCCCCATTTTTCCTTGCCATCAATATTACTCAATGCTCTATGTTTAGTCATTTTTATTCAATAATTTATTTAATTTGTTGCTCATTTTGTTTGATAAAGAGTTCTAGATGGTTTATATAGATTTGCATAGATTTGTGTTACTTTTTCTATTAAAATACACTAAAATGTCTACCTAAAACAGACTATAAAAGTATTAATGATTTGTCACTTTTTCTAATACATAGTGATTTCCCTTTTAGGGAAAGACAACAGAAATAGATAACAACAAAGGTCCTCAAAAATTCACTCTGCTTATAAAGTCAAAGATCACATGACCAATTCAGTTAAAATGAAAGGCTGGTGTCGTGTCCATTTCATTATAATTCAAGCCAAGTAGAATCAAGGAAAGTAGCTTAGACTAGTGATGAATGTGCTATTACCTCAATTTCTAGTTTTCTCTCGGCTGCTCTCAACATTTGCATTTTGCAGTTATTCAGCAGTAATTTCATCATTCAAGCAGCAAATTCTCTGTCCAATTATTTCATCTCTGACAGCTTACAAACTTCAGACCATCCATGCCAGAGAAAAGAAAAGTGCTTGGAAAAGCATAGATGGAACAGAGCTAGAGAGAAGAGGCTCTTAGAGGAGCCCCATGTGGACATCAATGGAATCTACCACTAAGAGCTTTAGTTCTCTGGGCCTTGATGCCCTTATTCTTAAAAGAGTTGGACTAGGCTGTTCCGGGAGACAGAATTCCTGGAGCTATCATATTTTTGCATATCTTGTGAACAAACAAATTGATTGGCTTTGTTCAGGTTATTTTTTTCAAGGTTTCTAACACAGCAAACAGCCTTGGAAGACTGAGAGGGTGTCTGTTCTCCCCACCATTTGCTCATCTGCCCATCATGGCAGAGAGGCGTCCCGGGTCTAGCCTTCTCCTTATGTACCATATCCCAGTTCTTCTGCTGCTGTATACTGGCCCTCTCTCCTCCATGATCAGGATTGGGGATTGAGCTGGGGACCAGTGAAGAAATGCTGGACTGTGTCTTCATTACTCGACTGCTCTAAGTAATGAAGTTCTTTATCTCTGCCTCAGGGCTCTGGTGTATGCATTCAGCATCTATGAACTTGTGTCAGGCTGATTATGTAGCTTGTGATAGAGCAAAATATCAGATCTTCTAGAGTTCTAGACAGTAATTGGGGTCCAGACTTGGATGTTCACAGACTCATGAGGGTTAATGATTAAAAATACAAATTTTGGGGAAGTCTCATTACCTGAATTTCAATTTAAGAGGCCTTACATGTGACTCTCAAAAAATATTCCTCGGGTGATTCTGGTGACCAAAGTTTGGTTTGTGAGACCTCAGTAGCATAGGATTTCTGGGCTGTTTCTCAACAGTAAGAGTTAAGGATTCTATAATTATACTTTGTGGATATTGTCAGGCTCCAGCTGGACCTGATGCTCCCAGCCCCAAGGCTGCCTGCCAGCAGAGGCTCTCTGCAAGGAACTCAGCTCTCAGCAGGGAACTCAGCTCTCAGGAGGGAACTCAGCTCTCAGGAGGGAACTCAGCTCAGTACCAAAGTTGTCATCAGCAAGCACGGGAAAAAAGATAAAATAGGACAAGGAATTGTGCAGGTCCTGGGACTTTTGGTGATACCCAAAACTTTACACTGGACACATCAAAGACTTTTCCCACTGAGATACAAGACCACCAGAGAACCTTGACCACAGATGTTTATTAAAATACTTCCACTTAATGCCCCCTACCTTTTCTCTGTCCTTGTAAAAGAGACACAATTCTTTTTGTTCAGGGTAGATGATCTTATCACTCTCTGCCTGTCTGCACCCAGACACAATAAATTCCATGCCATGTTGCCTTTCACACAAGCCTAATATGCTCTGTTGCATCCCTACCCCCATATGTCACATATGTTATAGTTATGTCAGGTATCACAAACTATCAATGGGCACAAGTGCGCAAGGGTGCCTTCCTGCTCCTTGGATCCTGCTCCTCCTGGAACCACAGCTCCACAGGTTGGAAACTCTCCTGACCCTCTGATACCCAAAGATATTCCTAAGCCTAGGCAGCAATGCCTAAGGTATTGTAAAAGAACAGGAAGTATATTTTCTCCAGTAGTTTTCAACCCAAAATAACCTAACAAGAAACCAAAAGTAGTTAAATCGAATATTTTTCTTTTGTCTCCCTATACCAAAAAATTTAACTTTAAAGGAAACTGTTAGTCTTACCATCAAACCCAAATGTCAATCCCCAATGATGCAAAAAGCTAGAAAACTGGTTCCCAAATAACAGACTTTTGACTGAATTTTTTCTGATACAGAGAAGAATAATAAAAAACTATAAAAATGTATCCAAAATCATTCTGCAAAGAAATATTTTGCCTCTAATTTTGCAAAGCTAAATATAAAAGAGAGATGAATAAATTAACAGTAAACTAGCAGCTCACATAGAGAGGTAAAATATTTATTAGTAGTACTAGGAATAGCACCCAGGCCTCATGAATGCAGCTCTACTGAACTACATCCCCAACTCTTTTTTTTTACATTTTGAAACACATTTTTGCTAAGTTACCTAGGCAGCCTCAAACTGGGGATTATCCTGCCTCAACCTCCAGCAGCCAGGATTACAGGTGTGTGCCACCACCTGGGTTAAGTGTGCCACCACACCCAAGGAGCACTAAACTTATAAAATTCATGTGCTTGTTCACTGTAGAGCTTGTGCCTCTACTGTATCACTAGTGAGCTGCACACTTAATTTTTCTATGCTCAGCAGCAAAGTACTTGCCCATCTTTGCATCTCCAACACAATGCCAAGCACATAGAGGGTATAATTAGTGTTTATTGGATGACAAAACAAATGCAGCTTTTATTTCTATGATGATACAACTTCTCGCCTACTATGTGGATGGTTCAATGCTAGATACCGGGATTTTCCCAGTTCCCTTCCTGAGGCTCCTGTGGGAGCCAAGGGGAAATGTGACTTCATACTTGGATCTTCTGCCCTGATCTCTATGCTTGTTACACTGGTCTCTGCACTCCAACAACAGAGCCTCTTCCCTTGATAATAACTTTAGGATCTGATGGTGAAGAATGGTAAGTTTGATGAAGAAGCAGAGGTTTTTCAAATGAACAAAGACTGATAGTTGTCTTTATGGATCTTGTCTGTCTTATCTTTTACCAATACTTAACTCCTGGATATCTGATAGTTGATCCTGTCTTAATTATATGTCTTTTAGTTTCACTAAAAAATGCCTAAAATTTTAGAGACTAAATTAATCTTTTTGGGGGGGTGCAGGTTTTTTTTTAACTAATTAAATTTATTGGTACCATTTAGGTATATATAACAATCACATTTATTATAAGGAATTTATACTTGATATACATGATATAATTTGATTTTTTTGCCATTCCTCTACCCTCCCCTTCAATCCTTTTTCCTCTTCTTAATTATAAAAACACCGTTTCTGCTTTTTTCCTCTGCTCGTTGGTTTGTTTTTTGTTTGTTTGTTTGTTTGTTTTGGTTTGTTTTGTTTTTCCTTCCTTCCTTCCTTTCCTCCTCCCCCCTCCTATATCTGAGATCTGGTCTCCTTTATGAGAGCTAAGCAGACAGTTTACGGAGCAAGGAGAAATGGGTTTAGCTCTGTCACCTGTTAACCTCGAGGCTGTGGTTAAAACCAATAATCTAGGACACGCAGATTTAAAACCGTCTCTTCTGAGCGTCTGGTCAATACTCTAAGAGACCACAAGGTGGAGACAACTGCTTCGGGTAAGTAGAGCACTGGCAACCTAGAGCAGAACATCTGCTACGGTGAGGTTAGGCTTTCTCCATCAAAGACAGAAAAAGTTTTGCCAGTGTTGAACTTGCAGAATTTAATAGAGTGTTAAAATGCTTTAAAATACTGAAACTGACCAGCACTTAATTATACAGTCTTTCTTTCCTGGGCTTAGCAATTATCCAACTTTTATCAACTGTAATTCTATTGTTTTCTTTTTAAACAATTCCTTAAGTCTAAAAGACCACAAAATACTGTAAAAACAAGCAGTATTACTAAAAGATATAGTAAGAAATCATGTTTGAGAAAGGTGTTTTCTCTCACTGATATTCAGTGTTCTGTGGAATTCATTTAATGCAATTCTGTTAGATATTGAGACATCTATTTATTCAAATTAATACATTAAAACAAAAGAGAGCCTTAATAATCAATTGCTCATAATCATAAGATCAAAAATAATACCATACTTTATCCTATATTTCTCTATTGTGAGCCAGTGTTTATAATCACTTCTTCATGAATTCACATGGTAGAATTTTACTGAGGACAAGTTTAAAATTACAACATCCATAATGGATGTGTTTCTAATTAAAATTTTCCTGACTTATTTGCTTCAATGAATCTCAATTTGTGCTTTTTTTGTCATAGAAATCCAATTTTTCACCCTAGTTTAAAAATCTCCACCAGGCGTGGTGATGTCTCCCTGTAATCCCAGCACTCGTTACATAGTGAGTTCAAGGCTAGCTCAAACTACATAGCAAGACCCTGTCTCAAAAAGCATGCAAATAAAATAAAAATGAAAATCTCCTAATGTCCTACTTGAAACAAGGCACTTGGCCAAATGTTTAAGGTGACTCAACATAAATAAGATATAGTCACTAAGTTTAAGAAGCTTATAATGTAATAAAGGCATAAGACAACCTGAACTCGAAGCTCAGTAAGAAAGTTGCTATCAAAAGGTTCTGATGAAGGGTTTATCGGGGACTAAAATAAAAGCATCAGGGCCAGAAAAGGACAGATGGCCACCTTCCATGACACGTGGTGTCCACAACAGCAGAAGACCTGTGTCCTCACAAACAAAGTTTTTATTGCTAACCATGTAGATTTTTCAATGTCTTTCATTTTATGCTATTTTCAATTTATGCTAAAATTAATACATTTATTTTAAATGCATCCTAAAACAATTTTTAAAAATTGAATGAAGAAAGTAAATAAACATAAAACCTAATGGACCTCAGTAATTCAAAATTTGTAATAACTTATGTAGGGTTTAGCCTTATCAAATACTTTTGTTGATCAAATGCTTTTATTATAATTTAGGAGATTTTAAAATTTGAGGGAAAAAATTTAAGTATTCTTTCAAACTACAAAAGCATACCACCATCTCAACAAATAATTTGCTAAGGTTCATGATAATAAACCCTTTTTCTGTCCTTATTAGGATGACTCATCTAAAAACTATTAACTAATTCTTAATGATCCAGTTTTAACTAACATGTATTGGTTTTTTGTTTGTTTTGTTGCTTTTTGTTTTGGTTTTTCCTTGTAGGCTGTTCAGGCTATAGCTTTTGCTGGTCTTGCACTCACTATGTAGGCCAGGCTGGCATGAACTCCTGGTAATCCTCCTACCTTGGCTTATGAGGGATTGTAGATGTGTACCACCATGCCCTGCAATGGGTATTCTTAAAAGTAATCAATTACCAAATTGTGTATAATTTAGAGTTCTCACCAAACCTTAGCATTATTTTTTGGTCTGACTAAACATTTATACATATGTTTAAAGGGCACCGAGTGGTCCCCAGGAGAGATTCTTCCATTCCCCCAGCAGAGGTGGTGCCTGACCTTTCCATCTTCGTAAGTAGACTTCTGGTCTACAACAGCTAGTGGTGGTTCATGAGCCAGGTGAGAAAGCTGAGATCTGGAGCGTTGCCGGATGGAAGCTCTGCAAATAAAGACAGAAGAGTTTATAGAAGGTGGGGAGCTTGGAACAAGCCTCAGCTGGCATCCATGTTTTCATCACACATCAAACAAACAAGTGTTCAGCAGCTTACACGGCAGCCAGGGCAGCGAACTTCCAGGTTGGTATGATAGACAGTGCCAATCTGGCTGACTGCTCTGGGACCCGAGCTCTGTAACTGGTGGACTCAGACTCGGAAATTAGCAGGAAGAGGGAAAGGGAGAGGGATGGGAGAGTGAAGTGCAACATAGCTGTTCCCACCATTCCAACAAAGGCATCCCAAGCTTACGTGGTCCTGTGAACAGCCACCATGGCCATGACACAGGCCATCGTGTTCACCTCTCTTCTGGTTTAGGTTCTGGTTAGATCACTCTCATTCTCTCTGTTTCTCCCTCTGTTCTTGCCTTCCCTCCTGTCTCTAATACACCTAATGTTACTTTAGCATGATGCCACTTTCTTTGAACATAAAGAAAGCTTTATGTTCAAATGAACCTAGAGAGATTGTTTCTGGACCACACATTGACAGAAATGCATTAGCAGAATTTCTATTGGAATATAGTTAAGCGTAATGTGTGCATTCATTCATTCAGCAGAAGTTTATTGAGTACCTAGAACTTGCTAACCAATGATAGATGCTGGGGGACACAAAACCTGGTCAGTCCCAGGTGTCTTCCTCAGAGAATTTAAATGTCAGAGAAAAGCAAGTCATGTTCCTATACCTGACATGAGGAAGAAGACTGTGGTAAGTACTACATAGCAGTTTGGAGTAAAGGTTTTGGAAATTCAAAAAGAAAAAAAAATGGATGGCAGATGTTACCAAGAGACAGCAGGACTACTTAGCAAATATACTTAGTGCACAACAAGCCTGGGACATGATTGTCTCTGGATTTATTTCATTTTGGTAGCACTGCAGACTGAACCCAGGGCCTTTTTACTAAGACTTATCCTCAGTCCTTTTTGAATTTTTTTCTTTTTTAAGACAGGGTTTTGCTAAATTGTCCAGACTGGGTTTGAATTTATGATCCTCCTGCTTCATCCTCCCAGAATACTAGGATAACAATGACATACCACCATGCTTGGCTGGCCCTGGCTTTCTTTTCCCATTGAGATTCCTGGGAAGGAGACTCAGAACAGCACTGGGAGCTACTTACAATTACACTGAGATTCTCAAAGAGAGACCCTTTCTGGAAAACAAAGAAAGAAAGGTGGGAAGCCACCTAAGTTGAACATATTGAAGCCTTAGCCTTGCCTGATACTACAGCAACTTTGTATTATTTGGTTTTGTGAGCTGATTCTTCCCCCTTAAAGCAAGACACATTTAGCCATTTGTAAGTCAAGTCTTTAACTATGGAGCCAATGACAAATGCTCCCGACGGAGGAAGGTTCATTCTCAAGGCTGTGCTCAGACAGCTTGATGTGAAGCTGTACAGTGCAGAGAGACACGCTGGCCATGGTTAGCCCCACACCAACTGCTCTAGTGCACCTGAGATGGGCCATTCCCTTGGCTTCCCTTGTCACTTTCTCTCCAAGTGTCAGGTGGGGCCTGCACCTGTGTGCTCACCCCGCCTTCTTAGGGAGGCAGTCACAGGTGGACTTGGTTACTGTAAGGCGTTCCCATACCTTTTCATTGCCACTGCCTCCTCTTGGTCACTCAGGCGCTATGCCACACGCTCAGCAGAAGTCCTCTGTTTTCCTGGGTCTTATGCATTCAAATGCTTGCAAGTCTGTTAATGATCAGGCACAAAGCCACTGCCCATCCCAACTCCCTTGCCCCTAAATGGATTCCTCCCCACCCAGCCTGATACTCTACAGTTATCTTGGGGGGGTGAGATAACTCCAGAAGAGAAGGAAGAAAGCTTTATGTTCACTCTGTATTCCTATGTCCTACCCGGACACAGGGTGAATGACAGCAGTGAGACTAAAGTCATGGACCTAGAAAGCAAACAGTGGACATCAAGATAGGAATATGTGGAGAAGGGGAAAGTTCCCACTATACTGTCCTCAGCCTTGTTCTGAAGGCAGGGAGACCCATGTCTTGTCCCCTCTTGTTTCAACTGCTTCCATCTTGTGGTCACTAAGCCTCTCATTTTCTCTCCCTGTATCCCTAGCCATCCCATGGGGTTAGTATAGGCTGCCCCGAGAGCACGAGTAGGAAGTGTGCCAGGAGCTCTCCTGCCCACCCGCACCAGCATCGCAAGTCTCCCAGCAAGCCAGAATGACATTCTGTCACCTGCCTTTGCAGAACCTTCAATACCTCTGCTCCTCCCCTACTAATGAAATGGCTAATTTGGGAATAAATTCTCTCTCTCTCTCAACATTATCATTTGGGAAATTATTTGTTGTTATTCTTTTAAATATTCTTGAAATATATTGCTTATAATACTGCTTTTTAGGCCCAGGGATAAGCTCAGCAGCACGAGCACCTGCCTGGCAAGAGTGAGGAGGTGAGTTTGATCCCTGGTACAAAATAATAATAATAATTATTATAAATTTTAAAAATTACATATATATGTAATTTTTAAAATTATATATTAAATATATTTTAATATATTTTATTAAATATTATATATTAAATATATTTATTAATAAGTATATTTTTAAAAATAAAAATTTTAAAAAATATATATATATATTGCTTTTCAGTCATCAGTAAAACCAAGGCTAAGAAACAAAATACAAATTAACATTTCCCTCATCTTTTAGTAAAAACATTATCAGTATAGGAAATGAGACATTTTTAATAGACCTCTTTACTTAAATTTATAAATCTTTCAGCTGCTTTTTATATGTAGATAGTATTTCTGGATTTCTTATCTTGACCTCAAAGTATAGAATTGGTGACAAATTAAAGCCAAATAAAAATGTTTATATTTAAAATGGTTATCTAGTCAAATAATAAGCTATAAAGCAAGCACTTAGAATGAGTAAAATTTTGTCCATCTTAAAACTTCCTAAGATACTTATTTTCTTGTTGACGTGACTATAAGTTACATCTCCACTTCAGTCTGGTCACCAAAAGGGCTGCCTGCTCATTCTCTGGGTTTAGGAAGGTAGTATCTTTAGATTTCAAAATTTTATGTGAGATTAAAAATACTGCCAAATGTCTATAAAACTGGGCAATAAATCTGGTAATTTTATAACTTTATAGAGTTAACTTGAAACTGTTGCTCTATTTGCCAAATTTAATAAATTCAATAAAACTACTACTTGTTTAAAACTTTCCAATAGGCGTATTCTCTAAATAAATAAATAAACTTAACCTAAGAATTTAGATTTCTAAAGAAAGATACACAGGGCCTGAAATACATACTTACTTTTGAAAATAAGTATCAGACATTTTAGTGAACTCTTCCTTAAATATTAAAAATGAATAAGCCTGTTTTGACTGCTTGGAGTTGTTTCTTGAATGTTTTTAGTCTTTGTAACCCTTTTTTAGAGTACAGCTAGCCATCTTGAATGATCGTTGCTCAGACCACAGCTTTATGTTCATTCTGTATTCCTTACCATGAGGGTTGCAATGGCAGAGGGAGGAACCACAGTGGTAGAGAGAGGTGCTGTCAGTCATTAACTACCAAAGGTCTCTAACTTAAGGAAAGGAAACTTCGACAAACTTTGTAATGGATACAGACAAGTATTACTGGACAGATGGGTACTGAACCCCGGACTTCATATATATTAAACAAGTGCTCTACCACTGCTGAGCTACAGCCCTAACCCCTAGAATTTTTCATACACAGATTTTTAACACCACGGGGAGTTTTTAAAGTAAAACTCTTAAGCCAGCTTGAAAACAACATGAAAAAATACAGTTTAAGAGTGAAAACCTAGTGCCAAGGATTTAGCTCGGTGGCATAAGCGCCTGTCTGGCGAGGTCATGAGTTCGATCCCCAGCCCTCCATCCCCTCCAAAAAGAGAGAATTAGAGTGAACACCTACATATTGACCTGGAAAGAAAGAGAAATACTTCATATAGAGAAGTTCTCATTAAAAAATAAAAGATACATTTCTATTTCATCTAGTTAATGACTCGATTTCAGATGGTTACTCTAGGTGCAGAGGTGTGTGTGACTCAGGTGCTTCTCTATAGGTTGAAGAATGGGCCCAAAGGTGTGAATGCAGCTTCCACACGAGACAGTGTTTCTTGCATCTCACATAGTTTTTTAAAACCCCCTTTCTGAGCCCAATAAACAACATTTTGTTTAACATTTACATTAAATGTTTTATTTTGTGTTGTGTTTTTTTGAGAGAGGATCTGGCTGTGTAGTTCTGGATGGTCTTGGATTCACTATGTAGCCCCGTCTGGCCTCAAACAGCAATCCTCCTGCCTCAGTCTCCCAAGTGCTGGGATCACAGCTATATGCCATGACACATGGCAGAATTTTGTTTTTGTGGTACCAGGAATTGAACTCTGTGCCTTGCACATTCTGAGCAAGTGCTCTTCTATGAAGCTACATTCCCAAGTCAATGTTAAATGAAATAAATTAGACTTAAAATGACAAGTATCATATGCTTTCCCTAATATGTGGAATTTTTAAAAGATAACACAAAAGTAGATGAGACACTGTGGTATTAATAGGCAAGAAGAAGGCAACAGGGGAGTACAGTGTAATGGGGTACGAGAGGGGATGGGCATGATCAAAGTATATTATATATACTGAGACCCAATATTTGTAACTTTAATAGCACTAATAAAAGTGTATTCTTAAAAAACACTCGATTTTAACCAGAATCCTCCATCATGACCCTGCCCAAATTGTGATAAAAAGCCAAAGTAAAACAAAAAAACCCATGAATGGGAAACACAAATGTCATAATGAAACAGTCATTGCATACTCTTCCAACACAAGACTGGGATTCTGCTTCAGACTTTCCTTGAGGACCACAGCTACAAAAAGCTCCTAGGAATATTTGGAAATTAAAATCTGCCTGCTGCTTGAGCTTACCTTAAACTGTCCTGGTAGCCCCCTCTGCTGAAGTTTGTATGGATGTCATCTTTAGTTTCATCTTTTTCTGTTCAACATAATATGAGCCATTTATTAATGTGCACAATAAAAGGACCATATTCAAAGTTTCTATGTTTGCCTAAAATGTAATTCTTAAGTCTAATGCTAATATATTTTACCAACTTTATTTCAATAAGTATGACTTGAAACTCATCCAACCAACACTTTCTAATAAGATATTCAAGACAATCAGACTATTCAAGACAATCAGAACCACTGGTATCCTGTTACCTCTGCAGAATTATAAATTTTTTAGCATTAGTCATAAAAAAAAACTAAGGGGAGCCAACTAGAAGTGACAAAAGTGATAAAACCACTAAACAAAGTCTATTCAGAGTAACTCGTGTTAAAACATACACAGTAGCTATGCCTAATAGAGTTCACATGTGCAAATGGGAAATGGGAAAGAGAAAGCTGAAAATTCAGCTGAAAATCTGAAAATTCAGACGATGTGTTAGGGTTTGATGCATCTATCTGCATTTGAAGTATAAAGCTTTTAAGTTATTGATAAATTCACTCAACCAGTAAGAATGAAACTCCTCCACTATGCAGGACACACACTAGGAAGCCTCTCCTATTTGTAAAGGATAAGAAAAAGGGACAGAATAGAAAATCATAACACGTTGGTTTTAGGTCTTTGGATCTAAAATAATTTAACCTGTAAGCTTCCAATGTTGCCTTCATCGTTTATATAATGCCTGCCAGGGGTGTTGGGAACATAAAGTAGACAGCATGTATTAACAGCATTTATTAACATGCACAGAAAGGCACAAAGCACTACATATGCGTACTATTTAACAGACTGAACAAGCAAAAGCGAAAAGGCACTCACCGTTTGCATCTTTTTCGAAAAGAGCTCCATGGTTTTGCAAAGTCACTAGAGTGAAGTAAACGCCTTTCCTTTCCATCAGTTCTTCGTGGGTCCCTCTTTCTACTGCTGTGCCATGTTCAAAACCAATGATAACATCTGCCACCCTGATTGTGGACAGGCGGTGGGCAACTGAGATGATAGTGTGCTCATGCTGAATCTGTGAGGAACCCAGTGCACTGTTAAACGAGACTTGAGACCAAGCTGACCTTGGTCATTGGATACTTCTAGAATCCACAAGTAAGTAGCACCTTGATTCCTGGGAGAGGTCCTTACATAGGCTATGCAGTCATTGGAAAAGATAAGTTTCTTGTAGGCATAAATTGTGTCACAATCCCATTAGTCTGCTGCTGCTTTAATCAACGACTTTAAGAAAGGGGAACGTTAAAAAAATCATGTTGTGATTAATAGGTTTAAATTTTACGTGTACAGCTTTTGAAAGGAAATCAGAAATGTCTTCTGTTCAACATGGAAAAGAAGGTAGCTAGCCAATGTTTCTTAAGTGATCACACTGAATGCACAGACCCATGTACCATTGCCCTTCAGTGAGGCCCTTCTCAGCAGGACAAGCATTTCCACCTGGCCCCATAACTCAGACTCTCCACAAACCTTGTTCAGTGCTTCTTGGACCATGGCTTCGCTCTCATTATCCAACGCAGAGGTGGCCATGTCCAACAGGAGGATCTTGGGGTTTCGGACAAGGGCTCTCGCGATGGCTATCCTTTGTTTCTGGCCACCACTCATCTGGCCTCCCCCTTCTCCAACAGGGGTGTCAAATTGCTAGGGAGAAAGTGATACTAGTCAAAGGGAGAGGATGATGACAGCTCCTTACAACAGTCCAGTATGAAGTTCCTTGTAACTTCCTGTACAACCATGGATTTTCACAGGAACTTCCAATGAAAGAAAGATTCCTTCCCAAAATATCTATTGTCCAATCAGTATTTGCATGTGAGATAAGGAAAACAATTTATGCTTTTATCCCCAGGTGTTCAGAGCTATGTAAATGTTCCCCTTTAGCTCAACTTTAAATAAAACTTTTCTACCAAACTAGAAACTGACCCATCTTAAAAATCTATCTTAAAAGATTTCAAGTCTTTATCACTTTTTTCCAGTGAAACAATACAGCAAAGTAAAATATGAGAAGTGTTTTCATATAGTGAATGGAAGGACAATTGCCTTATGAGAATCACCAAGGGAAATACTTCATATGCCTAACAACACACTAGAATCTAATCAGTTCCAGTACTCAGGTCCATCCTCCTTCCAGATAGTATGGTCTGAGCCCCAGGCTCATCTCACTGAGCTACATCCCCAGCCTTTTAACATTTTTTTTTTTTTTTATTTTGAGACAGCGTCTCAGAGTCACTAAGTTGCCCATCCTGGGCTTGATTTTATAATCTTTTTGTCTCAGCCTCCCAGATTTCTGGGATTACATGTTTGTGCCATTGTGCCCAGCTTCAATGCTTATTTTGCTTAACATTAGCTAACATGAATTGAGCACCTACAGCACATAAATCACGTACAACCTTTACATATGTCAATTTTACATATGTCATCTCATTTACTTTCCACAGATGCCATAAGAGGCAGGAACTGCTGCTCTATTCAACCAATAAACAAGGAAGCGTGGCACCTAAAGGGGTACAGTAGCTTTATGGAGGTTCACAGACCCAGTGAGTAGAGAAAATGGGTTTGATATTGAGGCAATTGAATGCTGAAGCTTTCTTCTCTAGCCATTAGATTATAGCATACTCATGGCAGGAATCCTATTCATGAAGTAACTCAGAAGGCTGAATAGGACATGTTTAAGATCATTATGTCTGAAGCCAGAAAACCTAATACGAATCTTGTCTTTCCTGGCTATCTTGTCTTTCCTTGCTCATTTCGAGCAAGTTCTTGACCCCTGGGAACCCTAGTCTTCCATCTGTAGATGAAAATAACAATGGTTGCTACCTGACAAGGTAGTTATAACAGTTAAATAAGTTGATAGAGGTAAGTGTTAGAACAGTGCCTGCAATATATACATGTGACCTATCAATAATCCTTCTTCACTTTAGCAGACTATCAATGCAAAATTCACATAAATATAATATAGAGTTGGGTTTTATAGTAATAGTTGTATAGAATGAGTATATGTGAAGAATTGTTTTTGAATGTGTGAGATGCGGTTCTGAAACACAGTATTGAAGCTGTCCAAGTACAAGAAAAGCAAAAAATAATGATAATAGTAGGCATCAAGAGAGAATTGTACAAGTACTGCCACATGACAAATTTAGCCTACTTTAACCACATGTTTACTAGATAGGAAAGGAAATTGTATCTAAAATTAAAGGAAGATTTTTAACAGAAAATTCCTTAATTTGGTAATTTTAAACATAAAAAGAACATGTTTGCAGATGAAAGGGAAAACTCAGTACATTTTCAACCATGAAAGTAAAGCATGATACTAAAAATGTAATGAAATCAGGATTCAATAGCAAAGAAGTATGTTTCGCTGTTTTTGTTTGATGACATCAGGGTTTTGTGCTAGAACGCGAGGCCAGGGGTACCTGTGGCAAGTTCATGATGAAGTTGTAGGCATTGGCCTTCTTGGCAGCGTGGATGACATCTTCCATTGTTGCGTCTTTCCTGCCATAACGGATATTCTCGGCAATTGTGGTGGAGAACAGAACTGGCTCTTGCTCCACGATCCCAATCTGATCTCTCAGCCACTGGATGTTCAGAGAGCGAATGTCATGGCCGTCCAGAGTCACCTAGAGAGCATGGGAACAATGTCACGCTGCTAGGAAAAATGTAAAAATCTTACTCCCAAATCATGAATTTTTAAAATATTCAAAGTGTTATTATGGTGGTATATAGTAAAGAATACCAATTAAAAAGGAAATGTCCATGAAAAAAGAAAATCCCATGATGTTTGCCAGGTCAGTGTAACATTATATGCCTCAGAGAGAACTCAGTGCACTAAGATAAGCCTGTTTCCAAGTATTAAGGAGACGCCGACAGAAATGCTTTGAGATAGAGTATAAAGTGTGTCTGCTTTGGCGTCCACATACCTAGGGTCAAATCTCAGCTTAGTCATCATCCCAGATGGATGAGCTGAAGCAAGTCTCAATCTTTCCGACTCTTTGCTTTCTCATTTGAAAAATGGCTATATGTTTTTGCGCGTGTGGGGTGGGAGGGGGACTCATTATAAAAATAAGGAATCATTTTTATGACAATTATTAATATTTGTTTGCTTAGTTTCAATCTATGTTTACTTAAGTAAAAATAAGAAAAAACAGTCTAATCATGAAACTACAACTAATTTTTTTTTTTTTTTTTTTTTTTTGCAGTACCAGGATTGAACTCACGACCTTATACTTGCCAGGCAGGCTCTTATGCCGCTGAGCTAAATCCCTGGCCCTAAAATAAATATTTTTTAAAACTCAACTTTTCATAACAGTAATCAGGTCTATTTTCTGTTAATTTCTATTTTGGATGTCAAAGAAATCAGTAGTGGTTTTGCTATATTACTAAAGAGAGAGAGAGAGAGAGAGAGAGAGAGAGAGAGAGAGAGAGAGAGAGAAAGGAATGGAATAGGAAAAAAAAATGGAATAGGAAGTTCACTGAAGAAGTAGCAACACCAGTTCAAACACATCTGCACCTTCAGTGATTTCTCAGCAAATGGATGGACTGGCTGTCCATGCACCCGTCATTGTGCCGGGAGTCTGCCCTGTCAATCCAGTCAAACTCAGTGGGATAACATGTCACCATTTGTGTCCCCTACCCCCAGGAGCTGAGTTCCGGGAGACACACACCATGCCTTCGCAGGGGTCGTAGAACCTCTGAATGAGCTGCAGTGCTGTGCTCTTCCCAGCACCACTCGGTCCTACGAGAGCCGTCATTTCCCCAGGTTTAATGACCATGCTGAGGTTAGATATAATCTGGAAAGGCAAGAAAATTAGAGAGTTCAGATTGTCACTGTGTACCAGACCAAGCAATAAGGCTACAAGTTAGCATGGTTGTAGGGAGGACACTATGCCCACATGGCAATAACAATCCATCCGAAGCCATCAATCACCAGCAAAGGCAACAGTGCTGAGGATGAGGTATTAGCAATAGCACATTACTTAAACAAAAAGGTGATGTGTGTTAACACTGGTAAAGTAAGTCAGGCCAACTTTTAAAATTATGCTCTGAACACTTCTAATCTACCATAGGACACCTGAAAGAGACTGTCCCAATTAGTTAAAGAAAAATCCCAGTCAAAGTATAATGCTAATGTACTCACTAAAGATTAAAAACCAGTTTGCAGGTTTTAAGCTGCCATACACTTGTATGATATGTGTGCATGTTATTTGAATCAATTTGCTTAATAAATATTTATGGCCAGTTTCTAGATGCAAAGCACTTGGAACAGTAGGGATGAAATCCTGGTAGGCCTCAAGAACAAGAAAGAACAGCTGCGTCATGACTGTCTGCTAGGTATTTTCAACAACCAGAGGTGATTTTTGTACTGATTGTGCAAAGGTGGTTCAGGGTCTTGTGAGTAACAAAATCCCATGTGTCTCTTATTTCACATTAGCAACTCAAGCAGGCAAATTCATTTCTGCTCACTGATCTGTAAGCTCACAGGAAAAGGGAGGGCAAGGAATGTGTTTTTTTATGGTTTCCGGCCCAGTGTACTATGTTACCAAGCAGAGCTAAATATATATACTCATAGCATGAATGAAGAAGCTTTATGGGTCTGGAGAGGAAATTGTTATTAAAATGAATTATTGGTGTTGGGAATAAAAAATAAACAGAAATGAAGTTAGTGTCATGATTCAACAGGTATTTGTTGAACAGCTATGATAAGCTGATTTCAAATAGCATAAAGAAAGTTTTAAGCCATCCATTCGTAAGTATGTACTGAGTATTACAAAGTGGTTCTAGATACTTGGTAGCATTTGATGTGCAGACACATATGTAACATTATAAAGAATATACTTCTAGTAATCAGAATATATACATTTACTTTTGATTGATATACTTATATATTATATGGATAAATATAGTATATATTTATATATTTGCTACACATATATTTTTAAAATATTTATATAAAGTAGATCCATGTAATGCAGGTAAATGTATTTACTGCATTATACACATATCTGCCTTCTCCTTCTATATATGTCATGCACATACAGACATATATACACATTACACACCTATATACGTACCTACATTTTAAGTACATAGTATCAAAATAAATTTAGGCTAACAAGATAAGACTTAGTTCTATGGGGATAACAGAAATATTATTAAGAAAAATCAGAGATACTCTGTTAAAAATTAATAAAAAGTTTCATTCCAAAGTCAATTCACTTTGGGGGACACAAATCCTAATTTTCCTATACAACATGTTGCATTTAAAGATCTTGCTTTGTAGGTACAGGAAAACATAATAAAGAATACACTTCTAATAAATAATCAGAATATATATTTAGTTTTTGTAGTCCTGAAAACAAGAATCCTTTGATTGTCTTGCAGTCTGTTTCCTGTGTGCCCAGAATAACCGGATCCGTCACTCATTTCAATAGTGCACAACAGAGCTCACTTAACCTGTATGGGCTGCTCGACTGTGTTTAAACCAGAGGGAGCTGCATCATACAATTATCACAAAGGAATGGTGTGTTTCACCTAAGGTGGCCAACACCTGAGGACACTTCCAGAGAAACAACACCTCTGTCCCCTATTCCTGGGAATTGGGTCAAGTCTCAGAAAACAAGCATGACATGAATCTCTGGACATGAATCATGGAAGAAGCAAATGTCCATTTTCCGCGGGAGAAGAGTGGCACGCACCTTCACGTCTGGTCTGGAAGGATAGTGGAAAGTCACGTTGTGGAATTCAATTTCACCCTTGATTCGGTCAAGCTTGTAACCGTCTTCTGACATGCAGTCAATGATGGGTTTCTGGAGAGAAGTTCAAGAGGCATGTAGCAAGAACACATGCTTTATGTGTTTAGTATTCATCTTACTTTGAGTTAATTCATTAAAAAGAACAGCAATCAGTTAAAACCTTGCAGAGATATGCCACAAGTAAATAGTTTCCACATTAAATACTTACTAAAAATAGTAATAATCAGTACTGAAATACTATGGGATATAATTTCACTAAATGTCATGTATTAATATAATAGATGCTAAAATTTACTATTATTCAATTACTATTGTCATGAGTTCCTACATGAGCTATTATATGTTATATGATAATGTATAATTTACAAATGTATAACAGTATTGAGACAATATTAATGGTTATTATAATGTATTATATCACATATTAATCATATTATTTAGCTTTTTATTATAGAGCAATGTCCAGGTGTTTTATGGTGCTTTTTTCACTTGCATAATCATCATTATAACCTAACTAGAGAGGTAAAGTGCCTATTTTTCAGGTAAGGAAATAAAGGAATCTCAGAGAGACTGTTCTTGGCTAAGGCCAATTTCAACAAGAGCAATTAGTCAGCTAAACTGGACCCATTCATACCCTACATTTGCAAATTTCAAATGATGATTAAAACTAAATTCCATAATGTCTTCAAACACCACCAATTTTCAGTTGATATCCTGAATTTCAATGATGTGAATAGTGCCCTTACAGAGTCATTGTATATAATAGCTTTAAGAATAAAGGCAAATCTGAACAAATCAATCATTTTTATATGGTTTTAAACAATCTCACTACACTCCAGGATGTGAAGCCTTGAGATATTAAACAGATAAAAAGATGAGCGGTTTCTTCAGGTAGATGACAGCCTCACTGTTTTTCAAAAATAAAATATTCACGATTTAGGGGACCCATGAAGCACCTGATTCTCTGAGATTCTGACTCATAGCCCAGAGCACTTTTCCCAAAAGAAAGAGCAGTTGATTACCATCTTCTTCCTTCTCTTAGATGTGACCCCTGCCTTGACCTTTGATGTGCTGTAGATTATCCTGTGCAACTCTCGCCAAGGCACCAAGATCCTATGTAAACTGTCACATTATGAAGAGATGCCAGTTTATGAGGTAGGTGTGAGAGTCCTGCATTCCCTGGTCTTTTCCACCCCTCCAGCGTCAGCTCTTTCTTACTCATTTCATTTACACTGGACTTCTTCCAGCTCCTTGAGATCATGATATCCTGGAACTCTCTCTCCCACAAGTCTTTTCCCAGCTTTCATTCCCAAGCACCCAATTTAAAGATTCACTCCTCCACCCTAATCTTGATCACACTGCCCAATTTTTTTCCCCTGCTATACTGAGGATTATGCTAAGGGCCTCACACATGTTTTACTCCTGAGCTACATCCCTATCTTTTTTCTTTTTGATTTTGAGATATGGGTCTCACTAAGTTGCCCAGAATGGCCACCTCAAACTGAGGATTCTTCTGTGTCAGCCTCCCACGTAGCTGTCATTGTGGGTCTGTGCCACTGTGCCTGGCTCACATTATTCTGTTATTTTCTTCATCTGACATAGCACTTGTCTTTGAATGTAAAAACTTCCTGGCCCAGGTCTCCCAGTCTGAGTGTGAAAGCAGGGACCATTTGTTCTACTTTATTGTTGTATTTGCAGCTCTTGAAATTGGGTGCAGACCATGATGATATTTAGCAAGTATTGCTTACTTCTGGGAATGCTGATAAATCCTCCTATTTAGGGGTAAGTTCCCAAGGGGATTCACTGCCCCTCAACATGCTGATGGCTTTTAAGTTGGCCTTTTACATACCCTGTCTATTGTATCAAAAATGGTGGCAGCTGCTGCACGTCCAGTGGCAAAGGCTTCCAAACATGAAGATGCATTCCCAAGGTTTAAAGCTCCTATTAAGACATTGAGGAAGATCTGAAAAGAAAAGACAGATATCTTTTTTACTATGTGTTTTTGTCAGTTTGTAAACAGTGTCCTTGCCATTAGGGTCATCCATGCACACAGTTCCCTGAAAATTTTCTTCCACAGGAGTTTGAAAGCTAAGTACCTCTTTGGCTCTTTGGGAATGCCTGGGACAGCTTTATTTTAGAAAACATTTCCAATTTTTCCATTATGATTTAAAAGGCTACATTATATTTTATTGAATATTAATTACTCTTCTACAAAGTTGAAAAATGAGTAAGAGACGTAAGCAAGACAACAAAGACGCGTGAAGTGGATTCGACTAGTGAGCAGACAATTTTAGCCTTCTAATAATTTTCTTGTTAAAAAGACAAAATACATAATAAGGACACTAAGATACACTCAACTATGTTAGAGGTTGGTACATTTGCTGCTAATGTCTTGGTCACTAGGATAGATGCTTGTCACAACTCCTGCTGCTGCTGTCCTACTGATAATGACACTAACAGAGATAGGTTGTAAGTGTTTCATATAATTCTTATAACAGAAGAGGAAACACATATCTGGAGATCTCCTAACTTGCAGAATGTCACAATGATATAGGGGAATGAAATTCCCAACCTACTATGTCTGGTACAAATTCGTGCTCTCTAAAATCAAAGAATGAATTTTAGGAACAACACAGGTTAAGAGCAGAAATATTTTTGAGAGAAAGAAAACTTGTGTCTGATAGAGACAGAAGGGATCCCGAGTGGGTTGCCAAGGACTCTGTCTTTTTCAGGGACTTTTATAGAGTAAACTCATGGGGTGAGACTGGTTCAAGTTGGGGAAAATTGGGAACTCACCAGGCAGATGGGCATAAGGTGGGACAGAGCTATGGTTAGCCAATAAGGGTAATAGTTCAGGTAAAATTGATTAAATTGGGGACAAACGGGGAAGCAAATCATGTAGAAAACAGGCATTCTTAGAGAGCAGTGACTCTTCTGTAGGGATAGGGATGGTGACTCCAGGCTTCCTCAGGGTGGTAGAGATCATTTAGAATATCAGTCTTTAGGGTATGGATGTATTTGCTTGATCTTTTGTCTTGATGTGTGGCCCACAGCAGGAGGAGTTTGTCTCCCCCAGGAATCTGGGCTTCTGCACTGGTTCCTTCAAACCTAGCCCTGTCTCCCTGATGCAATTGCACAGTACTTGAACGTAGGCACTTGACTGCCATACTGAGTAGCTCCCAAACTCAAGTGCTGCGTGCAGGTAGAATGACCCCTTTCCCGTGCAGAGCTGGGGAAGCTGTCCTGACTTACAAATGGCCAGCTCACACGGTGGAAGGAAGGCTCTCTGCTCATGCCCAGATGATTCTATCAAATAGCGCCTTTTTTAGCAGTGCTGTTTATAAGGTGATGCAGCAAGTCCTCAAATTGACCTCTAGGGGGAGCAAAAACCCCTCCTCTCCGTCAACCTAGGAACACTGCAGATGTCCTGAGTCTCCAGGAGATTATTTCATTAGCAGTGTTTGACTGCCAAGCTAAAGGCTGGCTTCTACACGAATGTCGCCTTTTTCAGGTTGTCAGATGATCTCTTTTCATCTCCCCTTGTCCTTTTCCTCCATTGTGACTGACAGTTCCTGCCGGTGGTGGGTGACTTCATCTTTCAAATTCCGATTTCTTTATCAGTAATGCAGGGACAATGGGCATATGTATTCACAAAGGACTCTTACAGGGTTAAATGAGATAATGTGTGTAAAGATGCTTAATCCAGCACGAGTCATATAAGTGATAGCAAGGTTGATGAGAAGTCAAAAAGCACTGAGGCCCCTCACAGTAACAGGCAGAACAGGCCTCACAGTCTAAAATGGCTTAAACCACCCTTTTCAGAGGCCCTCTGGCTTCAGCAAAGAAAGCCTTCCTGTTCCCTACATCAACAGTCAGCAAATATCTTATGAAAGGGACAAATAGCAAATAATCTGGGCTTTGCAAGCCACGGGGATTCTGAAACTATTACCTCTGCTGTGTAAACAAAAGCAATCACTGGTAAATAAATGGCTGTGTTTACATTATTGATAAACGCAGGGATGAACTAGCTTTGGCCTGAGGACCACAGTTTGCTGATTCATTGGAGGCTTGAATTGAGGTCTGGGGTCACTGCCAGTGAGAGCTCTTGCCACAGCCACGTACTATCTGGACAGATGGGGAAGGAGTGAGTGACATGGGACAGATGTGCATGTCCACTAGGTAACTGCAGCCTGCACCCTTCCAAGAGAGCTGCAGATCACACCCGTAGTCAGTAGAGAGGGCAGAGGGTTGCAGGGGAGCAATCTGTGGGTGTGCGATGCTGGAGGACGGGTTCTGCGGTTCCTCAGATAGAGCTGGAGGTCAGGAAAACAGTGGCTGAAGATCAGGTCCAGGCGTCACAGAGATCTGAGTTAAAATCATACTCCATACCACTTGGCACATATTTCTCAACCTTGGTTTTGAAACAGTCTACTGACACTGGTTACAGGAAGAGGCTGCATTACACATGGTAATTACATTAAATATTCCCTTAGTGTTCGACACTTTACATACACTGAATGAATGCTACTTTCTGTCACTGTTTCTGTTATCATCTTTGTTACTGAAACCTGAATTTTAAGAGAAGCATGAAAGAGCAGCCCTTTGCCTATTTAGTTCCCCTTCATCTTTCCCTAAAAGACAATGGAACACATTTTCCATCTGTGTACAAATGATACTAATTACAGTCATTTATGTGAACTAATTACCTTTTATGCCCAGCGACCACATAGCCAACAACAAAGCCAATAAAGCTTTCAATTGTTATCCAAATTGTTAATTAGTGTATTAAAACACTCAGCTCAAAGTATTTGATCTTCGTGGCTTCTCATCCCAGTTAGAAGTATAGCCAAGAACTCATGTGTATGTGTGAGAGAGACAGAGAGAAAGATTCTGTATTATTAAAGGATGCTGTCTCTCTTCTTCCCCAAAAAAGCACTTCTAAAGGTGCAAGTAGAAGCATACAGGAATAAGTTAGGAGTACTTGGATAATAATTGATAATTAAAATGTAAGAGACACCTAGTATGCCATGTTCCACATGGTAAAGAAGAATACACCATGTACAGAAGATCTCGAGTAGCTCACAGTCCAACTGACAGGAAATGTAGAGAACTATGAAACTGGACTCTTGCTAGGGATAGTCACCAAGGGACTTTTTATTCAGTGTCTCCAACTGGAATTGTGTGTCAGTGTTTAATTTACCAATTCATTTCCCCCTCTGAAATGTGGCTCCTCTGTCCTCTCATTGTAATCATGGAAGGAAAGGAAGAAATATTTTTCTCTAAGAAAGCTAATGAATGGTTTAATCCACTAAACTAATTAATAGGTTAATCTGGTACATTCTGTGGTACAAAGACTCATTAAGAGCTTGTGATAATTGGGTATAAATGGTACATGGGCCAAAGCAGGGTGAGCAGAAACATCTGGAACTGCGTCAAATATTGGTACCCTTGGTTTGGTAAATAGAAATAGTCGGATCAAGAAAGACAAGGGACTTCACAGGCAGATTTCAGACCTACAATAGTTTTACTTTCTAATGTGCAAAACTAAACCTAAATTGTAGGAAAGTGGCTGTAACACTTTCTATATTCTCCTTTAATATTTATGAAACACTGTACCATGAATTACCATATTTAATTTTTTTAAACAACATTCAAAGTCATGCCACCAATGTTCAAAAACATGATGCAGAAACAACATTTATAAGGTTGTTTTTAGATTATCATCATCCTCTTAATGAAATAAAGCCAGTGGATTAACATGATTATAGTGTGCTCACCGATAATCATTTGCTTGTTTATTTTTTGGTTTATATTTTCTTTATGCTGGAGATGGAGATTGAACCCAGGGCCTCACACTTGCTAAACAGCCCTCTCCCTATGGCTGTGGGCTATACCCACAGCCATACTTTTTTCTATAGTAAATAAAATCCTATTCAATTTTTCTGAGATATCTGTTTATATTCAAGCAGTAAATCTCAAATTATGAGCTGTCAGGTAGCAAATTTCTGGCATAAAAGATTTTGATTGTTTTTTTCTGTTCCAACCAGAATCTCTAGTCAAATATTTTATTTAAGAATCATATGTGAAGTTATTTTGCATCCCTTGGGATGAAGCTAGTATTTTACTTTGACTTTACAGAGTGTGGGGCAGGAAGAAACGGGGACTAGGGAAAATGAATGTAAATTTCCACATGATACAAATGCTCTAAGGAAAAGTACTAATCCCTTAAGAGAAGGTGGAGAGGCACTCAGCTGAGATTCTAAACAATGACCCAGTACAGGCCAGGGCCAGCCATAAATTAAAGAAAAAAGGCACTGGGAGAAGGAATAGGCTGAGCAGCCTTCTCTGACCCAGCCACAGCTAGTTACCTTTCTACTCGCAGCCAAGGGTCCTGTCCTCCACTTTCTAGCTCTTGTCCCCATTTGGCATTATGTATGTACAGGATTAATTATTGCTTGCCTTTCTCTGAATCCAATTAGGACAAAAAAAAAAACCCAACACATTTCTTTTGCCACTATTGAGTCTCTGCACTTTGGATGGTATACAGTATATGCTCAATAATTAATTGTTAAATGAATAACTAAAAGGACACTGAAAATTAAGGTAGCTATGGCATCAGCAATGATGTTCCATAGCTCAAGTGAGTAATAGAAGATGTTTGCATTTTCTGTTCAGTTGAGGATATTATTGGCTTGATTTTCAGTAACTCATGTCTCACAAATACTTCCATTAGGCACACATCTTGTACTGTTATCAAGTTAAATAATATGACTTTTAAATTGTTAGTCAAAAGATGACTGACTTTCCACTTTCATATCATTATTATCTTTTGGACTCAACCAGAAAAACATCATTCTACAGCTCTGAAGTCTTCAGTTAACTGGGAATCATTATAATGCTAGTTTTATCAATGAAATGCTATAATGCTTAATACTGATGTTCCTGGAGATGGAATCTTACACCCTCAGATCCCAAAGGAATGAAGCACCTTCTAATATGTGGGCTCTGCTGATAAACCAGCAACAAATGCTTACGTTTAAATCTATAAGATCAAAGTACCTGGACAAGGTCTCCTGCTGTGTATTCTTCCTCCTCTAGGACAAGCCTGGAGCCATACCAGAAGGCCAGTGCATATGAAAAGAAGATGAGACACCACATGTATCCAGTAAAGAATCCCATCACCATTCCTTTCCTAATTCCCCAGCGCTGGGCAAACACAAGATTTTTCTCATATCTGTGAAGAGAAAATGTTTAAGTCAATCTCAGCAAACAGGCCACAATACGGAGGGTTTACTCAAAGATCATAAAGTCACCCCAAGCACAAAGAAGCTGCAGGGCAAGAAACACACAATAGCCTCAGTGTAGTTATTTAAGTTTGTTTGAACCTGGCAGTGAAACGCATTGAGAGGATGACACTAAACGAGGCCTTGTAAATCAGCTGTAGCTTGGAGGAAACGCAGCTGGTGTAAGCTTCTAACATACGCATTGAGACATGATGGCTCTAGCACTATTTGTGCTTGAATTATTCTCTTGCATCACATACATCCTGCTTCTTATAAGAAAACAATGCAATTGCCTCCAGATAAGCAGGTCAGACCTGGGAATGTGTCCAGCCTTCCAGTCTTGAAACTAGAATTCACATCAACTCTTCTACATGTACTGCCCAATAGCCAAGAAGCTAAATATTTAATCTCTTGTCAGAAATATAGTTTACATATCTTTTCTCTCATTCTGCAGATTGTCTTTTCATTGTTGTTTCCTTTACTGTGCAGAAGCTTTTTACTTTGATGCAATTCTATTTGCCTATTTTTGCTTTTATTTTCTTTTTTATTTATTTGAGGCTCTTATCCAAAAATAGTTGTCCATTCTAATGTCCCAAAGCATTTTTTTTATGTTTGTTTCACAGTGGCTTCACAGTTTCAGGTCTTATAGTTAAGTCCTTAATCCATTTTCATTGATTTTTATAGTTGAAAGGAAATAGGAGTTCTAATTTCATTCTTCTGCAGTTTTTCCAGCTGGATTTATTAAAGAGACTGTCTTCTCCTTATTGTGAGTTCTTGATATCTTTATTTTCAAAAAATCAATTCATTGTAAAATGAATGGACTTATTTCTGCACTTCAATTGTGTACCAAATGATCTAAGTATATGTTTTATGCCAGAACAATGATTCTTTTATTTATATACTTACATAGTAGATTTTGAGATTAGGTAATGTGATGCTTCTGATTTTGTTCCTTTTGCTCAACATTGTTTACGCTATTTAGGGTCTTTTGTGGTTGCATATAAATTTTAGGATATTTTCCTACTTCTGTGGAAATTGCCATTGGAATTTTGGTAAATATTGCATTGAGATTGTATATTGCTTTGGGAAGTGTTGAGATTTTTGTAATAGTCATTCTTTCAGTTCATAAACACAAGATATCTTTCCATTTGTGCTCTTTTCATTGTTTCAAAATGGTGTTACAGTTTTCAGAATGTGGAACTTTCTTCTCCTACGTTAAATTTATTCCTAAATATTATAAGCTTTTGTATGTATTGTAATGAGGCTATTTTTCACTTCCTAATAAGCATTGAAATGCTACTAATTTTTACATACTGATTTTGTATCCTAAAGCTTTACTGAATTTGATTATTACATCTACCAGATTTCTAGTAAAACACTCAGAATTTTCTCTGTGTAGTATATCATCTGAAAGCAAAGACTACTGATCTTCTTTTCTGGTTTAAATTCCTTTAATTTACTTTTCTTGTCCAATTTTTCTGGCTAATTCTTCCAGTACCATGTTGAATAGAAGTGAAAAGTGTGGGCATGGTTTGTGTCTAGGTGGCCCCCACAAGCATCATACAGTTATGGAGGCAGCTGAATCTAGTGTTTGAGATTGGTTTGTTGTGTAGCACCGGGATTGGCAGTGTGAGTGCTGCACCTGCCTGGGGTGGAGCTGGCATACAATATAAGGAAAGGAAGACACCGTGTTTTTCCCTCTTTTTTGCCCTTCTTGCTCTTGCTGTTTGCAGCCACCATGAGCGGTTGCCCCTCAGCCATACCACCCTGCATGCCTTAGAGCCAGCTGAGTATGGATCAAAACCTCCAAAACTGTAATGTAAATAAACCTATCCTTCCCTAATTTTGAGCATTAGGCATTTTGTCTCAACAAAGAGCAAAAAGTAACCAAGACAGCATCTTTATCTTGCTGCAGATCTTAAAGGAAAATCTTTCACGTCATTGGGTTTGATTTAGTTGTAGAAATGTCATATAAGGCCTTTATTAAACTGAAGCACCTTTGTTGAGTTTTGTCATGAATGCATGTTGAATTTTGCCAAATGCATTTTTTAGCATCTGTTGACACCATCTTATGGTTTGCGTCTTTCATCCTGCTAACATGATGCATCATACTTATTGATTTGTTTATGTTGGGAAAACTTTCATTTGATTGTGGGGAATGGTCCTCTCAGCGAGCTGCTGAATTTAGCTTACTAATATTTTGTTGAGGATTTTTGCATCTATGTTCATCAGAGATGTGGACCTATAATTTTCTTTTCTGCTACTATCCTTGCGTAGTTTTGTTAGGATAGTGCTAGAACCATAAACTAAACTTTTAAGGATTAGTATTACTTCTTCCTTAGAGGTTTCATAGAATTCAGCAGTAAAGTCATTAGTCTTTTCTTTGATAAAAGATATTTTTGTTGTTACTGACTTTCTTCCTGTGCACCATTAGTCTGTTCCATTATAAATCTTCATGATTCAGTGTACGTTTCTAACAATACTGTACATCTATTTTCTTGTAGGTTATCCAACTTTGGATCCTTTATATTTGTGTAGTTTCAGTGTTTCATAGTTGTCGTATCTCATGCGGACTTTTTTTTGATAGCAATAAACAGTGTTAAAGATTGGCATGATATATGGGTATACATATATCAGAGTTGAAATAAATACATAACTTAAATTGGCTTTTAAAACATCATCAGTTGCAGTATCTTCAAAAACACATTGCTAGGGACCAGGTATATAGCTCAGTGGCACAGTGCCTGCTTGGCAAGCACAAGGTCATGAGTTTAATCACTGGCAGAAAAATAAAAAATAAAAACAAAACAAAAATAATGTTAAAGGTTTGGGGCTTCTTGTAGTGTTTTGATCAATCTAAATTATTGTGTTTAACTTCCTCTTGAATAAATGCTCCCTTGGTTTACTGTGGTCTTCCACTTTGCATAATGCAAAGAAGTCAGGATATTGCATTGTTTGGGGAAACTCAAGAAGGTAGCAGATATTTAACCAACCTTTTGACCTCTTTTTTCTCACCACCAAAAGCAGCCACTGTCCGCATAGATGAAATGACTTCATCGGCCACACACCCTGCTTTAGCATAGGCCTTCAACTCAAAGTCTGTGAACTTGGCCACACTCTAAAATCCAAAAAACGAAGTGAAAATAGGGTTATTGCATAGTAAGCCTGTCATTTAGTGATTCATTTAATAGGGGTAAACATGTGGCATGGTTTAATAAAACACTACATTCTCACTGTAATACAGGAGAAAAAAACTTGGTCTAAGTTTGGTTTATGTTGTGTCACCTAAGGTTGTTTTTAAAAAAAATATATAACAAAATTATTCAATTAAAATTAGGTTCAAATACACAAATAAGTCAACCTATAATACTAAAGTCTTTCAGCCATTATTTTAATGATATTTTCATGTCAAATCAGGTCATATTTCATTGCTTTTAGCTAGAAACCATTGCACAATTGTAGATAAACACTACAGGCAAAGACTGGGAATCCATGTGGGCATTATGCTTGGTTGGAGCAGAACTTGCAAAGGCATGACACTGTAGAGTAATTCCAAGAAAAATAAGATTTAGGCAAATGGTACACCATTTGTCTGAACCATAGAGACTTAACTATAGTTTCAATCTTTACAAAAGCTATGAAAGGACATCTTTGATTAATATAGTAAATAAGTTGCTTTTTCTAAAATCGGACTTGAACTGAATCTTACTCAAAATTAACTGTCAAAGAACCCCTTGGACTAGATAAAGAAACAGTGAGGAAAATCAAATATTGTAGGAGATCAGCTAACACAGAAATCTAAAAATGCATATAACATCCACATGAAGGGTGTTTATCTTCCAAAGGTTTCCCCAAACTTTTAGAATGAAAACTATCATAAAAAAATTACATAGAATTCTAAAATGTAAAATAATGTTTAACCATATAGTTACTACATAGTAAGTTCACATTTCATAAAATATGTGAATGAAAAACAATAATATGAAAAGTGAGACTATTTTCATCAACATTAAAACTTGCAGTTGGGCATTATGAATGATACTGTCATTTTTATCACACTCTTGATCTAACTGATTCCCAAAATATGCATCTACAGCACAATAATGAGAAAATTAAATAGTTGTGAGTAAAATTTGTTATTAGAAAAGCACATTAATTAATCAGAGAACACCTCAGTTAAACAGATCCAGAAGCTTTAGAAATATGTATTAGAAAGTATCTGACAATGTTCATATTTCTCACTGGACTTAAACTGTGATCCAGAACTCCTGTTTCTCATGAATATTGTTCAGAAAGCATTGCACAGTTTAGACAAACACCACAGGCAAAAGACTGGGGACCTATGTGGCAGCATAATTGATTGGGGAGAAAGGATTGGAGCAGACAAAGACATAACACTGCAGAGGAAATTGCAGAGATAAAAGGTTCAGGTAAGCAGCACATCATTTTGTCTGAACTGTAAGGAATAAATTGTAGTCTGGCAAAGGCATACAAAGCTCACATCAATTTCTAATACGCCATATGTTGCTTGTCTTTGTCTTTTTTGGTGTGTGTGTCGTGCCTTTGACTTGAGTCTTACTTAAGTTCCTCATATCATTTTACAGGAACCAACATGCATGGAGAGACAAATGCAGAGCTCCAACATTCCACATTAGTGACAAGACATTAGAATACAGGCACTGACATGACAAGAGCAACTATTCCCTTAAGTATGCTTAAAAACCAAGTTAATTGGGCAGGGCTTTTAGTTTCCAACATGTTAAAATACCACATATGGTCCACTGGAACATGTTTATTAATTTATCCCAGATTTGAAGAAAAAGATTGTATATATTTGAGGGAAAAAAGAATCAAATGCTTGCAGAACCCCTGACACATTTGGTGGAAGTTGAGGGATCCATACAGCATAGCTAAAGGGTTGTTGATAGGAAACATTGTTTGTAAAGCTGGTGGGATATAGCAGACCAATAAAAATAATACTAAAACATCTCTTTGGCAATTAATTCTGGCCCACGTGCTGGGTTAAGTGCATAATGTGGGTTATGCCCTGAATAATGGTAACAATTACTCCTATTTTCAAGATGAGGAAACTGGGGCTTTGATAGGTCAGATGTGTTGTCCTTGAGTCACACAAACTTGTCAATGGTAGAGCCAGGTGGTGACAGAGTGAAATGGATGAGCCCTTTGCTACTTCATTTTCATCTGTTTTCTATACTTTCTGGGAAAGGTTCAAGTAACATAGCCAGTAGATCAGACTAGAAAATATTACTGTGGAGATTAGTACCTGTTGCTCAATGATATGTAAGTGCCATGTAGCTTTAACTTAAATTTTATTCTCATTTATTATGATAAATTATTAGTATGTCTGATATTATAACCTACTATCTAATGCTGCTGCTCTAAAAAATACAAAATAATTTCACAGTTCTTGGAAGTGTTTTAACTGGAGTGGCCCCAAATTTCTATTTCTACACTTTGTCTTGGCCAAATAGCTGAGGAAGAGTTGGCAGCAGGAATAACACTCAGAATGGGTCAGGTAACCTCTCTCTGGAGCTGGTCAGCTGGACTGGAGGACATAGCTAGGACTGGAGAAATTTCTGTCATGTACTTATACTGGTCTGGCGATATTCATTGTGCCTTTTTGAGGGAGGCATCTAAGGTATGCGGAAGCAGACAAAACGCACAGATTGAAGAATGGATGGGGGTTTGGAGTCAGGCTCCACTGAATCTGACTCTTATTCTGCCAGCTGTACATTCCCAGACAAGTCCTTTTACCTCTCTGAATCTGTTTCTTATATTTAAAATTGTGTTATTGTTTACTTTATATGATGATAGTAGAGATTGAAAACAATGAATATAGGGGGCTGGGGCCTTAGCTTAGCAGCACAAGCACCTGCCTGGCAAGCACGAGGTCATAAGTTATATGAAATTAGGAAAATAGAAGATGCTCAATAAATGTACTTGTTTGTTATCAGTAAAATAATATTTACCTTATTTAATTATAATTAATTCCAACCCTTTGGAATGATATTTGATCCTGGGGAATAATCAAATGGATTACATCAACATAGTGAAATTATATTGACTAAACATATCCAGCAAAAGAGAATCAAACTGTATATTTTTGGCTGTTTCTGAGTGCAGATGTGTTCTTGTGGAGAGAAGTAAAAAGGCATGCTTACCAGAGCAATGACGCCTGCTCCAATACCGATGAGAGGGCTGACAGAAATAATAACCAAGGTCAGTTTCCAACCCCTGTAGAATCCAAACAGAAACCCACAGATGGCTGACGACAGGCGCTGAATGAAAATGCCCAGTTGGTCAGCAATGGCCTCATTGATCTTACTCATATCACTGGAACAAGAGAAAGGTGGACCACTGACAGCTGAACTTGGTCAATTCAAATGTCTTGCTCAAACATTTGGCTCTTTCCCTTCTGAATACTCTCTTCTTTCTAACATTATTGCCCTTTGTGACATAACAGCTTCTCAACTCTTGGCAAATTTGCTGCACCTTCGAATGGTCTCAAGCCTCTCTGCTATGGTCAACTCAGCTTGTCTTTACTCAGCTTTCCTACATGATGTTCACTCAATGTTGATAAAGGCTTTTGAAAGCCATCGTATTTGTCTCTTTCTTTCTTTACAGCTAAGAGCTCCGGTCTATCTTGAAGAATCCTTTGTTCCTTTTTTATACTTATTAAATCCTTTCTACCTCAAGGTTCTATTCGGATACCACCCCATTCATCTTTGGATAATCCCCAGGGAGAAGTAACATCCTCCTCTCTGTGTTTCCATAGCAACACGATTAGGTGGTACCCAGAGAGGCGCACATGTATGTGTAATTACTTCATTCTGCTTTGTAAGCAGTAGAAAATAGTAGCTAAAAATCACAGACTCTCTGAATTTGAATACAAGCTCTTCTTGGGCAATGTTCTTAAATTTTTTGTGCTTTAGCTTTCCCACGTATAAAATGAAACAACACAACTGACCCTAGAAGGTAGTAATAAGGATTAAACTAGTGTGCATAAAACAAGTAGAACAGTGCTTATCAAATAATAAAGCAACCCATGTTAGCTCTGTTTGTTTGCTTGCTTCTCTTATACCTCCTACTAGGTTATAAGTTCCTTAAATGCTGGAGTATAGGGTAAGTACACCAGAACTATAGGGTAAGTACACCAGATTCATATGCCTAAGAACATTTCCTTAATTCTTGTCCAAAAGGAGTAAATAGCTCTTGGAACAGGACAACAAGAAAGGATGTAAGACATCACTTAGTGATTAGACCACTGTGTTCTAGCAAGATTAAATATGCATTCAAGGTCACAGTAGGTAAGGGACAGAGTAAGTGCTGGAAGCTAGGCATCTCATCTTTCATCCTACTTTATCTTTACTGTATATTGACTGTATTTCATGGATCTCAATGTTCAGTTCACCATGGTTCTGGCTCTAATTACTCAAGACTCATTCAGACTTTTGGAGGCGGGCTATCAATGATGCAAAAATGTATTTCAGTATACATTAGATTTAAATCCAGGTTTTTTTAGTTTGAATATTTTTCAAATTAATTTTGGAATTTTTGTTTTTGTTTTGTGTCTAGAAGTGGCTTCCATATGTGTAGCAAGATCATTGTTTCTAATTGTACTCTTTTTCCATTATGTATAGATTGTGATATCCATCCCTTGGCTTCTCTTCTGAGATCAAATAACCTTATCTTTTAGAATACTCTGCGCTAATATTTCATTTCTAAAATTTTGGTCAAGGATCTGTAAATCCAACCTGCAGCAGCACAGCTTCCAATCTTTAATAAGCGTATTCATAAATTATTGCCTATTAAAATACCATGCTACCTCTGAGAACCCAACACAAGAGCCAACTCAGACCAAATCCAAAGTAAATGTTTTCAAATTGTTACTCAATTTAAAAACGAGAGTTTTATTATACAACATGACACTTTAAAATCTTGTTCCTCCAGCCACTTACTCAAAGAATCTTGTATTCAGCTCCCCCACAGAATTGCAGTCAAACCATCCAATCTCCATTCTCATTATTCTTCTCAAGTACGTTTTTCTCATTTTTCTTACTTGGCGAGCTCCAGAAATCACCCAAAAGCATATCTGAAAACGGGCGAAGACAGTCTTTAGCACTGTGATATTAAAAATGTTTGTTAACTCCTCTTCTCAGAAGCTCATAGTTTCCATACTGTGATTTTAAAAAAGAGAGAGAAACAATCCACAAAATGCCTTTTCTTGGGAGCCAAGTCCTGAGCTCTGGCAGCTGCAGCTAAAAGTGGAGGTGACAGACATCTTTGGAGAGGTGGTCAGAACTCTGAGTTCGGAGCCATTTCCACCTGTAATCAGGCCCTTGACTTTTGGATTTTACCATATTGAATTTCACTCTCCACATGAGTTAAGATTAGGTTCCCACCATCAGATATAAGACCTTGTTGCTCTTAGGTCACTGTTTTTTGCATGGCACTTCTGAGTGACATTTTCCCCTGGGAAAGTATTCGTGTGTAGATTCCAAGCAATGGTTTTTGAGAAACATAAAACACAAATGATGACACAAGTCGGGAATCTAATCTGCTGGTAGATGAATTCATTTCTCTTTACAACTAACATGACTTGGAATAACTCTTCTTGAATAAATGGGGTAAGGGATTCATTATATTTTTCTACAGAAGGCAGCAAAAATGAATATTTTTCTTCCTTAATAAGAATTAAATATCCCTGACCCTATCCATCACCTAAATCAAGAATATACTTTAGATTCAGATTTATGGACTTGGGGCTGGGGATTTAGCTCAGCAGCATAAGCACCTGCCTGGCAAGTGTGAGGTTGTGAGTTCAATCCCCAGGACCACAAAAAAAAAAACAAAAAAAAAAACAAAAAAAACCCCCAGAATTATAGACTTTGGGATGGAGAGAAATTTGATGAAATTTTAATAATAAAAAGAAAAAAGAAAAAGCATTTCACTTTCTGTCACCTCTGTGAGCTCGGCTTTCTCCAGGGTCCTATGTCCTCTACTACAAACACACTGACAGCTGTCCCTTCAGAGCTAGAAGACAAGATAGAGTCAGGGAAGGAGAGAGAACAGGACATTATGACTAAAAGCCCACTCTCTATCTCTCTGGACAGTTTCTGTAACCTTTCCAGTTTTCTCCTTAGAAAAATCCTCCCCATCCTCTCATGTCCTCACGAAAATAGAATTAGGGTTTTTAGAGTTTCTTAAAGAGTAAAGGCTACTCAGGGTATTCTGGCAACAAAAACAACCATTTGCATTTCATCATCGCATCCATTAGCCCAGATGTTAATCTCTGAATAAAATGGATGAGATACTAACTTGAATATATGCAAAAATAAAAACTGCAACACCAATTCCAGCATAGATCCAGGAAAACAGGCTCATTTCACTCTCAATGTCCAGCAACCTTCAAAAGAATAGGGAAAATATTAAGATTTACAAATAGGATCAAGCTATCAAGGAGTACATTTCCAGATGCAGGAAGAATTTAAAAATGTATGTATCATAAATTTCTGCTGAATTTGAGTAAGGCATTTTATCTATGTAGAATTATAATCAATCCAATCAAATCCTTAAATAAATCTCATGGTACTAATCACAGCAAATATTCTCACCTTCTTCCTTTCTCTAGGCAGAGATGCTAGGATTGTGACATAATCAGAAGATAGAAGACCCTGGGTAGCTGCCCAGTGCTGGGTTTACTTTGGCCTCTTTTGCTTATACACAGGCAGTGACAGAGCAATCATGGCTAGAATAGAGTGTAATGAGCCAGACAAGGTGTACATACAGAAACAAACACATTGTTTATCTCCTCTAGGAATCTAAGCCAGCTTTTCAATTTCTCCATCTCAGGGTGTCACTGAAAAAATGTGTGTGTGTCATTGTCCAGTGGAGAAAGGCACTGTTTTATTAGCCCTATGAATATCTCTGCCATTTTTCTCCAGGCCATAGCCCTCACCAAGACAGTTTCTAAGATCGAAACCAAAGACACCTGTGCAATACAACATTAAAGTTCTTTGTACTTTCCTCACCAAAACTATCATGCTGAGGCATGCGATTTGGAACTGGAAGACCTGGGGAAGGGAGAAAAGTATTTTGAAATTATATTTTGAAAAATTATATTTTGAAATTATAAAAATTACATTTTGAAATTATAAAGAAAACTATAATTAGAAAATCAGCATATTGGATGATAGACATGTTGGTTGGTATGGACTAGTTAAATGATACTCAGTTTATTTCTTTAGAAAATTAGAAGTGGTATCTTTAGCATAATTTCTGTCTCTATCAGGCCTTCCTTTTGCAACTAAAATTTAAATTATTCTCTTTCTCTGCTGAACTCAGTGGAGTTCTCTACTCTGCCTCTACACACTCAGGGCAAGCACTACAATATAACTCATTTAATACAGAGCAAACTATCATTGCAAAAGTTCTATTGCCAAGTGGCATAATTAGTTTCTTAGTTAAATACACTTGTACTGAGCTTATTTATATATGTCTTGCTGTTTTAGCAGGCAAGAGCCAGGTTTATGTTCCTTGCTCATATTTTCCAAAGCTGATACACCTATATAAAATAGGTAATCAATAAATGTTTCTTGATTTTGCTTTGACTTTCAAAATACTAATTAGAAAGAAAATTTCTGCCATGGTCCACCCCTCAGACAACCTCCAAAGCAGCTAAAAGCTCATAGTATTCCCAGTCTTTCATGATAACCAATGACAACTCTGAGAATGAAAAAGACCTAGAAAATGACAAACTTACGGGCTGGGGATTTAGCTCAGTGCCTGCCTTGCAAGTGTGCAGTCATGAGTTCGATCCCTGGTTCCAATAAAAAAAATAGGTGAAAATGACAAACTTATAAATGAATATTTGTTATGGCTTATGTCTAGATGTCCCCTCAAAGCCTCACACAGTCACAGGGGCAGGCTTTTCACAGGTCACTGAATCTAGTGTGTGATGCTAGGATTAAGGTTGTGTGATTAGTAAATCAGTCTACTGAGGTGGGGTATAGTTTTGGCAAGGATTAAGGGTGTGAATACTATACTCATCCCAGGGCAGGTAGCTTGTATATAATATAAGAGACAGAATAAATCTTGTCTTTTCCTCCTTGTTGCTTTTGCTACCTTCCACCTGCCATGAACTCTTGCCCTTCTACCATGTGCCACTCTGCCTTGGAGTCAGTCAGTTATGGAAATTTACATATGTACAAACTGTGAGCCAAGTAAATCTTTCCTCTTTAACTTTGGGTGTCAGGTATTTTGTCTCAGCAATGAGGAAAGTAACTAAAAAAGAATTTGGTACCAAGAATGGAGTCATCGCTCTGACATGACATGGTTTGTGACACTAGAGCCCTTGGAACTGACTTGTAGGAAGGGGATGAGCTCAGAAGACCAGAGAGCCATTAAGTACCAGGATCAGGCTCAGGTTTCTGCCAGAAAGAAAAGTGTGCTATATCTCGGCAGAAAGTTTGTATTTTACTCATATCTGGAGGCTCTTCCTGAAACTGAAATTAAAGACAGTGCACTAATTAATCTAATAGAAGACATTTCAAGGCAGTGGCATTGCTACCATTGGGGGCATTTAGTCAGATCTATGTTGGCAATCAACTGCAAAGAGCCCAGCAAAATGAATGAAAACATTTTGAATTTGGCCAAAAAAGAAGCTCCAGTAAATCTGTGGGCTACAAAAATAGAGCAAAGGAGACTGCTGAAGAAGAACAGAAATACAGGAGTCAGTGCCATTCGCAGACTGTAGAGGGAGAGAACCAGGCCTCACCAGGAGGTGATTCTGCCTGAAAACCAGTGCCATGTGTGGGCCACTGCCAGAGTGCAGACAGCCAGACCCAAGCCTCTCTCCATGAGTCAGCACCATTTGCAGACTGAAGAGAGAGAACAAAGCCTCACTGGGAAGTGATCCCTGCCTGGAAACCATATCATTTTCATTGTTTTGTTGGGTTGGGTTTTATTCTCTTAGTTTCGTTTGATAATGTTAAGCCTGATGCATGAGCAGTTATTTATGAGATAGCAAGACATACTTTGGTAGCCATTTTGGTTTTACTGTTGGCTTGTTTTGAAGCCCTTTTTTATATTCATTGTTTTGTTTTTATTGTTTCTATTCTATTCTGTTCTGTTCAATTTTTACTATGTCTGACGCTATTTGCAGCTATTTTAATGACAATAAAAGGCATTATGGTAACTATTGTTGATTTTGTAAGGTTTTGAAATCCTACATCATTTATACTGGTTTATTTTGAATGGTTTTATTCTGTTTAATTTTCCTTGATTTTGTCCTCTTTAAAAAAAAAACAACAAAGAACAGAAAAGTAAAAAAGATGGCTCGAGGGCATCACAAAAAGCAACAAGACTCTACCCTTTACCATCTCAAAATTACAAAGGTCATGAGGGAGGAAACCACCCCATTCTTTGTGGTTTCTATTATCTAGCAACACATGGTCACTTTTTCAAGAGAGCATAAGAACCCTCAGAAGTCCCACAGAATGACCCAAGACCCCACCTGCTATTTGGCTTCTATAACGTTGCCTAATGCCACCCACCAGTGAAAGGTTGTCCCTAGAGACGAAACAGTATAAAAGTGAAGAAAAAGTAAAAGCAAGAGCTTTCAGGGCAACAGGTGTCCCCTGTTGAGCCACTAGCAATAAAGCTGCTCTTTTCTTCTACTCCGTGTCTGAGTGGTCCTTCTGAATATTCTGTTCCATTCCTACTTCAGTCAAAGCTTTGCTTTAAAAAGTCCCAGAACACCATGTTCCAAAAAGGTGGCAGTCTAAAGTAGTTATTCCTCAAGATTTGGTTCATAGGTGCTCAATCCCTAAGGGAAGACAGAAAGAAGCCTGGCTACTGCTCCGGTTAGTGGCATGCATGGTGCTGGCTTTAGGTGCATACAAAATGCAAGAGTTGTGGGGTCAAGAAGGCTTTTACCCAGAATTTTATCCAGAGGCCAGAAAGTCTGCTACTGGGAGGGCAGTGTGTAAAGTTGTGAATGTAAACCCAAAAGTTCACTAAAAACCCAAAAAGTTTTTTAAAGCCATAGATGTAGAGAAAAACCGCAAGGAGAAAACAGAGCTTGTCCCAGCAAAAAGCCATGAGAGCTACAACCCCTGACAGTGCCACAGGGGCAAAGTCACCTAAGCCCTTTAGAGTTCATAACTTGCCACAGATTGCTGGGAGTGCTAGAAGTGAAATTGTGAAATTTAATGTGTGCCTTGAGGGAATTTGGTCTTACTTTGTTGTCATTTCAGGGTATTCCCCTGTTTATAACTTTTTAAATGAAAATGTTTACTTGTGTCATTAAATATTAGAAATGTTTAACTTTCTTTTCATTTGTACAGGGGCTTGCAGCTGAGAATTTGCCTTAAATCTCAGAGGAGACTTTAGACTTAGACTTTTCAGCAATGCTGAAAATGTTAAGACCTTGGCAATGCCCAGAGATAGATCAAATGCCTTTTGTGCGAAGGGATGTACATGAGTCTTTGGGAAGCCAAGGGCAAAATGTTATGGCTTACATATAGATGTCCCCCCAAAATTCATGTAGTCATGGGAGTAGGCCTTTTAGAAGTAGCAGAATCTACTATGTGATGTTGGGATTAAGGGTGTGGGATTAGTAAGTCAGTCTATTGATGGGCTTGGCATAGTTTTGGCCAAGATGAAGGATGTGAGTGCTACACCTGCTCCAAGGAAGGTATTTTACATATAATGTAAGGGTCAGAAAGAGTCTTTATTTTTCCCCTTGTTGCTTTTGCAACACGAATTGTCACTCTGGTGCATGTCACCTGCCGTGGAGTGAGTCAATTATGGACTGAAACTTTTACAAACTGTGAACCAAATAAACTTTCCCTTCTTTGACTCTGGGTGTTGGACATTTTTGTCTCAGCAACCAGAAAAATAAATAAGACAACATCCACAAGCAGGGGCTCTTATAAAATCTTCCAAACTCTTGTGTAGTATGTACAGTGTGGGATTATGGGTAAACTTTTCTGGTGTATATGTAAACCAGTGCTCATATTTTTTAAGTCATGCAATGAAATTGAGTATTTGGAAACCTATGAACATTTGTCCAAAAAATTACTTAACATTCCTGTGGTATATTCCTTCCACAAATGCTTGAAGCAGAAGTGGTGAAGGACCATCAAGTTGCAATTGTTTGTTACAAACCTGTGGGTATTGAGTATGGGGGCATTAATCCAGCTCTGGGATTCCTTGGAGCAAATTCCAGGAGAGCTTTGTCCCTGCTGCATGGTGCAGATAAAGACACATGCAGTTTATGATCTTTGCAATTCTGAGGAGCCTCCAAAGTAAGGGGTTAATTCACTTCTATCTTATTCCTGGAAAAAGTGGTTATTACAGCCTTAAAAATGACTTCAGAATATTGACACAACAATAGGACAAACCTTTAAGAAAAACCTAGGAAGACAAAGAGTAAGGGTGGCTCAGCTCCCCTAGAGGGTCATGGCTTTGCCATCCACATGGTAGAGGGCTCTGGGATCATTAAAACCTGGAGAAGATTCTATACCAAGCATGCAGGTACTTCAGATCACACAATTGTGCTTCCTTTTTTCTTAGCAGTAAAAATAACATGAATCTATTTTACTAAATTAAGATTCACCTGATTCATTTGTTGAACAAAAAAGAGGCAAGAGAAATGGCAATCAGGGGGAAAAGGTAGGGGAAGTTTCACAAACTGAAGCTATGAGGAGTCTTATCTTGATTTTTATAAAAACTAGAAGCATCATAAAATTGTATCACTCAATTTACACATCAAGATTTTATATTACAGAAACCATTTTAAGTACCTAAGAGATTTTAGAGCACTCAGAATAAGGAATTTTCCTTTCAGTTGGTTTCCTATATTGTAGATTCTGTAACCCTCACACCTTGGAGTGATTGTCAGTACCAACTCCAGACTGAGTGTCACAAGCTGGCAGAAATGTGTTCAAATCCTAGTTTCAAACCACGGTGACCCAGTTTTCCTTAATAAATAGGAAATTTATGTAGAGACAAATGACTTACCTTTTGATAAACAACTATGAATTGTGGAGAACCACCATGCAATGTAGTAGCATGTTTTAGACAATTTGTGGCCATTTTCCCCCTCAGGAAGCTGTTTTTGTTGGTTTGCAATATATTCACATGAAATTGTAAAAAGTAATATAGAAAGATTATATATAAGCTTTATCCAGTTTTCTTTCAGTGGTGACGTCTTGCAAAACTAGAGCATTGCAACAACCAGGATATTAACACTGGTGTAATCAAGACCAGAAGGATTATATTCAGCTCACCACAAGTTTTTTCATGTTGTCCTTTTATATCTACTTACAGGGGTTGATCAAAAACTACTGTGTGTTTAAAAAAAATACTGTGTTTCAATTTTTAAAATTTATTACAATAAAAGGCACATTGCCATTAGTCCCCCTCAAAATATTTTCCCTCACTTCAAATACACTTGCCCCATTGTTCTTGCCACTTTCTGAAGTAGTTCAGGAAGTCTTCTTTCATAAGTATCTTTTTGTGGCTGCTTCGATGTCTTGAATCCATTCAACGCATTTGCCGCAAACTCTGTCAAGTAAAATCATGGTGTGTTCTCATCTACTTTATTCACTTGATCAGGCACTGCATGACTTCTGACTCTTCTTTAATTGCAAAATAAGCATAAAAAGTAAATAATTTGGATTGATTCAGAAACCAAGGCAGCCATGACAGTGCAATTAAAGACACTCGTGAAAGAGGATTTCCAGAACTGCTTCAGAAAGTGGTGAGAATGATGGCCTAAGTGTGTTCAAAACAAGGTGTGTGTCTGTGTGTGTGTGTGTGTTACTTGGATTGGACTCATGGCTTAACACATGCTAGGCAAGCACTTGATCACCAAATTATATTTCCAACCCTAACTCCGCCTAATTCTTGATTTATATGAACTCTTGGTGATGGAACTCTTTGATAACTTTCATCAATAGCTTGTTCCTATTCATTGTTAAATAATATTTCATATCATGGATAAAGGTATTATGTAAGCCAGTTGCCCATAAAGGAATACCTGAGTTATTTCCATTTTTTGCTTATTACTTTTCTTATTATTAAAGTCACTATAAATATTTGTATACAGAAGTTTCCAGAGAGACTAACATTTTACATTCTTTCCAGCAATATATGAGTGATTCCATTTAGAATTTTCACTATTTTTTATTTTAGTTATATTTTAAGGCATGACAGGATATAGTTACAGGAAATTTTTCTCTTGAAAGAATTATCTTCATGAGCATAATTAGTGTTCTGGGTCAATTTACATTATTCATGGGGAGACTGATTAACTTTACAAAAATGAAGGACTTAAAAGCCTGTTTTTGAACACCTCTCTTTTATATAAACTGTTCAGTGTCTTTAAGATAAAAAGAAACTTCAAAGTTCTAAGAAGAAACATACATATTTAGATACTAGGAAATTCATTTCTAATGAATTGACCTGTTAATGTTTAAAGGGTAATTCTACATACTTTGTATTATCCTCTGCTTTTCCATTATCAAGTACTTGCCAGTTTGTAACTACATATTTATGAACTATTCTTGTTTGAATAGTGGTCTGCTTAACTGGACCTAAGCTCTGCAAAAATGGACCATGACTCATAAGGTAATGTGTCCTTAATGGTTCCACAAGATCCTGTATATAGGCAGAATTCAAATAGTTTTGGTGGACTACACCATAGAAATAAATCTTTAACCACCTATTCATCTGACATAGGATTAATATTCAGACTATATAAAGAATTCAAAAAACTGAGCAACACAAAATAATCCAATCAGCAAACAGGCAGATGACATAAAAAGACACTTCACAAATAGCCAATAAATATATGGAAAAAATACTCAACATCCTTAGCCATCAGGGAAATGCAAATCAAAACTGCATCAAGATTCCACTTCACCTCAGTTAAAATGGTTATTTTATATATATATATATATATATATATATATATATATATATATATATATAATAGCAAATGCTGGTAAGTTGCAGAGAAAAAGGAACTCATACTCTGTTGCTGGAAATTAAATTAGTACAACCACTATGAGAAACAGTGTGAAGGGTCCTCATAAAAATGAAAAATAGGACTATTGTACATTCCCATATATGGGTAGAGATGGAATGTACAGTAGTCCTATTTTACATATATATATGTGTGTATGTGTATGTATCTATAAAATCCCTTCTGAGTATATTTTTAAAGATATGGAATCAGTCTAATTACCTGTCATCAGCTGAATGGATACAGAAAGTATAGTATATATACACAAAGGAGAATGAATAAGTCATAAAGAAGAATGGAATTCTGTAATTTGCAGGAAAACGATGGAAGTGGAAGATATCAAGTTAAGTACAATAAGCAGACACAGAAAGACAAGAACTACATTTTGCTCATATATGGAAACAGAAAAAGAAATTACCTGAAAGTAGAAAAGTGATTATTAAATCTGAGCCGAAGAAGGGTTACAGGGGAAACAAGAGAGGAAGAAGGGAGGGGGATGTGACCAAGATTTGTTACATGCATATATGGAAATGCTATAGTGAATTCCATTAATTTGCACAATTAATGTTTATTGATAATAATAAAAATGCAAACTCCTTCAGTTAAGGTGGTTCCAATAGCAAATTATTAACAAATCTATTTTTATCAGGAAAAAATTTGTAGCTTAATGAGGAAGTGGATTAAAAAGCTCTCCAAGTAGTAATATTACAGAAGACTGTCAGTGATTTAAAACGACTCACTCATAGTCTGAATCAAGCATGTCAAAAATTTCAAAAATGAAGGTAAGAAATATAAATTCATTGAGGAAAACACTTCAAATGTCTTTCGAGCAGGATGTGCCCCACCCTTGAACCATGAACTTGAGCACTATATGGGTTCATACATGCAAATGAGCTTGTTCTGAACCGGAGGCATCATGAGGCACGCTGCAAAGTCCGTGCTCTACCAGTGAATCAGCCCAGGAACAATACAGACTCACTGATTACACAGAGCAGCCCATGGAGCTTGTCACAGATGGAATAGCAGCCTAGTGACTGTACCTGTCTGAGTCCTGGCTATTCTTGCACAGCTACCTCTGTTCACAGCACCACACCACTCTTGCTTGGAAATTAAACAACTGAGTGTGACCAGTGAGTGACCCCTGCTCCAGCCAACACAGCCTGCTAGTATAGGAAGGGGACTGACACCACTGTATCATCAGCTTCAAACCCAGGAAGGAAGTTGTGGGGAAAAAAGAGGAACCAGTGTCTGTGAAACTCAGATGAAACTCCTGGGTCACCTCCCTAGTGGCATTAAGTAAGAGTAATACGTACTCAAGCCTATAGTCCATAGTATGGTTAAATTTTGGTGCTGTATTTGATAAGCAGTTTTTAATCCTGTTTCTATTAAGATTTTAAAACCCACTAAGATGGAAAAAACTTCAAGGCAGAGAAATTTCTAGAAATATGGGTAACTGTTCCCTGTATTACATTCCCCTCAAGCTTAACCAATGCTATCCCATTTATACATTTTTAATTATAATTTAAGATATAGGAATAAAGTAAAAAAAAAAATTGAAAGTGGCCTACCCACAACTGGTTCCATTTGTCACATTCTGGTTAAGGGAGCTGTTGATCCACACTATGGTGTTATTCACACATGCTTTTCCTGGGATACTGAGTTCTTGTATTTCAATGTCATGTTCAATAAAAACATCAGTCATTAAACCAAAGACGAGAAGCATTCCTGGCTGGGCTAGTCCATGGAGCACCGCACATAGACTTCCAACCAACATCAGCCAAATGTCAGTCGATGAAGAAAATCGAAACTTGAAAAACAAAGAATTCAGAGATTATCTATGGCCAGAAAGCAGGAGAAGCAGGAGTACAATTTAATTTTACTAGGGTCTAATAAATATGTAATACTCAACTCCAATTTTATGGGAATCATCTTAAGTAAGCAGTATAGTTCACACTAATTATTTTGAATTAATTAACTATAATTTATTTGGAAATAAAATTTTAAAATATTAGACTCTTACATTGTTAGATACAGTTCTTTCTGTACGAATCTCAAAGTTCCCTATTCAGGTGCTGATTTTAGTGTTTGCTATTCAACCCACAATTCAAGAGAAACCATCGCCACAGTGGATGCCATGGACAAGTGAATATGGGGCATTCAGCAAGGTAATAAGTTGGCTCTCAGAACTGTTCAAGACAATAAAGAGTGCCTGTTTGTGCCTGAAAATGCCTCTGTGCTGTGCAAATTGGGGGTAAGTACCTAAGCTATGAATTATTGATATCTTTTCACAAAACTTAGTATTGATGATGTGGTTAACGTGATGCTTTTCTTACTGAAATGATAACCTTGAAGATTACTTTCCAGCATATTTTGCTGATCTGTTGGACAGAATTTATGCGTTTAGTTGATAACAGATTTTTAACAGATATTCAGCATTTCACCACACAGGTGAAGTTTATGACTGAGTGAGCCATCGCTGGTTAAAACCTGCCAACACTAACAAAGAGTCAGTACTTCTCCGTGCCCGGAGTGATTCATGGTTACAAACCCAATACTATATCCATTGGTTTTCTTACCAGTTGAAAGAAGCCAACTTGTATGCCATCATGTTTCTTCTTATCTTGTAACCTGAAAAAAACAGGCATTTAAAGATCATCCATTCCAAAGCAATGAGAAATTTTTGCATGCTACTTTATGAGTCACTCTTAATAAAAAAGCGCCCATTGGCTGAGAAATAATGACCAAAATCAGTATCTTGAAAATAGCCTTTTATTCTTCTAGAGATTTCAGTAGCCTTATACCTCACATTCAGTAGAGATTCAGTTAAGATTTTGCTTTTGTTTTTGTTTCTGGAGAGGTATGGGGCCAATTAAAAAGTCGTAGGTACTTCCAATTATCTCAACAATTAGCTATTGCTGCAGCTGTGACCCTTGACCCACTTCTACAGACATTTCTTTGTGGATAAACTGAGGTGGTTGGACTAGTTGATGTTAAATCTGCCCTCTAGTGCTTATAAGTGTGACAATCACATTAATATTTCTGATATGATGGAAAATTCAAGAACACATCCACAATTTCCTTAAGATTGAATTTCCTTGCTATCATTATTCATCTCTTTTCTCATAAAGTCATGCTTGACTTGTCTTTGACTTCCTCAGCTCCAGGGATCTCCACTTAGATACAGTGAATCACCCATTCCTTGGGCACCTCAGACCTTGCTGTCACGAGGAAATAACAGAGCTCAGAACACTGTTAATGCCATTGGCACTCTGCAGTGCCCATTCATCCTATTCTTTTAGTTTTTTCCTTCTTCCACATCGCTTTGTCAACTTCAATTAGATGGCAGGCCTTTTAATCCTTCAGTCACTGACAATCACTGTTTTTTTCTTTCCTTGTGTACCCAAGTCCTACCACCTAGCATTAGAGCCACATAACCAATCCTTCCCCCAAAGTTCATCCTCAGAAATTCTATATCTGCATCCATCTAGCTGTTTGCATTCTCCTCCTTAAGCCAGGCTGCGGGGCCTGCTGGAGACAGCCCAAGCACCATGTGGACTGTAGCCAACACGTGTAGAGTGTATGCCTTGCCTGCCATAATCTTCTTTCCCAATTCAAAGACAAACCTCAATCCTTATTGAGATTTTTTCCAAGATTCCTTTTGGAGTGGTCCCGTTAGCTCTCTGACCGGTCTTTGTCTTTTGCTTTATTGTACATCAGTTCTCAACAACCATTTAGCTGTTTTCTTGATGAATTTTGTCCACGCTAAATGTATTCTCAGCACTGGATGTTTGCACTTGCAAATCCCTCTCCCAAATTGTTTTCTTCAAACACCCACATGGACAACTACCCTCACATCTTTCAATCTTCCTTCCAAAGTTACCTCAAAAGAGCCTTCCCTGGCCAAGTTCTTTAAAATTTCAACCTCTTATCCCAACACATATCCTAATAATTTTCATCTTGATTTCCACATTTACTGTTCTTCCTTAGAAAGAAAATGATAGGTTATCATTAGCTACAGTGCTGCATGTTTTATTTATGGTGTTTATTATCTCTCCTTTACTAAAATGCTCTCCTCAGAGACAGAGATTTCTGTCTATTTTGTTCTTTCCTTGCCCATCTTTTCTTTTCTGTACCCTCAGCACCCATAATAGTGTCTGACGCTTTGCAAGCATTCAATGAATATTTGTGAAAAGATGATGAACTAATGAGCATGCGTTCTCAGCTTGACCCACAACACTGAATTTCATCCCAGCTCTGCGGATCACTTCTATCCCCTCCTCAGCGTGTTAGTCAAACTTTTACTGTGAATTTTTGCATTTCATATTTACCTCCTTTAAGAACAAAATAGCTCACTCAACTTCCTACTTGATGCTGTTGCTACCATTTAACCACATCTGCTCCATTTTCTCTTTCCCAAGCCCTGAAGAAAGTGTGTTTCTTTGAGGCCCAGGCCTCGCCCAAAACTAATCTTATCAATCCCGCCTCACCCTCCTCCCAGGAAGTACTTACAATTTCTTAAATATCTAAAATTCCTCCCTTTCCACCCACCTCCAGGTCAGAGCTCAGCTGGTGCCTCCCTCCTGTTTTCTAAGTTAGGCCTCTTCTTACCAAAGGGTGATTCATTGGCACTTGTTTTATATGAGAATTTGAACTCAAGCTAAAGAGAAATGCCTAATAATTAAATTGTAGGTTTCTACTATCCACCTGTAGGAAGGATTTGTGGTTTAGAGATCTTCTTGTGCCCGTGAAATCACAGCTATTGTCCAACTTTTCCCCTGCCCACGAGGCCAGGAGTTCTCTAGTATTCCTAGATGCAAGGTGAGATTTAGACCTAATCCAGAAGGGATATTTCAAAAAGTTTTTAGAATCACATTTAGTAATTGTTTTTTAAAGTGAAGAATGGGTTACGTGTACCATAATAAGTACAATGTATATACAAACATTTTCTGCTTTTATAAGAATATTGTAGAATTATTCTAGAAAAGATGCTACATTGCTGAAATTGTCACTTACCTTGGTTTCTTATCATTGTTATCTGTCAGACAAAAACAATGCATAAAGAAGTTAGTATTTAGCAAAATGTAACAATTATTAATTTTGTTCTGAAAATTTCTATAGAATACTTTTTTTTAACAAGCATTCTAAAATGCTTGTTTGCCTTTTCTCTTCTTGTGCTTTCTTTTTTCCTAAGTATATATACACAATATATATTACAGAAAGGACAGCTTTCAGTCTCAGGACTGCTGCCTTGACTACATTTCTGGACTTTTCTCCTGGTCCCAAAGTATTTGTATCTTATGGATATCAAATGGAGACCAAATTTCTAAATTGTCTTTAGAAAATATGGCATTTCTTCACCTATTTAATAGATCACAAATTAACTGGACAATGTCATTAACACTTCTCTACAGGCAAAAGGCAAGAGCTGACCACACACTGTTTTCCCCAGTACAAGTAGGATGTAACCCAGGAGGCAAAACTGGGCCTCCTGGGCCACAGTGGTAGGAAAGCCACAGGGAGAAGAATCCTGAGGTACTGTGCCATCCACTACCACGGATGTCACATTCTGGTTCTCCTGACATTTCAATGAATGTAAATAAGAATAACACGACAGAACTGAATTAGAATTGTGGTTCCATTATTTAGTGCTCATTTGACCTTTTCCAAGGTTAATATTAATGTCAAAATGTAACATAATTTTTAATAATTTTGTTCCACTTTCTTCAACTGTAGGATACTTAATCATAAGTTTTAAAAATAAAATAATAGCTTAGAATCTTCCTCATTTAGCACGACAAGTCCAAGCGCTGTAGGCCCCTGCTGCACGATCTCATTCTGACCCGCAAAGGCCTGGCCCAGCCCCTGCCAAGGAGCAGAGCTCATTCCACCATTGCTCAGTCTCTGCTGTGACCAAGAACATTGGAACTCAGCGAGTAATAACAGCCAGCACTGGGGCAGCCCTGGCTTTCCCAGGAAAAGGATTCATGAGAGAGAGACTCCTCCTCACATCCATACTCCTTGAAATTTCACTAATTTGTCCTACTTTTGGGTGTGTCTCTTTGTACAAGAGGCATTGAGAAAAAGGTCACTTACGTGATGCGTCTGACTCAAAAGCATAATTCTCCTCTCCAAATTTCTTCACACTGCGAAGAATTACTGAGTCAGACATGGTAACTGCAGTCTGCAGTCAACAACCCTACAAAGTGAAATAGAAGATTTATTGTCATTATTTGCCTTTTTTCTTCTCTTTAACCAAAGTAGCCAAATTAAAAAAAAAACATTTTGGTTCAAGAAATAAGCTTCACTAATCAATCTCAAGCAAAAGTAGGTTTTAATTGGCCAGTAAGTCAAAGAAAGTGCCTAATTATTAGGAAAGATAAATAGAAACCATCAGTAATGGCTTTCTGTAGTTGGCTGATGGACAATTGTTTTATACTCATTTGATCTTTCTGCTCATTTGGGCTTTATTCATTTTTAATGAGTTAGCATAAAAGTCATAAGAAGCACAGACCAAATGGTGACATTCTCGAGTCCAAGAAGTTGATGAATGATATTTACATGCTACTGAGCAGCATCTAGTGCTCCTCTAAAAACACAGCCCAAGATAAGAAGGGTTCACTAGGACCAAGGAAGCAGATGCAGGGCGGACTCTGGGTAAGATGTTACTGTCTGTGCAATGATGGTTAATACTATTCACCGAGGAAAATAATCAGTCTGTAAAAGAAAAATTTTAGGATGATTTCAGACTTTAGACTTTAGACTTGGCACAGGTTCTGCTTTACTAACTTTCTCTGCTTCATATAAATAGTAATGAGGGATAACAGGTTTTATTTTTGTTTTTCTTCCTAGGAAAAAATGCTTTCAGACCTAAGTGAATAAAAATAAAGCAGAAATGGAAGAAAAGGATTAACGCAAGCAGGGCAGAGGAGAAGCTGCTGTTTTCACCGCAGCTGTACAATCAGAGAGGGATGTGAGAATTCAGCCTCACTGCGAGCGCCCACACTGCGCAGGGACAGAGGACACCCTCAGTCTTTGGAGCCCAAGCCTATTGGGAGAAGTTACTGACTTCACTTAGGTAGAATCTCAAAAGAGTAAAATAGAGAATGGTAAGATATAATAACTGACAAAACAATTGCTAGGAATTTTCTACCTGATTAACAGTGAACGCCAAGAATTAATTAGGATTAAAAAAAACTTATTTAAAACAAATATATTATATTGAAATGGTAAAGCATCAAGAATAAATAAGATATGTGTTAAAAACTATGTAAGGAGAAAATATGCTATCCAAATGTAAGTAGCAGATTGATAGCAAGTCTCTTATCAACAACAGACACTACAAGACTGGAAGTGGTGGCACTTGCTTATGATCCCAGCACTCAGGTGGCTGAAGCTGAAGGATTTCAGCAAGTTTGAGGTCAGCTTGGGTCACATGTAGTGAGGTCAAGACCAGAACACCAAGACTGTCTCAAAAAAAAAAAAAAAGTAAGAAAGAAAGAAAAGATTCTAAAAGGCAAGAAAATGACATTTTTAATATGTTGAAGAAGAGTAATGTTTAACCTAGAATTTTCTACTGGGCTGCTATACACTAGCAAAAAGAGCTTCGTTATGTTTGTGTTATGCCTAAATTATATGACTAAAGTACGTGTAACACCATCATACTGTTCTGTATGCATCATTTTTTCTGGGAGACCTAATTGATATGTTAATTAATGCTTCCCTCTGTAAAGAACTGTAAATCCCTGGGAATCTGACCTAATTGATACGTTAACCATTGCTGCCCTCTGCAAACAATAGATGTTATCTAAAATTGAGTGCTAAAATAAGTTGACAAAGGAATATTAATTCCTGCGAGACTTCTCTGTCCTCTGCAAAAAGAAACAAAGGTCTTCCTCATTCCTTAGCAGATCAAGGATCTTTCATTTCCTGATCCACGCCTATAACCCCTTACTTTGTAAACTGTGCTTTCTACAAAAAGTCTGGAAAGTTTGGAGGGAGACACACAGTTTTTGCAAATTTCAACTGCACTGTGTCGCTGGGCCCAGGATAAAATAAATTGTCGCTGCTTTTTAAAAACATGTCTTGCCCCATTTTTGGACTCAAAGTTGAGGGTGTAAGGGGCTCATTTTTGGGCTACAAGAGGGCCAAATAATCCACGAGGCCTGAGCAAAACAACTACGAGAGGATGTGCCTTACCAACAAGAAAAGGATATCCAGAGGGAGTCCAAAGAAGGACAAGTGAACACAGAAATTAACAAAATATATCTAGGAAGTCCATCAAATAGTATTAACCTTAATCTTTTATATTTCAAAAGAACAAGACTAAACCTCTATGCAATAAGATAGCGTTCAATATGTAGACAAAGCATGAATTCACCATGAAAATCTATGACTGCTGTTTAAAATTTAAAATTAAATGTATTGTAAAATAAATCAAATGAAACTGCAAATACTTTTACTTATAAAACTGAAGTTGAACTTCGTTCAGTTAATATGTTAAAATTTTTAAAGTACCAATATAATAATATCTTCCAGATAACAAAGGATTAAAAACTGAGAACATAAAAAGCTATCAGCCCAACACAATTCAAGAAAAAGGAGACTAAGAAAAAGCTAATAGAATGAAAAAAATAAATGAAGCTAGCAGATAAAAGAGCAAATGTTTCAGTAATTATAAATTAGAGAGATGGAACTGATACAAACTGTATGGATGAATCTCAAAATAATACTAAGTAAAAGAACAGTTATAAAAAGCCACATAGTATAGCCACTCTATGTATAAGAAATGTCTTGGATGGCAACCTATTAGAGGCAGAAAGGAAGGTCTGTTTGCCCAGACCTAGGATAGAAATAGAAAAGTGATGAGAAGTTACTGAAAACAGATACAAGGTTTCTTCTGAGGATAGTGAGAACGCTCCAAAATTGGATTATGGAGTTTGTTCATAAAGCTCTGTCAATACTTATACAAAAAACTACTGCAGTGTACGCTATGAACAAGTGAATGTCACGTTACATGTAAGTTATACTCCTAATAAGCAGTTAAAAATATAGATCATTTCATTGACTTTTTAAAAATCCATATATATATTGATTATAAAAGACATCATAAAATCCTAAGGAATGTTTGAAAATAAAGCTATGTAAAGGATCTATCATGAAAATACTGATAGCTCAAAGCTGCTATTTTAGTAGCAGAAAAAATAGAACTCATGTTCGGAGCAATAACACAGATCAAGCAGAATATATAACTGAAGATACAATCCAGCAAGAAGACAAGCCCATCTTTGGATTGTATACACATACTGATCTATGCAACAACAGAGCCTGCAATTGCAATCAGAGAGTTGAACCTGTCTTTATTGGAAACTAATGTCAAACAGACAAAATAATAAAAAGTATGAAATCTTCAGAAAGCTATTATTTAATATCACTATATGGGATCTGCAACCAAGAAATAATTTAAGATTACATTTAGCTTACTTAAAAAACTAGACCATGAATAAACCAACACAAATTTCTATATATAACTATAAATATTTTATAAATTTTATTTTTTCTAAAGATCATATATTCTGCTATCAAGTCAATTAAATAAGAAATAAAAGCCAGGTGCAGTGTGCACACCCATAATACCCCCCTTGGGAGGCTGAGGCAAGAGAATCGTTGCAAATTCAAGACCAACCTGGGCTACAAAGTGAGCTCAAGACCAGCCTGAACTCCATAGCAAGACTCTGTCTCCAAAAAAAGAAAGAAAGAAAGAAAGAAAGAAAGAAAGAAAGAGAAATAAAAGATTACTGCATGATATGGTGGCACACTTCCTTTAATACCAGTACTCTTAAGACCAAAGCGGAAGGGTGTATGAGTTCAAGACCAGCCTGGATTATCTCAAAAACAAAACCAAAAATAGACCTGACACTAGTAAAGCATGCACATATATATGTGCTTTAAACTTTAAAATATATATGTAAGTAATTATCTGTTTAAAAGAAAATTACTGCAATAATTAGAAACTATCTGAAACATAATGATAATAAAAATCCAAAATCTTGTTGGATGTAGCTAAAAAGATACTCAAGATTATTTGTAAATGTAAATGCAACTTATTTTTAAAAATATTGATAAATAAAAGACATTCTCAAAAAGGTCTTCTAAAGCAAGATGCAGGACCTAGGGATGAGGTTTAGTGGTGGTGGGCCTTCTAACATGCAGAAGGCCCTGGACCTAGCGCTCAACACTGCAAACAAAAGTGTGTGTGTGTGTGTGTGTGTGTGTGTGTGTGTGTGTGGCAGGGGGATAGGATTAAAAGGATATAAAACAAAAATAGTAGAACAATTCAAAAGCTGATCCTTGAAATAACTAAAAATTAGACAAAGCTCAGTAAGAATATTTGAGAAAAGACACATAAAGCACAAATAAACATTAATAGAAAATGAGAGGTCTACCTTTACAACAATGTTTTAAAATCATAAGCACATGTTGAGAGTAACTTTATGGTGGTAATTTTGAAAACAGGATGAGACTAATTTTCTGGAAAATATCAGTTATCAAAATTTACTTGAAAAGAAATAGAAGAAATAAAAACTAATGATTATTAAGGATATTTATTCAGTATTCAGAAGATTTCAACCCCTGCAAGTAGAAGAATCACATAATGTTATAGGCAAATTTTACCAAAAACCTCAAAGTGTAGATAAACTTTTATAAATCATTCTGTTGAATTCAAAAATAGAAAAAGCTATTCAATTCATTTTATAAACAAGTTTAATTTTGACGTCAGAACAAGGACATTAAAAGAAAAAACAGGTTTATAATTACTTTTGAAAACTGATTTCAAAATGTTAAGATATATTTAATGAGTCAACAGTTTATGAAAAAAGATGACTCATTGGTTTTGTAATACAATGATTAACAGATAAAACTTTAATCATTTTAACAGATGCAGAAGAGATATTCAATAAAAATTAGTGTACATTCATGATTTTTGAAAATGTATGAAATTGTAGAAAAATCATTATGTTGCAACCCCAGCAAGTAAATTTTGAATCATGATCAGCAGTGAATACTGAATTCATTCACTCAAATCATGTCAAGGATTAAGTATCCCATAGTACCAAATATCATGAAGATGAAGAAGAAAGAACACCCTCTCACTCGGATAGCCAAGGAGAAGATAAATTGATTGAATGACTTTAGAAAGTAATGTGGAAATATTAAGCATGGCTATAAATGTTAATAATGGAACTTTCAGAGTCTTCTAAGACTTTTCTTAAGAATTTAAAAGCAGCTAACACTGAAGCAGCATCTCCCGTGTGGCACACGTTGTTCTAAACCAGTGATGGTGAACCTCTGGCCTTCGTGTGTAGCAAGCACACGGAGCCCTCTCTGTCCATACGTGAACCAAGTGCGTGAGTTGTTTTTCTAAACTAAAACCTCAGTATCCAGGTTTAATCATGATGTTGTCACTTTGCAATAAGTAAGTGGGTTTGGGGTTGCAGTTTGGGCACTCGGTCTCTAGAAGTTTTGCCATGGCTGCTCTAAGTGCTCTATTCATGTTAGGCCTGTCGGGCCCACAGCCACCTCCTGAGATGGGAATGATGGCTATCCCTGTTTTCAAGACAAGTGTGTTTTCACTGGTGTGTAAATATTTGGCAGTGTCTACGACCAACAGGGGTGGTGTCTTGCACGTGAACTTTGGAGCCTCAGATCCTGAAGCTGCTTGTTGCCTCACTCTGTGTTGGTTTTTTTGTTTTAACTTAACCAGCTCCTGATTTCTCCATATTTCACATCATGGAGTGGTAAAGTCCACTTCCAGAATCAGTGTGAAAATGAAACTGTCTATGCAGTGTCTGGCACAAAAGAAAAGCAGCTGAAGTTTCCTTGGACCCATACACTCAGAGACCTGGCCCACCCCGCCCTTGCTCCTTCCTCTCATTTTTGAGTCTTGGTGGTAAACTGCCCTAGCAAGCCCGAGAGAAGATCATCCAGCAGCTTAATCTTCACTTCACTCGCTTGTGTTTCACTTCCTTCTGGGCATCTCTGCAGCTTTTTCTGAGGTCTATTTATGTTAGGAAGTATTCTTAAACATTGTGTGAAGCATGGGTTTCCATGCTCATTGCACTGACGGTGTCCTTCGGTCACACACCAGTAGGAACACTGCTTGGTTACACAGACTGGGTTTATTGCACCGTGCAGGAAGGGAGACAGCACTGTAGTGGGTGGGCCAAGGGCGTCTCGACAGAAAGAACCTATTACAAGACTTGGGCTTCAGTCACGCAGTCTGAGGAAGGATCTAAGGAACTGAGAGTTTGCTTCAGATTACAGGCTCTTAAAAAGCTGGACAATTTATGATTAAGTCATTTGTAGGAAAAATGGATACATCTTGAATAATATTAAGTGAAATAAATCAGACTAGCAAACTTACATGCCATATGATTTCTCTCATTTGGGCAATACAGAGTACAAATAAAGAGCAAACTAAAGATGGATAAGTGGAAGCAGGGAGAGAGATCTTTGCAGATGGGAAAGGGTCCAAGAGACAGGAAGAGAGAAGAGGAGGGAAGGGAGCATAAAGATGCAAGATAAGTCATGAACATGTACCAAATACCCACCATGAAAGTAACCACTGTGCGTCATCAACATGAACTAACATTGTAACAATAATAATGAAAATGGGGAAAGGGTACCTAGAAATGGAGGGAGAGAGGTGGATGGGGAGTGAAAGGGGAATAAAAAGAATCAAGATATGTTAAGTACAAGTGCTGACTCCCTAGTTTGAATGTAAATGTCATGTACTTTTCTAATAAAATAGAAAAGAAATAGCGATCATTCATGCTTGGTATTTTGTGGATTCGGATTTTTTTTCCTGTACTTCAGCCTTATGAACTGGCCTTATGGTGTTTTGTTTTTTTATCATTTTCTTAGAATAACGTTGTTTGAGGCTGCTATGCTATGAGATTGTTTAATTTGAACAGGAGAATTAAATGGTTTAGCGGTGAGTGCCAGGCCAGCTACGTGCTGTCAAGGGCTGTCTTTTCTTTTCTTTTCTTTTTTTCTCTTCTTTCTTTTTTTTTTTTTTTTTTTTTTTTTTTACAGGGGACCAAACTCACGACCTTGAGTTTTCCAGGCAGGCACTTTTGCCACTGAGCTAAACCCCCACCCTACGGGTTGCACTTTCTTATTTGTTGGTTTTCTTTCTCTGAACTTTGTAGTCCTGTTCCCTTTTGACACACCAAGAAGCTAGCTATACGGGACTTCAAATGGTGCGTGCTCTCCTGTGCTACCAATGTGCATTCAGTTGCTCAGGCAGAAGTGGAAGCCACTGGCCTTAGCTCTAAAGAGTCCAGCAACGGCAGTGAGATTTTTGAAGGTCACTTGGTTGAAAATGTTAATTATCTACATGCCTCAATGACACTATTTGGGAGATTGGTATGAAATGCCAAAATTATTAGAAACAATAAACAAATAAATTTGTGGTCTTTTCCAGTGTAAGCAACATATATATTAGATGAATTGCCTTGTATCATTACAAATGTACAAGGACACTCTGACACATGATTAGGCCGTATTTTTACCCACTATGTTACTCCATTTTTATTCAGGGGGATCCTAGAAAATTCAGACAGCAGCTGCTGGAGAACATCTCTGCTGGCCCCTAAAACCCTAGAAACATAGTGGAAATCTAATTTTCAGTGATGAACAGATTTGTTTTATGGGATAGTGAAAATGTGCTTGGTGGGGCTGGAGGTTTAGCTCAGCGGCGTAAGTACCTGCCTTACAAGCAGGCAGTCGTGAGTTCGATCCCCGGTACCGATAAAAAGGAAAAAGACAAAAAAAAAAAAAAAAGAAAAAGAAAATGTGCTTGGTATTTTCTGTAATTTAAGAGTGCCATGTTATTTTTTATGCTGTTTCCTTATCAATACATGCAGTTGTGATAACCTTTTAGTGCTACTCTCTCAGATACTATCTATATTTTTTTTAAAAAAACTAAGAATTTAATGTTTCCTCCATTGCAAGAGGCTCTCATCAAAAATTTTTAATAATTTATAATAACAAAAATTCACTAACCAAAACAAGGAAGCTCAGACCTGAAAATAAGATTTAATGCTATTTCTTTTTAATCTGCATTTGTACATATTAAATTACTTTAATTTGTCCCAAATCTCTTGAGAACATATTTCGAAAGTCTTTCAAAAAAAAATTCTATGTTCCAATAAATTCCAAGAACTCTGGAAAATCAAAGTGGGAAACTGAGATTTCTAAATGCTGATTAGCTGACTTCGGTCACTATTCAAAGAATGTTCCATGTATCCTTAGTCAGCTATGCAAATACCAATGTCCCTCTCTGTTAAATGACATGTGATCTACAACCTGTCCATCACATGTGCTTCTGTTGTTTTCTTTTGATAAAGCAAGCAATCTTATCAATATGGAAACATTCTTTGGAGAAAAGTCTCCTGATCATTAGACAGATCAATGATTTTCTACCTCAGAACATTAGCCACAACCCCCTCAAAGATCACTGCCCAGCAGGAGAAAGGGCAGAGACCAGCATCTGGATAGGTCACCTGAGAGGAAGAGACACACACATGCCAGCTGCAGAGCAAAGATCCCATGAGTACAAAAGTCTCCCAGGGGCACTTCACCACTGCTGCTGAAACACCAGGCAAGAGCAATCAATAAATGGGCTAGATGTCACCAAAGAGTGGGTTCTTAGTACTGCAGGAGAACAGGAAGCAAGGAGGGGAGGAAAGGAGGGAAGAAGGGAGGGAGGTAAAAAGGAAGGAAGGAAGGAGGAAGGAATCCTTTTAGGCTAAAGAACACTACCACCATGAGAGTATTTAGCCTGCTGCCTATTTTTTTCAATACAGATTTATTGTAATGTAGTTACCAAGCTTATGCATTTTTGTGTTGTCTTAGGTTACTTTTTACAGTGGCAGTACCAAATAGCTGTGATAGAAAATGAACAAGTCCTCCCTCTCCCCGATGCCTAAAATATTTACCACTGGGCCCTTCTATGTCTGAGTCCCCCCTGTCCTGCACTGTGAGGTCTGCTCGGGACAACCCAAAACCCAAAGAAAAACCCTGCAGGACGTGATTTACCCAATCTAAATAATGTCTGGTGCACCAGCCCTCCAGCAGCCCTCCTCATACAGCTGATCATGTGGCAGGAAGGACAGGCGGCAAATTGGAATTTGCAGGTCTGATGGCCACAGGTAAAGAAAGGGGAAGCATGGGAAATCTGCCTGCTGGACCCTGAAGCAGGGGAACTGTCTAGAGAGGTACGGAAGGTTCTAGAGCAAGAGCATTTAGCCTGAGTCCCAGAAGAAGAAGGCAAGTTAGCGAGGAAAAGGAGACCGAAGAAGAGGGTAGCAGGGAAGAGCACGTGCAAAGGCACAGGCCCGTGAGACAGAAGAGCAGTACTGAGGACTGAGGGAGACCAGTGAGCCTGGGGAAGGGGAAGGAAGACATGGCTGGTTGATTGCTTGGGACCATACGATCCTTAACCCTGGGTCTTGGGACCTTATCCCAAGGACAAAGAACACTAATGAAAGCTTTCAGACAAACAATAATATGAACAACTTATGCTTTAAAAATTACTCTCCCCCACCAAAAAAATTACTCCAATAGCTGGGTGTGGTGGTACAGCACCCAGGAGGCTGAGGCAAGAGGATCACCATGAGTTGGAGGCCAGCCTGGGCTACATAGTAAGTTCAAGGCCATTCCAAACTACATACTGAGACCCTGACTCAAAAGCCAAAACCAATTTACTCCAATAAAACTTGGAACTTTGTCATTATTAGTACAAAAACATTGTACGTTCACAAAGCTGCATTTAAAAAGAGAGTCAATGGCACTATTACTTTTGGCAGATTATTTAATCTATTCATCCATTTGCAATACATACATACACACACCACACAAACACATACACACACGCATATATACTTTCAAGAGGATCAAGACATGACACAGCAACCCAAAGACATCAGTTTTACAGAGTATTATGAAACCATTAATGCCTTCTTTGAGGTTCTGTCTAAGCACTGTAGCATTATGAATCACACAACAAAAGGCCAGCCTTTGATAAACAGGAAACACAGCCCTCCACAAAGTCAGAATTGAAGGGAATGGGCTTGCAGAGGAGAGCAGTCTTCAGGTCACTCACCTGCAAATGTGAGCTGGAGGGAGCCAGAAGAAGCAAAGACGCCAGCGTGGAAAGTCAGCGAGCTCTACAATCGTTTCTAACTTCAGTTTTCATCACAATAAAGCACTGAACAGAATTCCAGCTTTTTTGAGAACATTGTTTATTTGCCCGCGGGTCAGTGCCCCAAAGGTCAAACAAGGCACAGTTCAGTGACACATGAGCAAATTTTGAACACAGTCTAAGCAATAACCCCAAATGTAGGGTGCACCCAGGAACCCCTCTAGGGTGTCAGCAGGCTCTGGAAAGTGCTGATGAGCCTCGGGAGGAGGGGCAGAGCATAGAGCCCATGCTCAGGTCTTCTTCCTGTAAGCCCAGCTTTTGAAACGGTACTTGAAAATGACAAGACATGGATACCTTTAAGTTTTCCTCTCTCCATGTAACAGCTGACCCCTGGGAAATCCTTAGGTTGTAGGCCCACGGTGTTTCCAACGTAGCTCCAAAGTTTTGTGAAGAATGAAAGCCTACAGTAATTTCTTGTTAAAAATTCAGAGGGCACAGATGACCCGGGTGTTCTGACCCAGACAATGAACAGCCTCAGCTTCTGCCCATCCAAAGCAGCCCCACGTACACAGAAATTAATGATTTTTTAAAAAGTCATAAGTATCCAAAATTGAAGTGAACACAAAGAGCTTTTTCAATGACTGTGCTGCCCACATCCCTTTCTCTCCCTCTTGTTAAACTTTGAACTTCTTTCAAAATGTTTTCTTAGCTCTGTCCTTGCCTAAGTTAAATCTTTTTCTGAATTTATCTCATGGTAGCCTTCAACAATGAATAACAGCAGCTAATGCTGGTCATGTCCTCGGTGGGTGAGTTAGAGTTTCATTTTTATCAGCTTGGGCTTATTCATTTGGGCTTTTCAGCAACCCTAGGCATTGGACACCATCATCACCGTTGCCATTTTAGAGTTAGGAAAACTGTAGCACCGAGGGGTTAAGAATCACGCTGAGCTATCCAGTAGCGAGAGACCAGTCCATGCTACACTCCTCTAACACATTTCTTCCGTACTATGCTCTGAAATGGGAGAGGGGTATACTTCACAACTCTGCAGAAAGAAACTGTAAGATGAAACTTTCTCAAGGTTAAATGTCTCTGCCGTAAGTTTTTCTTTAATATCAGCACTCAATACTATTTGTCTGGATGGATAATGTTTCAATTCATCCTCCCTTTTTTGTAAGTTATTATAGGTTTAAAATCTCAATTTATAAAGGTCAGCAAAGAAAGGCAAGATTTCAGAAGTCAAATCATCTATACTGGTCTGAGAAGCCCTGAGGTATTTGACTTTTGAAAGAATGCAAATGTAATCATACTGGGCTTGGCATGAACACAGACCAGAAATAGAACTCAAGTTCACGGAAAACCAGAAAGGCGGCAGCATGGCTGTGTGGGCTGTGGTTTGATTGGGAGCAGATTCTCAGTATTATTCGGCTGCTGTTGTGGTGAAGTTACTGACAACAGCCAGAGGGTGAAAATGCTCAGGAGGAAGCCAGGCAGTGAGGCTCAGCTAGCCAGCGTGCAGGGCAAGAACAAAGGCGTTTCTGGGACAGGATGGGTCTTGAAGCCCTACTCACCCACCTGGGCTACTGATGCCTATCTGGACTTTCTGGACCAGGTGGTGCTAATTACAGGGTAATTCCAAGTTAGGGCTTCTCCCTTAGGAGCATGTAGGCCTGGTCTTCGCTTCTTTATCTTCAGGTCTGACCTTCAGATGTACCGCCAGCCACAATTTTGATGTTTTTATATTTTTGTGCTGACTTCCTCGAGAGCCCAATCCCTCTCTGATTGTATATTAATTTCTATCTAACATAGTTGCCCATAATAATTTTATATGCTAAGAATTAGATATAGGTGGTATGAGAGAGAACACCTACTAGTCACTTTGTATGTACTGTACTTATGTAGTTTTAACTCCATGAGCTTAACTTGAAAGCTTTAACCTTATACCATATATACTATATTATGTAATCTGTATATTATAATATATATTATAAATTATGTCATAACCAGACATAATAACTGGTTTTTTTGTTGTTTTGTTTTGTTTTGTTTGGGTACTGGGGATTGAATTTACAACCATGCACTTACCAGGCAAGTGCTTGAGCCACTGAGCTAAATCCTCAGCCCAATAACTGTTTATTTAACCCATCATAAACTGGCTACTAAAAACATTTTATAAGCTGACATTTAATTTAATCTTTGAAATTCAATTTTAGTAACCAAATTTTAATGGTGGAAAACATACAAAAAAAGTGTATATAATAATAATAAAAGCTTGTTTTAAAATCTAATTTTGTAAGTTTAACCAAGAATATTTTTAATGAAAAAAATCTTACTGTTTTGGACATAGAAAGTTTAGCCAATATAAGTATACTATAATGATTTATTTAATAACTGTTGGGGTATGGCATCATGAGACCCTGGAAAAACTGGACAAGCTGCCCATCAGTGGAGACACTGAGCAAATTTTGATCCAGGCAGCTGGACCAAACAGAAGGGAGCTTTATCTAACAATTCCCTAAGTCTAAGGTGTCTCCACTTACTTATCTTAATAACTGTTTTAGATGACTCATCATAGCAGTTAACACCTTAAACTATTTGACCAAGGGAAAACTCTTAAGTTACTGCATGCAGACAAAAATAGACATTGCATTTACAATTTTAACATTATCTTGGTTTTCTAACAACTGGGGTGGAAACGTTACCAATCTTTAAGATATCTCTATTTTTATCAACTGATCTAGTCACCATTAAAAAATAATAAGTCAATTAGTCTACTGTCAAGCTATGTAAACCACAAGCATTTGAACCAATATTATGAGTGTCTACTTATCCATAAGGCAACCTAAGTAGAGCATATATTTGAAGATTCATGTATAAAAACATACACATTAGTTTAAATCATGTATAAAAAACTCTAGGGCTTTTATTTGTAAATTCCATGTGAGTTTGAAGTCTCTCTCGCTCTTTATCTCTCTCTCTCTCTCTTTTTTTTTTTTTAACTTTTTTGAGACAGAGTTCCACCATGCAGTTTACATGAGACTTGAACTCACTTTGTAGCCCAGACTGGCCTTGAATTCACAGTGATCCTCTTGCCTCAGCCACCCCAGTGCTAGGATTACAGGGGTATGCTACCATGCCTGGTTTGAAATCTCTCAGCTCAGATCCTATAAATTTTTAAATGGATTTAGCAATTTTATTTAGTCTTAGTGTTTTGTGTATGTGTGTGTGTGTGTGTGTGTGTGTGTGTGTGTGGCCAAAAGATCCAGAGAGGAAAAAAAAAGGAAAAATAAAATTGAAATGACCTCATAAAATTTTAACAAGCCAGCTTTAGGTACCTTACTCAGTTTAAACAAATGAATAAAGACACACACACACACACACACACACACACAGAAACAATTACTTTTAGATCATAGTATATTCTTAGAAATATTGGCCAAGTTGAGCTATAGCTATAATAATCTGTTACAGACTAGTCAGAAATTTTGGGGGTGACCAATTAGCATAGACATCTGTTGCAGTAAGCTACACCAGTAACGAGATGAAAGAGAAAAACATCGTCACACTGGGAAGGTGAAGACTGCTTAAAGAAGGGTTACACTGACAGTTGCCTTAATCTTGAAATGGGCTTGCAGGCTTTTCCTAGCCCTCTGTGAATCTGATAGCCACAGGTGAGAACCCGAACTGTTCAGGCCAGGTTGGGTATGGACAGAGACTGGGAGATGCTTTTGGAGTTAAGTATATATTTTAAAGAATGAGGGGGTCAAAGATCTACCAAGGCTTTATTTGGTCTTAGTGTTGATATCCACCCGTGACAGTTTTGGGTTTTTTTAAATTTTGTCTCCAAGACATCTCTTACTTTTGACCTGGTCCAGTGTCAGTGACCACAGACTAGAGGTGTTTTAGGAAATGACCAGCTGCATCTGTGCCCCCTTTAAATTGATCCCATGATCCCTTTGGCTCGTCCTTAGCCAAAGGATTTTTTTTTTAAAAAAACCTCAATTAGCATTTGTAAGGCATAAATGTAAATCACTACTTTCCTCCGCTAAAACAGTTTCTGCAAGCTACCTCAGCTGGATCTCCTGGAAAAGAGAGGTAGCCCAGCCACCTTCTTTAGAAAGAGTGGTCTAGCAAGCCAAGGAGGTTTACCTTCTTTAGAGAGGGTGGTCTAGCAAGCCAAGGAGTTTTAAAGCTAACTCCCAGTGAGTTGAAATGGAAAGAAACCTGGAGGCTTGGGGTGTGTGTGTGGGGAGGTGTTCTTAACTTGGACTTTTGGTCCTAGCAAAACTGTTTCAGGGGACCTAGAGGGTTATTGTGTTCACTGTTTCCAGCTCCATTAATGTATCAAGACATAATTGAAGAGGGTTCTATTTTACTAGCAGAGAGAGAAAAGTCTAAACTTATAGCTCTACTCTCAATGAAATCTTAATAGAGGGCTGTAATAATATCATCTCAGGACACTTTGGGCAGGGGACTCCAGATCACAGAGAGTTTTACCTCTCACCTCATGGAGGAGTCCAGGTGGGAGAATAGATGGAGACTTCTCTGCTGGTTACCAAGGTGGGTCCCAGCTTCTCCTGAGGAGCCTTTGGGTGCCTACCAGGGATCACCCCAGCCATCCCCTCAGTAATCCTCTCAGCTTTTACTGGTTCCATGCAACCAGAGATTTGTCTCAAGAAAGGAATCAGCTGCCTGTCTGGCCAACATTCCCGCTGACTTCAATGGAGGATTATCCAGAAGGACAGGATAAACCTGTCCTAGCTTTAAGAGTGGCAGTGTTCTAAGAGCATTTAACTAGATGGCAAAGCATTGTTTTTTTGGTTCTATGAGAAGCAAACAAAGATTTTGTGTGTTCATATTCAGCTATTCTGCCATGCTTACCCTTTCGCCCCATGTTGGGCATCAAAGATGTAACCAGACCTTTTGAGGTTTGGTGTCTTTTGTTTGGGGGCAATGAAGATTGAAGCCAACAAAACAGCAAGTTGTAGCAGATGGCCAAGAGCATGTTTATTAGAAAGAATAAAAGAATAGCTCTCTGCTAGTCAAAGGGTGGTGTTTTGTAA